CTGCAAAAGGAGTTAACCCCTCCGATCTGTCAACGGAACTCAATGAAGCAAAGCCAAACCTAAGTACGAAATGAAATTAATACAATGGTATGGTAAGACCAGGCCAGGGTAGTCATGAAGCTACAACGGAAATTCAGACTAGAGGACAGGAAGAACTAAGCTCACAGTGCTCAAACCAAACTCCTCCCACTGTCGCTAACAGCAACAACATCAGTCAATCACACACAGCTGCAGCGCCACACTGCCCTCACCTGGCAGCAATCAGGCATTAAGCCCGCATCAAGCTTCATATCGTGAGGAAGCTCAATCCAAGCAGCAGCTCCTAACCACATTTTTGTATAGATGCAATAAATTTAATCTTGAAAATATTGTCGTCAGAGTCACATGTGTAGTGTCTTTGTTGAATGAGTGAAGGGGGTTGTTCTGCTTCATCCAACACTGGTTCAAAACCAGTGGGGGAGGGTCCCAGCTCAAAAGTGGCCAAAATGATGTGCGCTGACAGGCTTGCAATACCACCCCGGGCCGATGGGGGTGGACCCAGAAGTAGAATTAGCCAATGCTAACATATAGCGTTGGCAGACCTCTCAAAAACGTCTTTACAGGATGGACCAAAAGTTGGCTCTTGGCCCAAAGCTCCGTTCCACATGTGTGTCAATGCTGAGGGGGATGATTTTTTTGGTCCACTCTAGTTTACTTGCTTTGAATTTTTGAAGTCTCTCGTTCAAATGAATGGAGCTTGCGCCGGCTGACGCATGCGCAGATGCGTTTTTTCACAATTTTCTTGTGGGCGGGACCACTCACGGCCATTTTGGATTGCTCCAGTAGAGCACATTTTTTGGCCCATTAGTTAGAACGGCGGAGATAGGCGTGACTCTGTCCATTAATATATACAGTCTATGTTCAAAACACGTACAGGTGTTCAGTACTAAATGGAATCTTTCAATTATAGGTTCTTTTTGAAAACTGATGATGTAAAAGATGTCAAAATCACAAAATTCAATTCATTTCAATGTATTTGTGTATAGCACTAAATCACAATAGTTGTTATCTCGGAGGACTTTACAAAGCTGTCCATTCGCCAACACAGATCAGAGAATCAAACAGCTCAAACATAGGAAATGCATTGATAACAAAAACACATTCAGCCATTGGTCCATAAGAGATAGATGACCAATGTCCATAAATGCGGTTTAATGTCCTTGATCACCTCTGTCCTAGACCCTCCTTCATAGGCAAGAAAAAACAACTAAAAACAGGTGGTAGAAAAAAGTGAGAAGGCTCACATGCTCACATAAAGATTACTTACTTACTTTACGACAACAAACATAACAAAGTAATCCTCCAACTCAAACCAAATAGCATTTCTCAAGAACAAAGCAAAGCCCGATGGTACAGAATAACCTACAACCTGAAACATACGGACATTATGTTTACTCCACATTGCCCTCAGTTTAGACACACCAAAGTTCTAACACAATATTCCCTTGTATCGAGTTTTGTTGTTCCCAAACCGCCCACATTTTTACCACATGAAAAACCATTTATCACCGGCAGCCGCTTACGGAAACCTCAGAAGTCTATTGGAAATCCCTCTGGCTGTTGGCCTCTCAGACAGTGATGAAGTTGTCTCAAAGAAAAATGGAATAACTGTCTTTTTAAGGTCAAGATTTGCTGAACGTGACGCAGGGATAAGACACGAAAGCTGCTAAAATCAGCTCTGGTGATTGCTTTACTCCCAGGGCGCTGGCTGGTTTGCTCACCGCCACACTGCCATTAGCTGTGGGCTGGTGAAGGGCTCTCCTCGCCACTTCCAAAGCCCTGTTCTATTACAGACAAACCCCAGCAGAGAGGGGCCTGTAGTCCACACCCCCAAATCCCCCCATCACCATCCTGATCCGGACACACACACAGACACACTCACACTCCTCCCTCTAATGTTGTGATGGCTCCAAGCATTTATTGACAGTGTCAGAATGAAAACAGCAGTAAACGCATTTGTTTTCTTTCCAGATGACAAACTATCACCTCCCTGAATCACTTTGTCCCAGACCTTCATGCTGCTACATGTGCAGATAATAATAATAATAATACTAAAAATAATAATAATAATATTGCATGCTTCACATATTCAATCAATCAATCAATCAAATTTTATTTATAAAGCGCTTTTCATACAAAAAGTGTAACACAAAGTGCTTTACAGTTTAGTTAAAAACAATCCAACATGCCCAGCCCTAAACCCTCCTCCCCACAGACCTCCCCAAAACCACATTTATAATTATATATACAACCACATGCGTATACACACACACACATATACACACACACACACACACACAGACACACACATACAAGTATAAAGTCACATCAGGTACAATAGGTAAAACAATAAAAGAAATGGGGCTGGGAGCAGATGTAACCGGCTGAAGAAGCGCCATCCAAGGAGCCATCTGCACCAGGAGCAGAGAGCCGGCTGCAGCCACAGGGAACGACACAGGACCCAGAGGAGAGAGGGGCCCCAGACCCTACCAGGCCCAGGAATCAGACCCCATAGGACCCAGAGGAGAGAGGAGGCCCCAGACCCCCACCGGATCCAAGAGCCAGACCCCCGAAGCCACAGCAGACCCCAGCTCTCAGTGCAGAGGGCTCCTCCAGAGGAAACACTGGGGCTACTAAAACAATACAATAATACAACAGAAAGTAGAACAATAAAATGAGACACTAAAAAGAAAAATGGCAGCTGCCTAATATTGATAATAACAATCCACTCCATACACTGCTGCCCTGGGGCAGGCTGACAGAATCACAGATTGCACAATCATCTGATGTTATTTAGCAGTTGTATGGACTGAGGCACAAAAGAGTTTTTAAACCTGTTGCTTTTAATCAATGGAATCCCCCAAGACTCAGTTTGTATTGGAAGTAGAGAACATGAGAGTCTCTGATGAAGTTCTTGGACTAATCATTAACTGCTCAAAAACAGTGCGGTGTGATCAGAGTGGACAGCGACGCTCCCATGATCTCTAACGACTAGTTTTTGCAGTCTCTGAATCTGTGATTTACATTTCACAGTCAGGTTACCGAACCAGCTCACTATTCCATATCTCAAAACGATTCAATACTCACTCTATGGAAGGTCAACTTAACATTTTGGCTCACTCCAAATACTCTAAGCCCACAAAGGAAGTATAGCTGCTGGTGGATCTTTGCATAGATAATTGACACATGATTGTGCCAACACAGTTTATCGTCCAGTTCGGCATGTTACAGCCACTCCACTGTGGCGCTTGGTGTTCCCGGAGGACTCCCATCAAAGTACTAACCAGGCCCTGCCCTACTTAGCTTTGGAGGTGTGAAGGGATCTGGCTTTCACTTGCAGGGCAAACAAACCTTTATATCTTGCACTAGAATGTACTCACTTCTTTCTTTTGCGAAAGTCAGATATTTTACTTAAGTATAGAGTAATCGTTCTTGTGTTGTTTGCTCCTCATTCCAGCTGTTCTGTAACTGGTGATGCAACACTGAAATTTCCTCACCGTGGGACGAGTAAAGAATCTCTTAAGTAGGGTTGCAGTACTGTACTCAGAAAAAAAATAGACAGTGGTGCTGGGGCCATTTAATATTTTAATAACCAGATAAGCATCCAGCTGAGTATCTTATATTTGGCTAAAAAGGTTTCCTATCCAGGACTTTTATCGCCTGTTTGTAGACAGACTGGATGGTCTTAAGGTTTGTTTTTGCAGCCCTGTGACCATGCGTGATTTAGTTGTTGTTTAAGTTATTTTTAGAGGAATTCAAATACGTAATTTAAATTATCTTCAGAACGAGGCACAATTGTTCCCTTCTGGCTCCTCTGACCATGTCATACCAATATTTTTACTAACTTGATATTCTTATGACCTTTTCTTCTCTGCTGTGATACATGGATAACTTGACAGCGTTGCACAAGGTTATATTGCTTGAAAAATCAGCTGATTGGTCTGTGGTGAACCTTAGGGTCAGGTTTGACATTTCCCAAAGGAGAAGTGCACAGACACATGGCAGAACTGAACACACAAAGTGACTTATTATCATATGGTCACACTTTAGTTTAGCCCTCACTTATTAACAGCTAACCAATGTATAATTCATGCTTAATTAGCTCTTATTTGGTATTTATAAATACATTAATATTTATAAACCACTTTTTATTCCTTATTCTACATGGCCTTATTTAACATCTAACGACTAAATTACAGCTGAGTATCTATATGAGTATCTATATCTATAATAATAACTGGATAGTACCGTCCATGTAATTATTCATTCACTCTGTACATGGTGGTGATAAACTACTGTAGCCACCGCTGCCCTGGGGCACACTGACAGAAGTGAGACAACCAGTATTTGCCAGTCGGCCCCTCCGACCACCAACATCAGCCATTCACACACACCACTCCTTCTAGGCAATGTGGGTAAGGACACAATAACAGTTTACACCGGCAGCTGCCCCACTGTGGCACCTGATCTTCATAAAGGTCTCCCATCCCAGTACTAACCAGGCCTTGGCTTTTACATGCAGGTATGGCCATATTCATAGAGATTATCACCATGAAGTAGAAGCATGTTTATGTATCTTTAACATCAGCAGCCAGTGTCTATGTTTCTATGATCTTTTACTCTGCTTTATCAGTATGAAATTTCCTCTTGTCTAAAGTAATGTTGACAAGAGAGAGTGTGTATAAATTGTGATGTGAGATTTTGTCATGTTCTTTGTGCATCTTTCTTTCTCTTGCTCCATCTCCCGTGATCGAAGTCCTGAACTGATTCAAAATACGAAGATAATTTATTACAATAGGCCGAGACATTTACAACAAAGATGTCAAGGAGGCGCTTTGGGCTCATAAACTCGCCGTGCAGAGAAATGAAGCTCTTCCGTCTGCCTATTTAACAGACACGGGGCCCATTTGGTTCCGTGGCCTCCCTGGGGTCCCATGGTCCCTGATCATATCAACCCAGTAATGCAGGCTAAGTGTGGGGAGCGTTTGATCGGAAAGCAGTGTCCTCTAGATCAACGTCAGCAGGTTAAAGGGCCGCTGACAGTTGGGGAGGTGACGAATGGCTATTATTATGGAAAGAAGGTTCCTTTACCCACAGCTCGCAGCCTGAGCGTAGCCGCCGCGTGCACTCCGTCACTGTCAGGGAAAATGATGATCAGATATCATGCCACACAGGGCCTCCGTGTGAAGATGGAGTGGGCCCTGTCTCCCCCATATCCTCTGCTGTCCCCCCCCTCCTCTGCCGTCTCCCCGCGCCCAGCATCCATCTTCATTCTGCTTGGACTCACACTTATTCTGCTTTACAGCTGCAAAAATCCATCAGCCACTTGTGTAAAGTGTAAATGGAAGAATCAGCTCATGCACGGCTAATGAATAATGATGAAAGCGCGTGTATTTTCTGCTCGGCCCAGGGGTTCTGCCGACGAAACACTGCCACCTGTTTGTTCTACGCGGCAAAGATCACGGGACAAACTAATGTCATTAAAAGTGGGCAAATATGGTGAAGTCACGCTCCAGAGCTACAGTATATAAAAATATTTACACGTGGTTGGCCTGTAAGATAGACAGAGGAGCATGGGCCTTATAGCAAGCCTTTCTGGGTGGCGTTTGTGTGTTCTTCCCGTGTTGCGTCTCAGTGTAGGTTTCCTCTGGGTGCTCCGGTCTCCCCTACCACTAAAAACATGTACAATTGGTCTGGCCTGTGCCTCCTGTTTGGTGACCTCACTCCCATCTCGAAAAATTGTAAAGCACTTTGTGACTCTGGTCTACAGGATTACTTACTGTACTTACTTACTTAAAGATTCTTCAGATGTTTTTAAAAATGGGCCAGTGATTTCAAAGCCAGGAGGTAAAGCTGGTTATATAATTCAATAAAATCTATTAAAAAAAATAAAAAAGTGATCAAAACCTATGCTTAAAAGAGGGGCTAAAGTGAGAGTTAAAATAGAGCTAAAATAGGGGCTATGAAGATAAAACAAGGTACATACTGGGCTCTTGTCGGCTCTACACGGCTCCAGTTCTCCTCTCAGTCCTTCAGCTGCCAGACCACGGGGCTTTCGCCTCCCTGTGTCTGTCCTTGTGTCCCGCTAACCTATTCTCCGCTTTTCATACTCTAGGCACAGGTGTTGTAATTGTCCAGTCACGTGGGGAGCTGGGGTGCTTCAGGTGGTGCAGGTCTAAAAACACATAAAATATCATTTAAAATCCAATAACCCTTTTACACCACCTGATACAAGGAATACGACTGGATACTTAGTAGAAGGACGTTTTTAATAAACTAATAACATTTGGACATCATCTTTGCCGATTTGCCCCAGTTTTGTAAAGTGGAATTCCCCCTTGATTAACAGACCATAGCCACGTCCCTCTATGCCATAAAACTCTGATAAGCAATTAGAGAATTTACTTAACATTAGAAGGCCGAGTGACGCCAATAGAAGTCGCGGTCAATTCAACTCAATTTATTCTTTGCCCAAATCACAACATTGATTTTCTTTGAGGACTTAACAAAAACTGTTGAGTTCGCCAACACAGATCAGAGAATCAAACAGTTCAAATTGGTCCATAAGGTCCTGATTTAACCCAAAATGCTCATACATGGTTGGCTTCTTAAGATGTAAGACGGACAGAGGAGTATAGGCAAAGAATCAATGAGGCAAGGAAGACCAGACTGGAGAAGAAGGAAGTCTTTAATCCATGGACCAACAACATTTGAACCAGTTCCTAGCTATACCCCAGCAGATGGATTGCATCAGTGATTCATGCTTATAGGAGCTGTATCTGTCAGAGGCAAGAAGATTCTGTAAAAAGTTTATTGTAATTTAATAATAATATCTATGCATTGGTTTTATATAGCGCTTTTCAGGACACTCAAAGGCGATTCACATGTCGTCATTCTTTTACTCCAAACACGATGATTAAATTGTAGCCACAGCTGCCCCGGGGCACACTGACAGAAGCGAGGAAACCAGTATGAGCCATCAGCCCCTCTCACCACCATCAATAATTCACACACACACCAGACTCATTCTAATGTGGGGAAGTGTCTTGCCTAAGGACACAACAAAGGTATGGCACTTTACAGCCGCAGCCGCCCCACTGTGGCACGTGGTGTTCCCTACAGGTCTCCCATCACAGTGCTGCCCAGGCCCTGCCATGCTTAGCTTCAGAGATCTGACAGAATCTGGCTTTCACATGCAGGTATGGCGTTTTTATTTATTTTTTCTTTCCATGACATGTACATTTATTTTCTATATTTTCTGTTTTTCTAAACTTGTGTGCCTATGTTTGTAAGTTGCACTAAAAACTATATTATCTCAATTCGCTCAAAAAAACCTTCACATTAGGGCCAGAAGTCCTAAGTTCTTCCATCGTCCCGAGTTCCGCGGGTTGAAGTTTGGGGGAGTATACTGATAATTGAATGCGTGAGCGGCTAAACCCTCGCACACATCCAGCGAACACAGATATTTGAAAAGGATTGCAAATTAATTAACTGGTGGCTGTGCAGTTTTATGTCACAGTTAATATCAACAACGCCACACTAATCTTGTGATAATAGAATCCTTATTGATCATAGCCACGTTTGTTTAATAAGATGTGCCGCAAATATATGCAGAGGGAAACAAGATCGCCAACAAAGTACAACTCCAAAAAGTGCTCGGCTGATCACAGACTTCAGAGGAGAACGTGAGGGTTGTTTGCAGATATGAAACGTGACAGTATCGAGACTAATCATGTAGGAGTTGGCGTAGCACTAATGTCTTTATTCAGTTTCAGTTTATTCAAAATGCTGCAGCTCGAGTCCTGACTGGAACCAGGAAGTACCATCACATTAGGCCTGGTCTCAGGTCTCTGCACCGGCTTTATGTGGCTCAGAGAACAGACTTTAAAGCAGCTCTGTTTGCGTACAAGTCTCTCCATGACCTCAACTCGGACTCTGAGGAGCACAGGGACTGGCCTCCTGCTGGGACACTTAGGAGCACAGGGACCGGTCTCCTGCTGGGACTCTGGGGAGGACACGGGACTGGCCTCCTGCTGAGACTTTTGAAGAGCACAGGGACTGGCCTGAGTTGAAATATGACTATCTCATGTTTCAGCAGATCCTTCTAACCAGACTCTTTCCTGAAAAGCAAAGGCCATTCTTCTTTAATGACGTATTCTTCTCTAATTACCTGAAAAGCGGAACCCTCTTATCTGTACTTCAGAACAATGAAGGGAAAAAAACATTTAACCAAAAGTTTTAGTAAATCAGGTTTGAACCATATCTGTGACTGTGAATATCAACGGACGTAGTCACGCCTATATCTCCACCAGTCTAAATAATGCGCCACAACTTCCGCGGTCTATGGGTAGTTTCAAAATGGCCGCGGGGCTGGAAAATGTGAAAAAAATGAATCTGTCGGCAGAGCCCCATTCATTGAACTAGTGCCTTCAAAATTTCACAGCGACTAGACTGGTCCAAAAAAAATCTCTCCCCTCAGCATTGACACACATGTGGAACGGAGCTTTGGGCCGAGAGCCAACTTTTGGACCATCCTGTAAAGACTTTTTCGAGAGGTCTGTTGTTAGCATTGGCTGATTCTTTTTCCGGGTCCACCCCCATCGGCCCGGGGTGGTATTGCAAGCATGTCAGCGCATGTCATTTTGAACCTGCTTTTTGTGTAAACATTGTCAACACCCATTATTGATTGTGTCATTCTGTCTCTTTCTATTGTTTGTAAAATGTAATTTAAAAGCTAACCTAAAAATAGACTACACTCCAAGGACAGGGGAAAATTGACTCTTCAACAGTCCTGACCGCTCGTGTTAAATTGCTAAAACTTGTGAATATAACTTGAAATACATGCTATATGCTAACAGAAAAACTGTGTTGCTTGGGTAACTTGTCATCTAGGAGTAAATAAGATAAAATATGATCAAATTAAATTTATCCCACAATGGAGAAATCTCAATAGTTTCACATTTTCAATACATTAATGGCAGTATCTGAAATTAAAGATAATTTAATCAAAAATAATGACAAAGAAATAAACATCAAAAGTCACGTCAAGTTATTCTAAAGACTAAAAATGCACATGCGTTAAATTGACTGGGAGTTCTAGTGTTAAACTTAAGCGGTATAAATGCTGCATATTTACAATAAGGATTCCAAAGTCATGTTTACAGCTTTTTAAAAACATCCAAAGCGCCACGCATCGTTCCCTTTTCCATCTCAGAAACCCGTCAATTTCTCAACATAACAAAATACGCAATTACGTCTTACGGGAGAATCAATATTATTGCAGTCTCTTTAGTCACGGCCTGACGCGCTGCATGTTTGAATAGGTATCGGTAGAACTATATTACTATTAAGTCTGACTTTGTACACAGTGACATTTCATTAGAGTCCAAAGACAAACACCATCTCCTCTGTCATCTCAGCGGATTAGTGTTTAATATGTCCCAGGCGCAGCGAACGCACCGCACGGACACTTCTGCTTGCTCTGCGCGTCTAAGGAGGAATAACACATATTTTCTCAAGCACTATTGGCGCATAAGTAATCAGAAAAGTTACATCTCTAACATTTGCCATGCCAGAACACAATAATTATTATGAAGGGATACATCTGCGGCTGGATTAGTCACAGCTCATGGACGTTTCGTATCAAATCAGCCCAGGGCCAGATGGAAGGTGATTGTGTCCGTGTGTGATGTCTGCTTCTGGGAGTTATCAGGAGATGGAAATGATGCTGTTTTAGAGTGTTTGTGAATGTGAGGATGTGCTAATGATACCGAGGAGTGAAGTGCTTTCTGTATGTGTGTACCTGAGTAGGATGGTTGTTTTGATGTTGGAGTTAACTTCTAATCCAGTCCTATATAAACAGAATTATACATAACAACAAAACAAAAGTAAAGACATAACAGTAAACAGTGCAGATTAAGAAGTGACACAAAAACAATAATGATTTTGTATTGGGGGCTGAGTATAAATATTTTACAACTAGATACAATATTGATTTTTTACTTGATAATATATTTAATATGTTTTGACTTTATATTCATCTTCAATCAATGAGGTAAAAACTCATCAATAGAGCTGGATTATTGCTCGAATGAAACGAAGCATTAGAGCAGTTTAAACAACACAATACAATTCAGTAAAACAACTTAAGTTTTACTGAGTTGTATTGTGTTGTTTAGAAATAAAAATAATCATATTGAATTGTATCAAATTGAAAGTCCCCTGTATCGAGATATGTATCATTTGGTTGTTTTGATCGTGGTATTTTGAAAAACACAACATAAATTGAATGAACTGTGACAGGGTCATTCTAACACATCTTTGTAGCACTGAAAACAGGACAGAAACTTGTGGTGAGAATCTGAGGCAGTTTGCATCTCCAGAGATCTGGCTTGTACTTTCCCTGCAAGGCCTCCTCCTGATTCAGCTTCGAAAAATATGTCTATGTGCACTTCAGAATTCTGTTTAATATTGTAAAAAATACAATGTAAAAACACAAGAATAAATCTTAATTCATGAAACCTTTGATAGATCTTACATAGACCCAAGACCTGAAGCTCACAATACCTCTGCTTTTAGCTAAAACCTGCTGCCAGACTTTTGAATTCACTTGTCATCAGATAACACTTTTTTTCCTGACTAGTTTCTCTCTGATGCAGGAGGGTCTAAGGACAGTGATGATCCAGGACATTTATGAACATTTATGGACTGAGATTTTCCTGCTCTCTATGGACCAATGGTTTGTTATGCATTTCCTGTGTTTAAATGGTTTGATTCACTGATCTGTCATTGGCGAATAGAACTCTTTGTAAAGTCCTCTGAAACGACTGCTGTTGTGATTTAGAGCTATACAAAAATAAGTATGTGTTCAAACTTTGATCAGTCTATGGAGCATAAAGAGAACAAATGAGCCGTCCATGTTGGAGGCTATAGCACATTTCTCTATGGTGTAAGCACTTGATGAGCTGCTGTAGTGAGGCGGCGCTAACGTGACGGACGCTGAGGACTGTGTCAATGTGGACGAGAGAGGCCTTTTCACTTATATTACCCATGCTCTGAATAATCATTACTGCTAACCAATTTCACAGCTGCAGTTCAGGGGGTCCTTTAACAAAAAATACATACAGTTAATTTGATGAACTATTTTACTAACATGTATAAAGTGCCATGTACAATTATGGGCTCATAGTGGCTCCAGGCTTGGTGTGATTGGTGGTTGAATGTATGCTATTAAGATAAATCATTTTTTATGAGCTTTTGGCTATATATTATACTTGTTTTCCCTTCAATAACCCACTCAAAATCTGTCTGTACACGTCATCTCATCTGTAAATAAGTAAATTCTGCAGTCATGTGCAATGTGCAATTCTGTAAGTTCAGAACGTCCACTGAATGTCACTGTATCTTACGCTGCTAAATATGTAAACCATTTACACTTGATTTATTGATTCTTTCAGGTTCTCTTATCTTCTCTTGTGCAAAAGCTAAATCTATACAGACACATTCTATATGGGAGACAGCAAACTCTTTTGATTAAATAGTTTTAGATCAACATTTAAATTGCAATACAAATATATTGTAAATGAAGGAAAACTATATATTCTGTATATAACATTATTAGGGAACCCTCAACAGATGGCTCAGAAAACGTTTGAGAAGTAGGATTTATAGTGTTTAGTTTAACAATGCAATATTTTATTTTACTTATTTTTAACTTTTTACCTGTCGAAAAAACAAAAACAAAAACAATGCTTGCGAGTTGCCTACTAAAATGGCCTATCTCAAATAAACTACATTTTTCTTTTTTACTAACCTAAACTGCACCAGATAATTCTACACAAAGGTATTAAAAGGAACTAAGCCAAACCTAGAAGTACTCTGTCTTATAAAAGGTTCATTTTTTACAGACAAAAAAGGATATTGGAAAGAGATATGAATACAAACGCGTTCTCTATTCGCTGTTGCTGTTCTGTCTGTGTCCACTAGGGGGCGGTAAGCGCAGTGCTGTTTGTTGTGGAGGGAAGCTGCTACAGTGAGCTTTAGCTTTAGCTTGATTCTCGTGTGTTTCTCCCAGGTTTTTCGTTTTTCTACGTGAGTGTGAGAGTGATAGGTGATAGACCAGTGCTTTCTGTCGGTGTGCAGTTGATGAGATGGCGTACCAGCTGTACAGAAACACCACGCTGGGCAACAGTCTGCAGGAGAGTCTGGACGAGCTCATTCAGGTAACACTAGCTTGACGTTAGCATGTGGCTAATGCTAACATGCATTCCTAGAAATCTGTTCTCATTTTAAAAACATATTGATTATTTTGTGCAGATTGACGTATGACTGGCTCGAGTGAATGATTCGTACACTTATATATGTGTTGACAAAATGTACATTTAATTCAGTTCAATATTTACAGTATCCAACAAAGACACTTGACATGATCAAAACAGTGCTAGCTTCTAACTGAGCTAACCTATTTGTGCTGCTAATGTTGGATCAATCCTAAAATGATTATGGTTACTGTGTTTCTCATTGTTTCTTTGTAGTGTGTTGTCTGTATACAGAACGTATGAAGAGTCCCAAAGATTGATGTCCTGAATCACTATATTGCATTTCAAACTCTTTTTTTCGACACTAAATACTCAATATCACACAGAGTGTTGTATGTTTTTGACTCAAAATAACACCATGTTGTTATGGGATTTCTGATATACTTTAAATTGAACCAGGAGATTCTCAAAAATGTTATTGATACTTAGTATCTATACAATGTTAGTTTTAGTTTATTTAATATCTGGTTTAAAAAAAAAAAAAAACTTCCCAGACAATCCTTGTCCTGGTCTATCACTGTTGTCCTGAGCGTGTTTGCACAAGGTTAAACATTAAAAACAATCAATTGGATGAGACTGTACTTTAGAAGTGTTACTGTGGAGAAGTGATGTGGCAATAAATGTTTTCTAAACGATATTAATAATAAGTCTTTGTGAACTATTTGTCTGTGTGGTGTGTTTTACAGACGCAGCAGATAACCCCTCAGCTTGCGCTCCAGGTGCTGCTGCAGTTTGACAAAGCCATCAACACAGCGCTGGCCAACAGGGTCCGAAACAGAGTCAACTTCAGAGTGAGTCCAGGGTCCAGCTCCCTCCACACCTTCATGTTCCCGCTGCTGTGACTCCAAATCCATTCTAATAATTGCTTGTATTAACCAAACTATGCACTAGTGCACTAACAAAAAACCAACATTTGCAGTAAAACTCCATTGGAATACATGGCTGCCTGTTCTACAATCAGAGTCCTGCTCCAAATGCACCTGTGTTTTTCCCACAGGGCTCCCTGAACACCTACAGGTTTTGTGACAACGTGTGGACCTTTGTCCTGAACGACGTGGAGTTCCGAGAGGTCACAGATCTGGTCAAAGTGGACAAGGTCAAGATTGTGGCGTGTGACGGCAAAAGTATGTACCACGCAGTAAAGTTATAGTTTGGCTCTCTGAAGTATTAGAAGTCCAGAGCTGTCTTGTTATTGTACAATGACCCAATGATTATGATGGAATAGAACTACTGCACCAGTTTGACACCTGAACGTTTATCTTTCCTCTGTGTCTTGTGCAGATACTTCTAATGCAGCGGAGTGACTCTCTGGACCTCCTCTGGACCTCCTCGTGGACCTCCTCTGGAGCCTCATTGTGGAGCCTCCTCGTGGACCTCTTTGAGAGCCTCCTGGACTGTACATATTATTTATTGGCGCAGTGCTGTGAGCTCAGTCTGTGAGACCTTTTATTTTCTACAGGATGATTTGACACGATGCTTTTGTTGTGTTTGAGATGCATTATCTTTAATAAAAACATTTGAAACAGACATTTGCAAAAACACATGTAACGTCTGATGGACAGTCTTCAGGTGTGATTTTCCAGGAAAATTAAACACTTATTGGAAATATGGCTTTATTGAAGCAATCAAATGAAGTAGTTACAAAATGAATCAAACGTTTTTCACTGCTGTTTATGCTACAAGTAACAGAACAATTTTTTTTAATTTTTTTTAAAAGGTATGAGTGAACGTAAAACTCTTATCCTCAGTACTATCCTCAGGTAGAATTGACTCGCCACAGTGATGAGAAAATTTAAGCTAAATTGATGATTTTTCCAAACTTAACCAGCCCTGGGTCAATTTTTCATAATTTTAAAAACAATTACTTTGTTTTACTTTAATTAATCTTCAACTAACGAAATATAAATGCATCAATAGTGCTGTATTTTGGTTCAAGTGTGATGATAAAGTGTTGCACCTTTGCCTCCTGCGTCCCAAAGAGTCAGAAATGTATTAAATATACAGTATTCTTGTTCAGCCGAGATACATGGCTTTTTCCTAAACTTCCGTCTTGGTCGGGAGAAGGTCCACACTTCTCTATATTTAAACTTTTTTATTATGGCAAAAAAGTGAAATTGCATTGTCTCAAGAGAATGATACAAACCAGAACCGTGCTGATTGCAGAAATGTGATTTGTTCTTCTATGTTTGTAATGACTAAAGCAGCTATCAGCATCATGTCCCACAAAGTCAACCGAAAACAGCTGACTTAAAACAAATAATACTAAAATATGACTGGTGACAAAAAAGGAACTAAGAAAACTTGAGCACCATTTTCTTTCCTGGCTATAGATGTATTTAAAATTACATAAGGTAATCTCACATGGCCTCAACACGGGTACAAAATATATACATCTTATCAATAGCTGCCAAACTTTACATGTAAAGAATAAGAAGTCGGCTTTGTGTCAAAACTATGTAAAAGAGCTGTCCATTATGAGATCGATACAATTTTTTGTAGTTTTTTTGCTGTATTTTGAATATAAGTCAGCCTCTGATTTCCCAACAGGGGCTTACAAGGTCTTACAAAAAGCACCAACAATAAAAAAGGTACATAGAAAAAAAATAATTATGTACATTGTCCACCAGAGGGAAGTGTTGTGTAAGCCTCAGTTAGTCTGCCTGGTCCTAGTCTTGGGGCCTGGTCCGGGGCCTAGTCCAGAAAGCGCTGGCAGGCCTTCTTCCAGCGACAGGCCGTGCACCACTGCTCCTTGTGTTCGATGCCGTACACCTTCCGGCATTTCTTGGCTTCTCCTCGAACTTTCCTACATCAGAGCAACACGATCAAACTACAGCAGGAGAGAAGTTTGTGTCTGCAGCGTTACAAAAGTGCCTATCGTCTTTTTTTCACTTCGAACCATTGTTTGAACGCAGCAGGGTAGTGAGGGCAACCGTTAAGGGTCGACTCAAAACAAACAGAATTAACACATAGGAACGGAATTAGCTTTTGCACCTTGAGCCAAAGTAAAAGCCGCGGTTGTGACCTCCTAAAACAACAAAAAGGATTCTGTTTTTGATATTTTCAACACGTTTCTGTGGCCCAATGCACACCTTATGGAAAGTTTTTCATTCCTGAGAAAGTAACTCTCTGAGGAATGCCCTTGGAGACCTCACCGTCGATGCACAAAAGAAGTTGAAAGGATGCATCTTTTTGAAAATTGCTTTACAGTGTCTCCATCTAAACAGGGCCTTACATTAGATTCCAAATAGATAAATTAAATGCCTATTATCAAGAGCTCTGGTGTGTACTATCTGATGCACACTGGGGTATTAGTCTTGTGGTTGTACTGCAAAAGGCCAATAAAATCTTGAATCCATGAAGCCTGAACCTGTGCTATAGGTAACGTACGTGGCTCTCAGAGGGGGAAGCTTGGTGTTCACCTATTTTAGAAAACTGCATGAAAATGGTTCTTCACCTTTACTCAAACTAAATGTGTATAAAAGTAGTGAACCAACCTGCAGGGAGCGCTCTGCTGCAGCCACTGCTCGCCCACACTGACTGAACGCACTCTGAAATGCACCTGCAGGAAGAAGTACAGCTGTCAAAAAACTTCAGAATGAATTGGAATTGAATAACACTTTTTCGTCCTATACAATCAAAGCTAAACTAATAGCCAGTACCAAACACACTGGATGAACAGAACCCGCAAAGTCTTCACCTGCTTGGTGTGGGTGCTGCTGGGAGGGGTGTGGATGCTGCTGGGAGGGGTCCAGCCTGGACTCGGAGCTGCAGTGGTGAGCACAGGGGGCGGAGCCTGAAACACACAATAACAGGATTCATGATGCGCCTCTGAGGCTCAGTGTGAGTCCAGTCCAGTTCAGTGTAAGACCAGAATGAGACCAGTGTAAGTCCAGTCCAGTCTGAGTCCAGTCCAGCATGAGTCCAGAATGAGTCCAGTGTGTACCTGGTAGGAGTGCTCCACATGCACCTGCCAGAAGCCGTGTGAGGAGGAGGGGGCAGAGCTACTGAGCCCGGCTGAGGCCTGGAGAGGGCTGCTGCCGGGGGAGTGGGCGGAGTGTGGGGGAGAGGTGGGGGATGGGGGAGGGGGGGAGGACGGGCTCACTTCAGTGTAGTAAAAATCCTCCTCACTGCGAGAACAGCGCTCGTATTCACCAGCACAACTGTAAATACGAGACACGGATGAGCTACAACGATATATCGATTCAGAATCATTGTTATTATCAAACCAAACTTGTACTCATGTGTAGCGTGTGTGTGTGAGAGAGAGCGCGAGAGTGTGTGTTTGACCAGTATAAATGTGTGGTTTTAACAAATTGACCTTTGTGAAGACTTGTATTTTGACCAAATGTACACCGTACATCCATGAATGTCAACAACAACAGCCTGCCCAGGGACTACGGGTGGAAATCATAGACTGTATATAGTAACGGACGTAGTCACGCCTATCTCCGCCATTCTAACTAATGGGCCAATAATTGGGCTTTCATCGAGTAATTCAAAATGGCAGCGGGGGCTGGAAGCAGATCTCAGGGCGCTGAGATCTGAAGGATCTCAGCGCCTGAAGGAAGAAGCTAGCATTTATCACCTCATACTTGATCATTTTTTGCAGTGCAGCCTGACCTGTGTAAGTGCTGGGTGCGCACATGTCTCTTGATTCCCACGATAGAGGTCAGAACCTTGTCGCAGCCAGGCCACAGACACCTGAAGACCGCATGCTCCGAGCTCTGCAACAGGATTAGCCACATTCACACACTCTGGTCCAAGACCTAGTGCTGGTCCTGGCCCTGGTTCTGGTCCGGTTCCGGGTCCAGAGCCAGAAGGCAAAAGCCAGACTGTGCATTACCTTGGGCCTCCGTGCAGCCGGCTCCTCAAACAGCTCGAGCTCCATGCTGAGGCCGTCGTCAAGGGGCGTGGCCAGGCCTATGTCAGGCTCTGTGATTGGAGGAGAGGCGGTGGGACTGCCCAGGCTCTGGCCGACGCTCCAGTAGCCGCTGCTACAGTCAGAGAGTTCGCCTGCGCAGTCGGCTGCACAGACACATGACCAGATCAGCCACCTGCTGAGATTCTGTTCAATATTGCGATATTAAACGCATGCAAGTAAATCAATAGTAGAGCAAAGTCTTACGATATTTGATTAAATATCGGATTCATTTTTGTGTTTTCTCTGATTTTACTCTGGTTTACATCTGAGGTTTATGATCCTCTATGTCTGCTTGTTGTGACTCTATGATGTCTGCATGTTGTGACTCTATGATGTCTGCATGTCGTGACTCTATGATGTCTGCCTGTCGTGACTCTATGATGTCTGCCTGTCGTGACTCTATGATGTCTGCATGTTGTGACTCTATGATGTCTGCATGTCGTGACTCTATGATGTCTGCATGTCGTGACTCTATGATGTCTGCTTGTTGTTACTCTATGATGTCTGCTTGTCGTGACTCTATGATGTCTGCATGTCGTGACTCTATGATGTCTGCATGTCGTGACTCTATGATGTCTGCATGTCGTGACTCTATGATGTCTGCTTGTTGTTACTCTATGACGTCTGCATGTTGTGACTCTATGTCTGCATGTTGTGACTCTATGATGTCTGCATGTCGTGACTCTATGATGTCTGCATGTCGTGACTCTATGATGTCTGCTTGTTGTTACTCTATGACGTCTGCATGTTGTGACTCTATGATGTCTGCATGTCGTGACTCTATGATGTCTGCATGTCGTGACTCTATGATGTCTGCATGTCGTGACTCTATGATGTCTGCTTGTTGTTACTCTATGACGTCTGCATGTTGTGACTCTATGATGTCTGCATGTTGTGACTCTATGATGTCTGCATGTTGTGACTCTATGATGTCTGCTTGTTGTTACTCTATGACGTCTGCATGTTGTGACTCTATGATGTCTGCATGTTGTGACTATGATGTCTGCTTGTTGTGACTCTATGATGTCTGCTCGTTCTGACTCTAGTCTGTTGTAAGTGATGCTGGGAGCTTCCCATTCCTGTGAGATTCGTCTATTCAGAAATAATGATGTCTTGTCTGTAATAAGGTATTTTTCAAAAATTTTGTAATGTCTGAATATTTTGAGGGAAATGAGTCACAATAATAATGTGATATTTGTAGCCCAAATATCATCGAATTGTTACATTTTTGTCAGTTGCCACTCGCCAGCCAGTCAGGGGTCATTGGGTTAGGACCAGGGTGAGGTTTAAGGTTAGAGTTATGAATCTTGGGAACAGATGGAAGATGAAGACGTGTGAGAGGACCAACCTGAGGGGTCTGGGGGCGCAGCGCTGTGCAGACGGGGGCTGCAGGACAGACTGCTGAGGACCATCGCAGCCATCAGCTCATCCATGTCCACCTCCTGACGCCTGCAGCAGAAGAACGGAGACAGGAGACAGTCACAAGCTGTGCATACACTGTAAAGTATACCTGCAGAGGACACTGAGGGGCAGCAGCAGGACTGAGGGCTACAGGAAGAACAGAGACGGAAATCAGAGAGAGACCAGAGAGAGACCAGAGGGAGAAAGAGACCAGAGAGAGAGAGAGACCAGAGAGAGAGAGAGACCAGAGAGAACCGTGTGATAGTGAGGGACCATTGTTTACCAGACTAGGTCCTACAGAGCAGCTTTCTACTGACCTCTGGGGGACAGCGATGGACAAAGACACAGCTCTGTTGCTTTCTGATGGTTCGGCTCCACACTGAGACACCTGTTGCACAAACACAAAGAGATGATGCAGTTAAGTGGTTCTTTGACTGAGGAGCCTATAAGCTAACCCTAGCTTATAGGCTAAATAAACAAATACTAATAATATGTAGATTATGAATATGGGGACTTTGATGATGATATGATAAGTAGGAACTGTAATACTAATAGAAGGCTTTTGCATTATCAAAATATATGTATGTACAGTACAGACCAAAAGTTTGGACACACTTTCTCATTCAATGAGTTTCCTTTCTTTTCATGACTATTGGCCAACAAGTGCTAAACATCTCTGGGAACTCCTTCAAGACTGTTGGAAGACCATTTCAGGTCCTCTTGAAGCTCATCAAAAGAATATCAAAAGAGTGCGAAGCAGTAATCAAAGCAAAAGGTCCTACTTTGAAGAATCCAGAATATAAAACATATTTTCAGTTGTTTCATACTTTTTTTAGTACGTACATAATTCCACAGGAGTTAATTCATAGTTTTCAGGTTTTCACCTTCAGTGTGAATCTACAATTTCCATAATCATAAAAATAATAAAACTATTTGAATGAGAAGGTCTGTCCGAACTTTTGGTCTGTACTGTATGTGTGTATATACTTGTGTGTAATATATATATATATATATATATATATATATATATATAACCATAGAAATTAGTAGTATATGTATGAACAGGGGGTGGGAGCACATAAGTATTCTTCTTCCCACTCATTTTTGAACCAAACCCTTTTGTAAAATACTGACAAACTGTATGTTGTACACATCCTCCCTGTACCTATTTTGTTGTTTGGTTCTTCATTCTTTTGTTTCTCAAGTGTGTGGGTACAGTTCTTTCTGAGTGCAGAATGTGCTAATCTAAATCTAACCCTGACATTAGGCCTGCAGACCATAATATACTATAGTTTAAAATGTTAGGGTAATGCAGATTGTAAATAGGACGTCAATATTTCTACATCTTAATTAGTGATTTGTGATTAACACAAAGTCGGACAATAACGTGGAATACAATCTGTAAACTTCCACTACTGGTTCACAGTCATGGAGTTTTAGGCACTGCTCGAGCATTGTAAAAAAACGTCAAAAAGTCAAAATTTCAAACAAACAGTAAAAGAACAATGATATGTAGAGAGTAGTCGACCAAGCAAAGGGAGGAAGAGATTGCATGTCTCAAGAGAATGATAATAACCAAATTGTTTGCCTTATTGCGAAATAAGCTGATTAAACCAAACTCAACCAGGCATCATGAGCAGGAATCTGGAGCTAAAGGAGTCAAAGGGAGAGGTTATGGTATAGTTTACTACATTTGACCCATCTCTCAATGAGCCAATCAGGAGTGGCGCTGGTCTGTTCCCGTAACTGAAGGCATCTGATTTGCTGAAAATCCTGAGGTCCTGAAACTTGGGTGTGTCATTCTCAGACTTACCATGAAGCCGAGCTGACCAGCGGGGCCGTCCCCCGGGCGGACGGTGGAGGGGCAGCTGGAGCTCAGCAGCGCCCCCAGAGGAGAACGCTTCCCTAGACGAGTCTTTGGAAACATCGGAGTGTGAGGTCAGATTCTCCTGCACAAAAACACAAGACACAATTACTCGACTGAACTCCTGCTGGGACTCTGAGAAGCACATTGAGGAGCACAGGGACGGACCTCCTGCTAGTGCTCAGTCAAGACTTAACATGGAGGAGAAAATAAATGTAGGTAAAATCTCTTCCAGAAAATGTGAGACAGGCTTCTTTTCTGACAACGATCAAATCCAGGTTAAATACAGTTTTGTTTAGATGAAGGATTTTATTTTCACTCTTTTTAATGAACTGTGATAATTAATGATTTTTCACGCCTTGTGTAATTTTTTCTTTGTGGTTTTGTTAAACACTTTGAGTTGCCTTGTGCATTAACTGTACTATACAAAAAAACTTGCCCTAACATCTCTATCTTTAGCATAATAAAAGTTAGCTTAATAAAAATGTGCTTAACAAAACAAGCTAGAGGCAAAACAAGACATTAAAATCATAAATAATCACAGTGGTAAGACCCAAGTACGAGTCGGGTTTATGGAGACGCAGTTTGTTTGTCAACGCAAATCAAATCAGATGAGCTCTAGATTGTATTGTTTGGTCAAAAAATAAAATAATAATTGCAACAAGGCAGCTCCTGACATATGACTGGCTGAGATGCGCCACTCCCATGGTCCTCATCTGATCCACATGCACAACAACATCACGCACACACCCCCAGAGCCAGCGACCAATCACAACACGAGAGCCACAGTAGCCAAGAAAGAAAGAAAGGGAGAAAAAAATAGGAAAAACTTAATAACACCAGGTTGTTATTTTAAACTCCATGTAACATCCACGAGACATAATCTTTGTACATTCATTCAACGGAGAAGTTCATTCATTTCAGAACAATTGAGAGGGAGTTTGCATAAATAATGAATAAACAAGGACGAATGCTTGTTTTTAAGCTGGATTCTTAACAATATAGTGAAGCACAGTCGTGTACGCAAGCACTAGTTTTCGGGTGAAACTGGTTTGAATGGACATGAGCATTGTTTTTAACGACGTTGTGCCCAGAAAACACACTTTAGATCATGCACATTCTCTCTACACACAGTGTGACGCCGTTAACCGCCAAACAAACGTATGATAAACGTATAATAAAGGTGTAAGAGGCTGCAAAACAAACTCACCTGAGTGGAGAGAGTACAAACAAGCTTCTCCGGTGTGAGCCTATGAGTGTGTGAGTATGCATGTGTGTGTGTGTACGTGTGTGTACGTGTATGTATGTATATGTACGTGTATGTGTGTGTGCGTGCACACCGAGCGTGTGTATGAGCTGCAGAGGGAACAGGCTGAGGCCAGTTTGGCTCCGCGTGGAGGAGGAGAAGAAAATCCCGTCCTGGAGTCTACATAACGTAACCGGACTGCGCTGTTTTTTTCCATTTCATTTTCTGCCGCTTCATCCATTGCCAGGTCGCAGGGGCAACAGTCTGAGCAGGGATGCCCAGACTTCTCTCTTCACACACACTTCCTCCAACCCATCTGGGGGAATCGCAAGGTGTTCCGAGGCCAGCTGGGAGAGTCCCTCTGTGTCCAGGGTCTCCCCCGGGGCCTCCTCCCGGTGGGACATGCCCGGAACACCTCCCCAGTGAGGCATCCAGGAGGCATCCAGAACAGATGTCCGATCCACCTCCACTGGTTCCTCTCGACGTGGAGATATGTAAAATGTGCACTTTTTCTATCCCCGCAGGGAACTTTGTTCTCTGCATTTGACCCATTCTGCAATACCACATATGGCCTATGGCAGTGGTCGCCGTGAGCAGCGTCTCTCGAGCTTAGCAGCCTTTGCTCGGTTCGAAGCACACCTGGCATTAGCTGATACAACCGCCACTGTTCTTTATGTTTGTTCTCGGCTACTGCACACTTTAAGTTCTATCAGAATCAGAATCAAAAATATCCATCCATACATTAAAACAATCCTTTTGGATCAGGAGGGCGGCAGTCAGAGCTGCACCCAGTACACATAGCACCAGCCGCTAGATTATCCTCCAGCAGGTGGTGAGTCCACAGGAGAATGGCTGCTCTATAAGCGTGATCTCACAGTAGAGGCTTCAGGCAAAGTGGGTTTAGTGTCTTGCCCATAGACACAACAACAGCAGACATCAGTTGGTGGACAATGACTCGTGACGTACTCAAACCGACAATCTCAGGCTCTAAGTAAGTAATGTTTATTTATATAGCACAAGACCAAGGTCACCCAAAGCACTATACAATGTTCAGAGTTCAGATATTGGTCCAATCATTCCACACACGGTGATGACGGATGCGAGTTGCTGATCACACTGGACCATCAGCCCCCAATCAACACCATCCATTCACTCTCTCATTTACATTCATACCTATTGTGCATGTTTTTAGTGGTAGGGGAAACTGGAGCACTTGGAGGAAACCTTCGCAGAACATGCAAACTCCACTCAGAAAGGCCCTGTTCCGACCGGGATTCAAACCCAGGACCTTCTTGCTGAGAGGCCACTGTCGCCCACAGAATCAAAAATAATTATGCTATTGTAAGTAACAGGAATCTACTTTGGCATATGGTGCAAACCAGGGACGTGCAGTCAGGGGAGGCAGGGGAGGCAGAGCCTCACCTGCCATTATTGGAAACTAATAATTATTTTAGTTTAAATATATAATTTATATCCACTGTCCTATGCTTTTAATGTATATTCGGCACGGTTCCCATCAGTTTTGATCATTTCTGAAGTCAAAATCGCCGAAATCCCGTTATTCCTATTCAAAGAGACGAGGTGAGGCAGCGCTCCTGCGTGCCTCACCCCAGACCGCTCCCTCACAGTGTGTGTGTGTGTGTCTGAGTGCACTCAGCTCGTGCAGTTGATATATCACCGGTTTGTTTCAAATATCCTGCTTTAAAAACATTTTTTAAACTCCTCTTAGTGTTTAGTAGTGTATTGCACGTATGTGTGTACAATTTATATTTAGTTTAAGTCTTTTGATCGTAGATGAACACACAAGGAAAAAGCTTGGCGTGAGGCAGGCGGTATCTGTGCCTCACCGCTAGGGGTGATAGTGAGCATAAAGTTCATACCAGAGTTGCTAACAAACAATCAGCCCAAAATGCTATTTCTTTTGCTGGAAAATGGATGATTTGAATGAAGATTTTTTTTCTCAATTGGACTTTCAAACAAAGAAAGAATTAATATAGACTGGGAGACCACCACTGGACTTACGAGGTTAGTCCGGCTGCGGGGGAGGAGTTTGTTAATCTGTGTTTTATGTTGAACATTGACAGATACCGGCAAAGTAGTGCTTTTCCGAAAAACACTGATTCAAACACTGCTCAAGAGTTCTGCAACTTGTTTAAATTATTGTTTATGTTCCTCGCGTCTCTCTCTCCTCGCGTCTCCGTCTCTCTCTGCTCCTCGCGTCTCCGTCTCTCTGCTCCTCTCTGTCTCTCTCTGCTCCTCTCTGTCTCTCTCTGCTCCTCTCTCCTCGCGTCTCTCTCTCCTCGCGTCTCCGTCTCTCTCTGCTCCTCGCGTCTCCGTCTCTCTGCTCCTCTCTGTCTCTCTCTGCTCCTCTCTCCTCGCGTCTCTCTCTCCTCGCGTCTCTCGCACCTGCGCTTCTTAAAGATGTTGTTTGATGCGGAGCAGAGTCAGCAGCTAGATTTGTTGTGAGATTATTAAAAGAAGCTGGTTCTCTTATCTTTACAGTATATAAAGTTTGTGGATGTCATTGCATTGGTGATTAAATGCTATTTTATTTGAATAATGATTGTAAATCTGACTTTTAAAGTCAGTGCCTCCCCAATCACAAACCTCACCGCACGTCCCTGGTGCAAACAGTATGTAATTACACACAATAGACATGGGGAACTGTAGTATACTATTACTATTATTATTATTATTATTATTACTATTATTATCATTTCAGCTTTGCGCGTGCTGTGACATACAGTCTATGGCTGTGACATGTGCGTGGTGGATGTGGCGCAGTCTCATCCAGAATTCCGCTCCGGGTTTGCGCTCGATCCGTGCACAGACTGTAGTAAACAAGCAGACCACGTGTGCAGCAGGAGGACGCTCATTGGCCACAGCTCCGGACTACAGATGTGCGCAGTCCGTGTTTACCACATGGACATGGAGAGCCTCTGCGCCATGGATGTGCTCTGCGCGCACACGTACGTTACGTCAGCCCTGCGCTCCCGCTGTGAAGGCGCCACGGGCTCACGGCTCACACAGAAAAGAAACATAAAAAAAATATTTTAAGCTATTGAGGGGCGGGGATGAGTCACATGCAAACTGAACTACTTATGGAAACTGAAGTGTCCACTCGGATATAGCAATCCATTTATTAATTGAAATGCAGGAAAACAATAATAACAAAAATAGTAGTGAATGAATGACAGAAAAGAATAACTTTGAAGCCAACACATAAACTATGTGAAAACGGTATTTTCTCGGCACCACATCTTCGCTTCTTTTAAACCCAAATAATAATAAAATGGCGCTTTTCAGGACACTCACTCCAAACACGGCGGTGATAAACGACTATACTGTAGCCACAGCTGCCCTGCAGGGGCATGTAAGCGAGGTGACCACTATGTGCCATCGGGTTACAGGCATGGATCTATTATAATAAGGGTTACAGGCTGCTGCCTCTGTCTTCATTTCTCACACTCCTCTCACCACGTTTAAGTCGATGGAAAGTTAAACAAAAACATGAATCCATAACTAAATTAGTTGATAACCACAATAATCGATGAGTAGTAGTTGGTTGGGAGTTAGGAGATTTTGAACATAAGTCTGCTTCTTCATCATGCTAAAGTTAAAGACTTTAGACGTCATTCCTTGTTTTGTTAAATATAGATATTTTGCTTATTTCTATGCTATAGTTAGAGATCTTATTTTATATTATTCTATTATAGAATTATGATTAATTTTTCTTATGTTGTGTGCTCCTCATTGTGCTCTCTTCCTACTGTTCTGTAACTGGAAATGCAACCCTGAAATGTCCTTGCTGTGGGGCAAATAAAGGATCTCTTAATCTTAATCAACAATTAACTGTGTCTCTGTGTGTATTTAGACCCTGTGCTCTGGTTGTCGGTCCATTGTATAACTGTATGATTGTACAATGTCTTCTCAAATTGTTATTTTTTCGGGCATGTTTTGTTTTTACTTATGGATTTATTTTCTATTGCTGTCTATTAAATTGTATTATTTTTGCAGTTCTGCCTTTGGGTTGTTCCTTGTTCACTGCGACAAGTGCACTTTTGAATGACTGTAGGGCAGATGGGGCAGATCCTATAGTCCACACTGGTCCTTCATACGTCCAGCTCTAGCACTAGATGGTTTTTCCACTGTGGGATTCTCACGGTTCCGTCCTCCTCACAACTGGTTTCTGAAATCACAGACGTGTTTTAATGGCTCTGTGTTCCATGCACATTTTATTCAGCGTCATATTTGACCGGCACATTTTTCATTTTGTGCATTGATTTTTCATAGACGAGACAGTTGACACATCACACGACAATTTATTTAAGTGGTCCCTCGTTTTTCACTGCCCAATTGTCCCTTCAGTCCATCCTTTACTACATAAGGGCACAGATAGCACCATAAGTGCTACAAAACAGTGGCGAGTCAGCCAGGAGCCTAGAGCGTTGTGACATCATTGGAATCCCCTTTGACCTCTGATCAAACAGTCCATATATGGTCAGAATGGATTTTGTCCAGAAATTTGGTGTTAAAGTACCAAATGCAGTCATTGTTAGTGGTGTAACTGACAGAGAGAAAGACAAAGAGGTTTTTGAGTTTTTAGAGCAACATGATACTATCCGAAGTACTTACCGTCGATGATGACTCATCTGAATTTTACGACTGTTACATTGTAGAGTTCGAGTCCGGTGTAGCCGTTGAAACTTTAGCACCTTTGTTGCCGTACCTCTTACAGTCCACTGACAATCCCAATGTTAAATACTGCATTCGAGCTTTAACTGACGTGTACACCAAAACTGTTGGGGGTAGTGTTACTGAAGCTTACCTGAGCAACTTAAATGGTTTAGCCAAGTTCAGTGGGAAGGGTTTCGAAGAAATGTTGCGGGAGGTTATGTCCACAATAGGGAAGACCATTGAAGCTGCTGAGACAGCTGAGGCCAACCCCACAGACAGCCTTTCTGATCACCCTTACCCTATTGTAGAACCCACACAAAGTGGAGTCTCACCTCCGCACCCTATTGAAACACCTTACTCCCCTAAACTCATTCAGAGCACATTGCAAAGCCCCAGAAGACAAACTGTGACACCTAAAACATTGAGTCAAACTGATCTTAACCGTCCAGAGATCCAGAAAATCGAGCATGTCGTTAAAAACGCAGAAAAGACATCACATGCTCACTCAACACTACGAATCAGAGCTTTCTCTGGCAAAACACCCAGACCTAACAGTGAAGTTGACTACGAAACGTTTCCATGTTGACTTGATGATGGATGATTCTTCTTTGTCTAGCTTGGAAAAGACTCGTAAGATCCTTGAAAGTCTTCTCGCTCCTGCGTCCGATGTCATTCGCCCCCTTGGGCCTGACGCAACTCCTGCAAACTATCTCAAGCTTTTGGACTCAGCTTTTGGTACCGTTGAAGACGGTGAAGAACTGCTTGTAAGATTCATGAACACCCTCCAAGATCATGGAGAAAAACCTTCTGCATATCTCCATCGCTTGCAGGTGGCGCTCAATCTCACAGTGCGTAGAGGCGGTCTTGAGCCACATGAAATGAACAAACAGCTTCTTAAGCAGTTTAACAGAGGCTGTTGGGATGATGGTCTTCTAGCAGAACTGCAGTTAGAGCTTAAGAACAAAGATCCGCCCACTTACGCAGAGTTACTGCTTCTCCTTCGCACTGCAGAAAACAGACAAGAAGTTAAAAGTACTCGAATGAAAAAACACTTTAGTACCACGAAGCCAAAAGCAATATCCCACGAGCAAACGGTTACTGAAACCAATGCTAAAGTTGCTGAAGCAGAGTCCAATAGTCTGAAAGAGCTGAAAAAACAAGTCGCCGATCTAAAGAGCCAGTTAGCTGCAGTCGTGAAACAAAAGAAACAAGCAACACCCAAGCATGACCAAACCAAGAAACCTGTAAATAAAAAACCTGAACATGTTAAAACTGAACACTTACCTTCAACCAGCCGTCCTAGTACCAGACCCAAGCCATGGTATTGCTTCCGCTGCGGGGAAGACGGGCATATTGTAGCTACTTGCGAGTCAGAGCCAAACCCTGCCCTTGTAGATGCAAAACGGAAAGAGCTGAGAGTGAAAAGACAGATCTGGGACAGTCAGAATGACCAGTCCTCTTTAAACTAACGTCTGGCCCTGTTGAGGGACAAACAGAGGCTAGTGCAGAGTTGAACCGTCCCACCAAGTTCAAACGAAAACCTCCATCTAAAAAGAGTGTTAACCTAAAGTCACACTCAAAAGCAGACCCCTTTAACCTTCCTAACGGTTTAATAGGCACGAAATGTACGGCCCAAGTGAAAGTCAATGGTCATACTGTGAGTTGTTTATTAGATACTGGGTCCCAGGTGACTACTGTCCCTGAGTCCTACTACCAACAACATCTATTCACTCACAAGATTAAGCCACTTTTTGAACTGTTAGAAGTTGAGGGAGCCAACGGTCAGTGTGTACCCTACATAGGCTACATTGAAATGCATGTCACTTTCCCGAAAGACTTTCTTGGTATCGAAGCTGAAGTACCGACACTTGCTTTAGTTGTCCCTGATGTGCGTGCAGCTTCTCAGTCATTGGTGCTTATAGGGACAAACACGTTAGATGTACTTTACGAACTGTACTCTGATGCCTGTTCTGAACTGCAGCCAATCATGTCACATGGCTATAAAGCAGTGTTAAAAGTCCTTGAGCTACGGCACCAGCAGTCCAAAGACAGTAGCCTTGGTTTAGTGACACTGCACAACAAAGATCCACAGTTAGTTCCTGCAGGCCAAACAGTTGTTCTAAATGGCTCTGTAGCTTTGTCAGCTGGTAACAGTGAAAAGTCTGTTCTGTTAGAGCACCCGTTAATGTCAGCTGTTCCAGTTGTACTTACCAATGAATCCGAACACGACGTGACAATCCCCCAGAAATGTGTCATTGGAGAAATCAGTGCATATCAAAGAGTCCTATCGCAAGAACACTCAGTGCAAACCCTAAAATCTAAATCTGATCAAAACGCCAATCTGACGTTCAACTTTGACTCCTCTCCCATTAGTGCTGAATGGAAGGAGCGCATAACAGAGAAACTAAGTCAAATGCCAGAAGTATTTGCCCAAAATGACACAGATTTTGGAAAAACGGCTCAAGTGAAACACAATCAAATTATCAGATGAAACCCCATTCAAACACAGAGCGCGTCCCATACATCCAAATGACCTGGAAGCGGTCCGTAAGCATCTCAAAGAACTCCAACAAGCAGGTGTGATCAGAGAGACCTCCCCTTTCTCTTCGCCCATTGTAGTCGTGCGAAAGAAAAATGACGACGTCCGCCTTTGCATTGATTACAGAAAGCTTAACATGCAAACTGTAAAAGATGCTTACGCCCTCCCCAACTTGGAGGAAACGTTTTCAACTTTGAACGGTTCTCAGTGGTTCTCGGTCCTCGATTTAAAGTCGGGATACTACCAAATTGAGGTAGAGGAGCTGGACAAACCAAAGACGGCGTTCGTGTGTCCCATCGGCTTTTGGGAATTCAATAGAATGCCCCAAGGCATTACAAACGCCCCCAGCACATTCCAACGCCTCATGGAGAAATGTATGGGCGACATGAACCTGCATGAAGTGATTGTGTTTCTCGATGATATCATTGTATTCTCCAAAACGCCCGAAGAACATGAGGTCCGCTTAATGAAAGTTCTCAAACGCCTAAAAGACTACGGATTACAACTCTCCCCTGAGAAATGCAAGTTTTTTCAAACTTCGGTCAGATATCTCGGTCATATCGTTTCCAGGAACGGGGTAGAGACCGACCCTGAAAAAGTGAAAGCCCTAAGTACTTGGCCTGTGCCCCGTGATCTCAAACAGCTCCGCTCATTCTTAGGCTTTTCAGGGTACTATAGGCGGTTTGTTAAGAACTATTCCAGCATCGTTAAGCCCCTCACTGACTTAACCTCAGGCTACCCTCCTTTGCGCAAAAGCACAAAGCTCAAAACAAAGCTTGTCCAGTATCATGATCCAAAGACACCTTTCGGCGAAAGATGGACTTCCTCCTGTGACCTTGCTTTTAAAACCATCATCGAAAAGCTCAGTACTGCACCTGTCCTGGGTTTTGCTGACCCTAAGTCTTCATATACACTCCATACCGACGCCAGCACAACAGGGCTTGGCGCCGCCCTCTATCAAGAGCAGAATGGTCAGACTAGGGTTATAGCTTATGCAAGCCGGGGGTTGTCTAAAAGCGAGTCCCGTTACCCTGCCCATAAGTTAGAATTTTTAGCCCTAAAGTGGGCAGTAACGGAAAAGTTTGCAGACTACTTATATGGAAATCAGTTTACTGTCATGACCGATAGTAACCCTCTGACGTACATATTAACTACTGCTAAGATGGACGCCATGAGTTATAGGTGGCTAGCTGCTCTGTCTACGTTTACTTTTAAGCTCCAATACAGAGAAGGCAAGCTTAACTCAGACGCAGATGGCCTTTCCAGACGGCCACATGGCGAGTTACTGATTGACGCAGTGTCCCAAAAAGAACTCGACCGCATACGGCAGTTCACACATACTCACCTGTCCCTACCTGAGAGTAGCTTAAGTCCTGAAGTAGTGTCTGCTATTTGCAAGAAACACCTTGTCTGTAGCTCTCAAAACATCCCTTTGGTTCACTCGTTAGCCCTTACTGTAGCCACCATTCCAGATGACTTTGTCAATGAAACAAACTGGTGGTCTTCCTGTCTAACCCCATATGTCCCCTGAACAGATAAAAAACAAACAAAGAACTGATCCCTGTATAAGAGAAGTCATCGCTCAAATCAAAACTGGTGAAAAAGTCCCACCTACCGTACGAACTGAACTTCCTGACATCAATCTGTTACTTCGAGAGCTCAATCGACTTGAGATGCACAATAACATCCTGTACCGAACACGCCAAGACGGAGGAAATGTTACTTACCAACTTGTCTTACCTGAACAGCTACGCGATTCTGTCTTCCAAAGTCTCCATTGTGACATGGGCCATTTAGGGACTGAGCGTACTTTAGATCTTGCCAGAACAAGATTTTATTGGCCTCGCATGGCGACATACATTGAAAATAAGATCAAAGCATGCAATTGCTGTGTAAGACGTAAGACTCCTCCCGAAAAAGCGGCCCCGCTGGTCAATATTAAGTCCACCCGACCACTTGAATTAGTCTGTATGGACTTCCTGTCCATTGAGCCCGACCGAAGTAATACAAAGGATGTGCTCGTATTAACCGATCATTTCACAAAATATGCGATAGCCATCCCTACAAGCAGAAATCAGACCGTCGCAAAAGCACTTTGGGACAACTTCATTGTCCATTACGGGATACCCGAGCGGTTACATAGCGACCAGGGTCCCAATTTTGAGTCCCACATCATTCAAGAACTTTGCAAAATCATGGGCTTTCGAAAAATTCGAACGACACCGTATCACCCCAGAGGGAACCCAGTAGAACGCTTCAACAGAACGTTATTGAGCATGCTCGGTACTCTGGAGGAAAAAGACAAAACTCAGTGGCACAACTATGTCAAACCACTCGTTCGTGCGTACAATTGTACGAAAAATTACACAACTGGTTTTGCCCCGTACGAGTTGATGTTTGGTTGTCAGCCAAGATTGCCCGTTGATTTAGCATTTGGACTCCCCTTTCTCAACAAAAGTTTCAAGTCACATTCTCAGTACATCGAAAAACTAAAGACTATGCTAAAGGAAAGCTATAAAATAGCAGCAGAAAGCGCTAACAAAATGGCAGAAAGAAACAAAACAAGATTTGACATGCGAGTGAAACCTTCAAGAGTAGAACCGGGCGACAGAGTTTTGGTTCGTGCAGTTCGCCTCAGAGGCAAGCACAAACTAGCAGACAGGTGGGAGACAGATATTCACATTGTGGTGAACCAAGCAGGTGACTTGCCCGTTTACACTATAAAACCTGAAAACAAAAGAAGGGCCAGTTCGCACAGTCCACCGCGATCTCTTACTCCCCTGTGGTTTTCTTTCCCCTGTCGAAGAGAAGCCTGTCCAGCCAACTCGTGTCCACAAACCAAAAACGAGACAATCGCCTGGACAAGATGAAGAATGTGAAAATTCAGAAACCGAAAATGAGTCCGTCTATTGGTTCAGAGAGGAATCTATCCAAGAGCCAATAACGGTCACTCGAGTTTGTGAAATTCCCAAAGCAAAGACATGCTCTGAAGATCCAAATCCTGCTGAAACTCACTTATCTGAGAATGACGATTTACCTGGAAATGACAACTTACCTGGAAATGACAATTTACCTGGATGTGACAACTTACCTGGAAATGACAACTTATTGGATAATAGAAATCTGGAGGAAAACTAAACAATTGAGGAAGAGACAAACAATGACAATGAAATGGAAAATGGAACCAACTTACCGGATGGACCTGTGGAAAAAAAAGGATCAAATGACAATCAAACCGAATTGAGTCAGTCAAAAACTGACAGTGAAACCACAAAGACTGTGAGGCGCTCTGAGAGAACAACAACCCAACCAGAACGACTGCAATATAGTCAGTTGGGAAATCCTCTCATTTCCATTGCCCAGTCCCTGTTTCAAGGACTAAGCTTAGCTTTTACTAGTGCCTTAACAGAGCCAGAGCCTAAAATGATTCCCATGAATACCAATTCTAAGGTTATTACTATTCAGCCATCCCATGCAAAGGGACTTGCATGATTCTAAGGGGGGATAGTGTAACCCAGTGTTAAAAACGTGATTAAAAATAATATTACTGATTAAAATTTCATAATAAATATTGACAAAAAGTATATAAATATAAATTGATAAATATAGTTAAAAAACATCATTTAAAAAGACGTAAAAAATATATTTGGTTGACACCCCGAGCAGCCAATTGCGCTATAGTATAAAATCATCATTAGCCAATAATGTCAAGTCTCCTCTCCTAACCTCTACGTCCTCTGTACGTGCTCGTCAGACATGCCAGAGACGCAGACAGAGAGAGACCTTGTACCTGCTCCGGGGAAGCTAACGTGTTAGTAGCAGCCTTTTTGGTGAAAATACACGGTGATAGATGCTGAGTCCCAAAGGCTGTGAACCCACGCTAGCTGGGAAACCCTGTGTCCTACGTGGATGTAGCATGGTCAGGTTTTTTTGTGTGGATCCAATTCAAGAAGAGGCTCCAGATCTGGATGGCGAGCCATAGCCCGAACAACAGTGACTGGTATTTGTAACCCGACTGGTTACTGTTACAAACGAACAGTGAAAGACTAAACGAACATTGAAAGACTAAACGAACATTGAAAGACTAAACGAACATTGAAAGACTAAACGAACATTGAAAGACTAAACGAACATTGAATGGACTTTACAATTTTGGGGGGTATTTTTTATTTTATTTTTCAAAGCGCGCAATTGTGTTCCCTTTTGTACATAATTACTCTTAAACTAAATTTGCAGAGTAAACGTTACTCCTTGTGTATGTGTGTGTCCTTTGATGTTGTACACCCTAGGCTCCTCCGAATCTCGAATCTATCTGATCTAGCCCAATTGTCCCTTCAGTCCATCCTTTACTACATAAGGGCACAGATAGCACCATAAGTGCTACATTATGCTCTGAAAATTAATTGCAGTAAGAGATGAGAGAAAGACCAGAGAGAGATTAGAGAGAGACCAAAAAGAGATGGGACAGAGAGAGAGACCAGAGATATGGACCCCATAGAGAGAGAGACTAGAAAGAGAGACCAGAGAGTGACAGAGAGACACCGGAGATATAAAACAGAGAGAGACCAGGGAAGGACTTAGAGACCGGAGAGATAGACCTGAGAGAGACCAGAGAGGACCAGAGAGAGAGACCAGAGAGAAAGAGAAAGTTCTCTGAACAAACCACCGCAGTCTACACAAACCGCACAAGTTTTTTTCTTACTTTAAATAAATTAAACTGTATGTTTATACTTTGGTTACATAGATGTTGTTGGGTTTAATTGGCAGGGCATCAGCTGCATGAGGGACGTAAACACACAAACGCTACAACATACTTACACACACAACACCCACAGACCACACATAGTTAACAGTGTGAAGATGGACCAGGACCTGTTCCAGACCCCAGGTGGCTCCTCCATGGTGGGATGTTGTAAGCCCGTCCATCTGTGCCGTCTGACAAGAAGGGAATAAAAATCAGAAATAGACCTATACTAGTGTGGCAAAGTGGAGGCTGCTACACGCTCCGAAAATAATGACCAATTAAATAAAAGAAAGAAAAACCAGCAACGCCAGGGCAGAGTGCCCAAAATAAAATAAAAATAAAAGCGCTCTAAGGCGCACAAGTTCGTTCAATCATTAAGAGGCATAGGCAGACAGTCTGTATACTGATTTATTATTCTACATTATGTTTAGTTCATTTATAGTGATTCACATCTACTTTACACGAGCCCATCTTCCAGTCACGATGGACTCAAGAGCACAGGTGAACACAAAAAGAATCAGAACAGGGAGAGAAACGAGAGACAGCAGGAGAAACAGCGGTGGGCCGCGATGTGGCCAGTCCTCCAGCCTATGGGTAAAATAGAGTTAACTTACGAGTAACCACAATGCTGTTAGTGTGTGCAGCTAGAACCTACTTTCATACAGCAATTGCCGAGCACACCACCTTGACGGGTGACGGTTTAAAGGCCAGACCCACAGCCGGCTACGACACACTCGGACCCCAACGAGGGTGGCCAGACGCCAAAGTGACAGAACAGCATGGCTACACAGAAGCAGGGTTCGCGGGGCACAATGCCGCACCGCGGCACTAAAACAATTGTTAACATTAGCGGTTTCAGCATACCAATATTAGAATTAACACTATAACTTCTCTACCTGGAGCAGGAGAAGGGCTGGCGCAACGACCCACAGGAGACGGAAGTGCAGAGGTAAACAAGAGAGGCGACTCGAGGCTATACTGTCTATATGCGCCCTCTACTGGACAGAAATATGGTGGCCAAGACCAGCTTGCCACACTAGCTACAGTACCTGCTAACTCAGCGATTTAGCGACGTGTATTTGTATTTGGTTAGCGCACCACCGCAGTTCCGGGAAGGATTTGGACACTGCTTTATCAGCTGCTCAGATTCAGATTCATTTTATTTGCAGTAAAACAAGTTGATTCCCAGAGCTGATGACGATGCACACATTCCTGCTTCAGTGAGTTTATGTGAACAGCAGAGAGACATGAGGAATAGAGTTTTGTTATAGGAATGAGACACACATTTATTGTCAATTTTTTTACATATTCAACACGATCAGGTAATAAATTATTAGGACGACAACCGAATTAAATGTTTTCTGATTAAAGCTGAACTAACTCAATTTGTGATTTCAAAGCAGCCGTTTCAAATGTGAGCGCTGGCTCGTTCTTTCTGCTCCCCTCCCCGCACTCACGAAGCTTTCGCCCCCCACTACCCCCCACTACCCCCGACTACCCCCCTCCCACTCAGTATGTGCTCATGTGCTGTTGTTTACGGAGCTTGCGTCTCACAATATGGACCGCGCAGGAAGCACGCAGGATGAGACTTTCTTTTGGCTGTTTCGCTGTATAAGCAGTAACCGATAACGAAGACATGGAAAGTTTCAGGGTCGCCTCCGCCATGAAGCTCGTCTACCTCAGCTGTCTGTGCGCGCTAACGAGCGAAACCTGTAGCTTTTCTCAAGAAAGTAGGGGCCAGTGGCCCGTTGTGATTGGTCACAATCTGGACCCGAAACAAATTCTTTTCCGTGTTGCATGAAAACAAAAGCAAACCAGCCCTACTTGTTCTTCAAAAGGACGTATATCCCAAAGCACTGCATGGATATGGATTGAATTTCCCTAATGAATACAAACATAAAGTGAGGTAGTCCAGCTGTACCTTTATTTCCGACCAGTTTTGGTTAAATTAAAAAATTAAACACATTTGGTTTTCAGAAAAATCAAACCAGAAAATAAAAGTTATGTCTAAATATCTTCATAATGTTAAAAACCCTCGGCACCGACCAGTTTGACAATTCTGTATTACACACGGGAACCTTATTTTCAAGTGCGGCCTATTTGTGGACAACATTTACTTAAGTTTAAAATTTAGCTTGTGTGGTTTATAACATTTGATTCACTTGTAAATCTTCCCAGAGAACGATGTGATTTATTTTGTTCTGTTTTTAATTTGCATTACGTAAAACTAACAGATTATGTACTGTATATTGTATATGTTTTGTGTTCTTTTTTGGTAATCTACTGACCCTTGTTGGCCGATGTGTGTTCTCCGGCCTCCTCCAGCTTCACCTGTCATGTGTAAAAAGTATTGTATTAAAAAGAGAGAGACAGAAGGTGGACACAGTGACTCGGGGTCGTGTTTCGCTCTCACCACTTTGATCAGAGCAGACGGACCCTTCTCTGGAGTCGTGTCTCGCAGCTCAAACGAGTGCCTGAAACAAACAAACATGAAACCACTCTGTACTTTCTGGTCTACAATTGTGAGTTCAAATCCACTTTAGAAACATGTCTGTCCCCGCTCCTTGCTTTGGGAACCATCATTAAAAACCATGCCTACACTGATACATTTTTCTTTTGTGATTTATGTTTTATTGATTGATAAACAGTTTGAACTCCACACTCACAGATAAAGTATATATTAATGTATTATTTCATACATTATTTTTGCTAACGTAGATTTTTTTTTTATTTCATGTCCCTAAAGCTCAGTTCCAGTGACATTTATCTGACCTGAAAGGGAATTGTTAAGACCTCAATATAAATACATTTATGGATAACATTTGTTATGTTGCCTACTGCACTTACAGTATGCAGTAGATGCACACATTTAGAAATGTATTTTCTATTTACGATGTGGTCATTCTTGAGTCAATTAGATCTTATCTCCAGACTTTTGCTATTGACGACTCGATCTTATATTTACAAGGGGAAATGTAGGCTTCGAAATTTGGAGTTTGAAATCTCTGTGCAGATTGTTTTAATCTGTAAAATATTCATCAGATTTCCAAAACTACACTGCAAAAAACTGCTTGAATCGAGTGGTTGTTATCTTCATTTGAGCACATTCTGATTGTCTTAAATCAAGATTTGCGATGGGACAAAGCCATTTAAAGATGCAGTCAGTGATTTTTTCCAGACGCATTTTTTTATATATTGTGGGAAAACGTTCCTTAACCCTAAAAGTAGTCAAGTTATCATGTGTTTTCAAAGAATAATAGACCAGATGCTGATAGTCTCCAAAAATTAATAAAGAATTTTTTAGATTGGACCATTAAAAATAAACCAATGAGATTCGTTCATCCCCAACGAACCAATGGGATGCGTTGACCCCTTCACCCTCTTCCTGTTTCTCGAGAGTGTGCGCACCTGAGTTATCGGATTTTCTAAACCCTAAAATAATTGAACAGAAAATGCCAATTTCATATTTGCCACCCTCTCTCCCTGTTGTGACAAAGAAAAGAAAATGCAGGATGTTTGGTTTGGCGGAGAGGCGAGGGGAGGGGGGAGTGGTTTGGAGTTGGTGCTACGGCTAAGCTAACAAAATCGCTTACTGCACCTTTATTCTTGCTTCATGAATTGTTGCTTTATTTTCTCATTCCAAGGGAGACATTTCTTGTATATTTTTAAAACAAGATCATTTTGTTTTGTCCCATTGGAAAATCTTGTTAAAAGCCAGTCAAAACTTGCTCAATTTAAAAATGCACTGATTCCAAATTTGAGCCATTTCTGACTTATCTTTCATCACTTTTTGCAGTTTATAGGTATTCAGGTTCACAAAGATTCCAGCCGGTTGTCTAAGTTCCAAAGGATTCTCACACACTTTGATGGTTTTGAGAGTTTTTGAAGGGCGTAAGAGAAAACAGCTTCATGTAGTAATTTTAATTCCAACTCTCCTGCTCAGGGTCAAACATGTAAGAAGTGCACCTGCCGCAGTGGGTGCACAGAGCAGAGAGCAGCACGGCCAGCACCAGCAGCACCAGCCCCATGGTACACCAGGTGAGGTCCAGCTCCAGCCCCATCACAGGCTCCAGGTCGATCCTCTCCTGCAGGACCACATGCAGAGGCACTGGTTTTGTCAGGATTTATCCTGCACGTAGGCCATATTGCTATCTAATACAAACAGTTTGAATGGGGAACACGATAACATAGTGAAACAGCTGTGGTTTTAAGAAAAAGATGAAGAGATCCTGTCATTGTCCGACAGTGGGGAAATTTCAGAATTTGATTATCCTTAATTCTTATCACGAGCTGCTTAACCAAACGTGCAGGTACTGTTTACAACTTTTGGATCAGAGATTTTTTTTTTTGATCAGAACGGAAAGCAGCGAAACATGTAAAAAATATGTAGTGTATATATTTTTACTAAAAATATATACACTGTTGTTAAGCCCTGAGGACACAAAACATACAATTTTGTTTAGATTTCTGTACTTTTTGTTTGTTCAATTTTACCTATTTTCTTTCACGCTATTACATTTAAAAGTGATTCTTATTCCTGTTTTAGCATGTTCTGAAGTTTGCATTGATAGAAGAGCAAGAAGTAGCTTACCTGGCCAGTTCACTCAGTGTCACAGAGCAGTAGTTACCGTGAGACAGAAATGCGGGTAAAAAATAAAAAAATCACATGCACCAAACGCAGACAAGAGATGACACATATGCTGGCTGGGTGTTTCAGAGCTCTAACTGTAGGGGACGTTATCAGAGACCGCACCCCGGCAGCCAGCACACACCAACAGACTCACAGTGGTCTGGTTTTACAAGTGACAAGACGACAGCGGGAAGCAGAACGTGTTTGGTGGGATGGTGAGCCGCGGGAAATGGACAGGAGATATGACTTATACCCTGGAGCTGTAGACAGTAGACACATGACTGCCTCGCTCGGCTCGGTCAAAGAAACAAGACAATATGACGTTTTTCCATTTCTTTGTGGTCAAATATAGGATGAGACAAAATTAAAAGTATTGGGTTCTTCTAGAAAATATAAGGTTTTGTGATGATAACACCTTACCACAAAACCTTGTATTGTCTAGTATCGAAGAACCCAGTACTTTCTACTAAGAAGACAAGATGAATCTATAATAATAATAATAATAATAATGCATTGGTTTTTGCATAGTGCTTTCCCGGACTCTCAAAGATTTTTTTTCATTTCACTCCATACACAGTGGTGATAAACTATAACTGTAGCCACAACTGCCCTGGGGCACATTGACAGAAGCGAGGCCATCGACACCTCCCTCCCTCCACCACCAACCATTCACACACTCATCAGACTCATTCTAACGTGGGTAAAGTGTCTTGCCTAGTGACACAGCAACAGTTTGGCACTTTACAACCGCAGCCGCCCCACTGTGGCACCTGGTGTTTCCAGACGTCACCCATTACAATACTAACCAGGCCCCATCCTACTTAGCTTCAGAGGTCTTGCTTTCACATGCAGGTATGGCCACATTAATACTAGTCACACACATTAAAGGAGGAAAAATAACAGAACTCTAAGATTATGCACACATCAAACAAGGCGTATCATTTAAGACACAAGACAAGTTTTAGATCTAGTTTAAGAATTCATATTCAAATCAATCAAAGTGTAAGTTATTGACTGATTGACTGAATGCTCCTGCAGCTGTCACCAGTTCTCTATGACAGAAGGACTGAGTTTTGTGCCTGCCTGGGACTTATTCCTCACATGTGTTTGTCCAAAGCTGATCACTGATTGGCTGTTGTCTGCTTATAATTTGTATAAACTAAAATCCAGTCAACTCTTGTCTCTTGGCGCTTTTGCTCCGCTCTTTCCCGAGTTGCCTTTCTGCCCCAAGCGTGCTTACGACAAGTTTTGTTTCCTCCATCCATCCATCCATTTTCTTCCCTTTAATCCATTTCTGGGTCAGGGGGGTGGCAATCAGACATGCCACCCAAGTCTCATAGCACCAGCCCCTCACTGACCCTCTGCAGGTGGTGAGTCCACAGGAGGACGGCTGCTCTCTGAGTGTGAGCATAGCCTTGATCTTTCAGTGGGGGCTTTGGGCAAAGTGGGGTTAAGTGTCTTGCCCAAGGACACAACGACAGCAGTCATCAGTGGGAGTCGGTGGAGAAGGTGCAGAGGTGGGATTGAACCCACGACCTTCTGGCCTTAAGGCCAATGCTCTACCAACTGAGCTACTGTCGCCTGAATAACTCCTGGTCTCTTCTGAGAGCCAATCAGGATATAGAATTATCAGAGCCAAAATGCTTCTAAGCAAGACGGTCCTGTGTTCAAATCCCTGTCGTAATGGGCCGGTTCTCAGTAGACATATTCTTCCTGTGTCAGTCTAGGTTTCCGCCGGATGCTCCAGTTTTCCTTGCCACCAAAAACATGCCCCATAGGTAGAATCCTCCAGCTCCTGTAGTCCTGACCAAGAGCATCTGCATCTGGAGATGGCTTTGAAGGATGGGTCAAATGCAGAGCACAATATGCTCCACAAGGATCAACCAAGTATGAGTGAGATTAAAAAGATTAACCAGTAGTTATCGCAGTGGAGTTTACACAACCACTGATTTGTCAACACAGATCAGATAATCCAACAGTTCAAACACAAGAAATGGAATGATAGAAAAACACAAAGAGCCATTGGTCCATAATATGTTGATGAATGTCCATACATTTCGTTAAAGGCCGAGTGTCCTGGATCATCATCACTGTCTTTAGACCGTCCTGGATCGGCAAGGAACAACTCTAAAAACCCAATGAGATAATGAGAAACCTCGGGAAGGCTCACATTGAGGGAGGAAGGATTTGGCCAAAGCACTGAACGCATAATCAACCAAAATATACAAATATAAAACAAAAATTGTATACAAATCAGCGCTATTTTTTGCCCTCTCCGGCAGCTAAAGCTTTCAATGTAAATATTTGCTACTGTATGCATATTACTTCAATGTAAATAAGTCATTTAAAACATATATCCATACATATTACACAGTCTCTCCTTTTGTCATAACCAGACAAGGTGTTTATGGAGGACTGTCGTTTCAACCAATGGGGAGAGGGCTCAGGTGACTTCAGAGCAGTGAGCGCGGTGATGGAGCAGCTCAGAGGGACCGCGGTGAATCCTGCGCAGGCCCACAGCAAACTCTCCTCTGCATCCAGCCTCCTCAACAGCCCCGCCCTCCGCATACTGAAGTCCTGCAACAGCGCCTCCTGCTGGCACACGGCGGAGAGTGAGAGCAGCGCCTGAGCGAGCTGCAGACTGTGGCCCCAGAGGTCGAAGCGGCCCGGGGCCAAGAGCTCTGGCACGGGGCAGAGGAAGAACCAGGCTGCGAGGAGCAACAGCAGCAACTAGAGAGCACACGGGAGAGTTAGAGATAGAGATAGAGATAGAGATAGAGATAGAGTTAGGTATATGGAGGTTTTGATTTATTTATCCTGCAGGGGGGAATATCAGATCAAATCCCTCATTTAATTCAATTCAATTCAATTTATTTGCATATTGCCCTAAATCACAACAGTATTTATCACCATTGCAGTCTACTTTGTCACCCATTCTAAACAGTCTCTAGAGCATGTGTATGACCAGAGTGAGACCTGGAAGGCGTGCAGGTACAAGGCAGGGCTGCTGGTCCAGGAGCACGTGTAGAGTCTTTGGGCCATGGGGGTGATGCCCAAGAGGAAGGCCAAAGCTACAGACCCCCCCAGCAGCAGCCTGCGGGGGAAGAGCTGAGCACAGGGACGGGACACCTCCACACAGCAGCCAGCGGCACAACACAACCACGACAGGACAGAAGCAGTGGGAAGGTACAGCTGAGGAGCACAGGTACAGATGAGGAAATGCTGTCCGTCTGTCTATCTTACTCTCTCTCTATATATCTCTATTCATCATCTCTTCATCACAAACAGACCCAGAGTTGTTTTTACCTCTGTCCATCCTTAAATCAAAATCTATCGGCACACATCGGCACAAATCTGCATTCAGCTCTAATAGCTTTTTTGTTTAAATATATGTATACAATTTTCTACATAATATTATTCAAAACTACAAAGAACCAAACCATACAGACTAGCTCAATTTCTGATTAGCTCATTGGTTGCTAGGTCGTTGCTATGTCCTTTGGCTCCAGATTCCAGCAAATTGAGCCTATTCGATAACGCTCCAATCGGCCTCATCTTCTGTACTTGGCTAGTCCACTCCTCGTACAGTCTGACAGCTTACCTGACCCACAGCGCTGTCTCTCCAGTGAGTGTCGGAGCTGTAGACGCTCAGGGCCAGAGCAGGTCCGGCCAGGTGCAGCCCTCGCCCCACAGAGTCCAGGAGGCTCAGGGCGGAGCGCAGAGGTCTGGAGTGAGGATGGAGGAGGAGGAAGGCCGCACTGCGACAAATATGGAAGATTATTTGTGTCATCAGATTTAGAATTTTTTTTAGCTTGAATTTTTCCATTTGACATTTTTAACCCTGAAAAAGCATGTTTGAATATTTTTATCTTTGCATTTCAATCACTAAAAATTCTGTTTACAAATTTCAATGTGATTAAAATTTCAAAATGACATATTCACCTTCGGATTTTATCGTGGAAATTATCGTGGGATCACACTCCTCAGCCTCCCCGGTAAGGTCTACTCCAAGGTACTGGAGAGGAGGCTACGGCCGATGGTCGAATCTCGGATCCAGGAGGAGCAGTGTGGTTTTCGTCCCGGTCGCGGAACACTGGACCAGCTCTATACTCTCCATCGGATACTCGAGGGTTCATGGGAGTTCGCCCAACCTGTCCACATGTGCTTTGTGGATTTGGAGAAGGCGTTCGACTGTGTTCCCCGGGGTGTCCTTTGGGGGGTTCTCCGGGAGTACGGGGTCGGGGGTCCTCTGCTGAGGGCCATCCGGTCCCTGTATGACCGGAGCCAGAGCTGTGTTCGCATTGCCGGCAGTAAGTCAGACCTGTTCCCGGTGAATGTTGGCCTCCGACAGGGCTGCCCTTTGTCACCGGTTCTGTTCACTGTATTTATGGACAGAATATCTAGGCGCAGCCAGGGGTCGGAGGGGGTCCGGTTCGGGGACCACAGGATTTCATCTCTGCTGTTTGCGGACGATGTTGTCCTGTTGGCTCCAACGAACCAGGACCTGCAGCATGCACTGGGACGGTTTGCAGCCGAGTGTGAAGCGGCTGGGATGAGAATCAGCACCTCCAAATCTGAGGCCATGGTGCTCGACCGGAAAAAGGTGCCCTGCCCTCTTCAGGTGGGTGGAGAGGTCCTTCCTCAAGTGGAGGAGTTCAAGTATCTCGGGGTCTTGTTCACGAGTGAGGGAAGAATGGAGCGTGAGATTGACAGGCGGATCGGTGCAGCGTGCGCAGTGATGCGGTCGCTGTATCGGACTGTTGTGGTAAAGAAGGAGCTGAGCCGAAAGGCAAAGCTCTCGATTTACCGGTCAATCTTCGTTCCCTCCCTCACCTATGGGTCATGAGCTTTGGGTAATGACCGAAAGAACGAGATCGCGGATACAAGCGGTCGAAATGAGCTTCCTCCGCAGAGTGGCTGGGCGCTCCCTTAGAGATAGGGTGAGGAGCTCAGTCACACGGGAGGAGCTCGGAGTAGAGCCGCTGCTTCTCCACGTCGAGAGGAACCAGTTGAGGTGGCTCGGGCATCTGTTCCGGATGCCTCCTGGACGCCTCCCTGGGGAGGTGTTCCGGGCACGTCCCACCGGGAGGAGGCCCCGCGGAAGACCTAGGACACGCTGGAGGGACTATGTCTCTCAGCTGGCCTGGGAACGCCTTGGGGTCCCCCCGGACGAGCTGGAGGAAGTGTGTGTGGATAGGGAAGTCTGGGCGTCTCTGCTTAGACTGCTGCCCCCGCGACCCGGCAACGGATAAAGCGGAAGAAAATGGATGGATGGATGGATATTCACCTTCAAAATATTCAATAATTATTTGTTCCATCAGAAATTGAATTTTAAATGGACCTGAATTCATCTATTTGAATTTTTTTAACATCTTGAATATTTTTTACTGTGAATTTCAGTCACTGATTATCAATTTCATAATGTTAAATTCAACAGTCAAAATTCAACGAGAAAAATTTCAATGGCGAAAAATGACACATCTGGTGTTCTGACGAGTTGTGTGCTCTGTCAGTTGGTCTGCGCATGCGTCATTTTACTGAGGTAAAGACAGGCGTAGCTTTCAGCAGTTCTATCGGTTGGTAACATGAATCTATCAGGTTGATATGGGATTTCTAATGAATGGATTGTAATGAAACCAAGGCAAATAACAAGATGATACTACATTAATTTGATGAGTTAGTCTTTTGAACATTTTGGGTAAATGTGCTTGTTTCAAATCATTATTGCTGTATATTCCTGTTTATTTATTTAGGCTGTGCGTGTTTGTTTGAGTTAATGAAAACCATCACATTTGAATTTATAGCAACAAAGGACAGTGTTATTGTTGGTTACGTTATGAAGAAGATGACATAGTCTGGGATCGTGTCATAAATTCCGACAGAAGACATGTTTTATCGTCGATGGTATAGAGACAGCACGAACAACACGAACACAGAATGCAAGTGTATTATACAGAGCGGAGGCATGGAGACCTCCAATCAGCAGCTTCCACGGTGTGCTTGTAGCTTGGCCTTCAGATAGACAAAAAAAGGGAAAAGTACTGGCTTCTGCACACTGATAGATTGATGAGTTTAACTTTAACAAAAGTTGCTTCAAAGTGTTATGAAATCTCACATTCCCCCCTCTGGTCATACATTCACGTGTGACCATCAGGATCGATAAACAGCAACATAACATCATAACTCAATACTTAAACTCGGTAGTTACACAGTATTTGGGTCTAGTTTCCCGTGTAGCGGTTTCCACAGGGCTCACTCGTGTTACTTGAAAAAGAGCTCCATGTAAAGGAATTAACAAAAAACATGTATTCCACAGCTTGAACTCTTGTACACTAAATGATATTTGCTGAGTTGTCTCTGAAATAAAGTAACAACGGTAAGAACACCGTATGGCTGCTTATTTCTTGAGCTGTGAAAAGTTACGTGCTCTTTCGGCTCCACTCGCTCCGTAAACAAAGAAAAACCTTTCTCTCTCTCTCTCTCTCTCTCTCTCAAAATCTCCATTAGTTCTAATCTAAAGGGTCTAATGTAGATAACGAGAGATTCCAGCGTCAGTGAAGAGAAAACAAAGTTCATTATGCGCAGACCAACTGACAGAGCACATAACTCGTCAGACCACCGGATGTGTCATGTGCATTTTTCACCATTGAATTTTTTCTCGTTGAATTTTGACTGTTGAATTTAACATTATGAAATTGACAATCAGTGACTGAAATTCACAGAAAAAAATATTCAAGATGTTAAAAACATTTAAATAGATGAATTCAGGTCCATTTAAAATTCAATTTCTGATGGAACAAATAATCCGTCTTTTTTTTTCTGAATATTTTGAAGGTGAATATGTCATTTTGAAATTTTAATCACATTGAAATTCGTAAACTGAATTTTTAGTGACTGAAATGTAAAGATAAAAATATTCAAACATGCTTTTTCACGGTTAAAAATTTCAAACGGAAAAATTCAAGCTAATAAAAATTCAAAATCTGATGACACAAAAAATCTTCCATAGACAAACACACAATACACAGAGTCTGAAAAAAACGTTTTAAAATCTGGGCCAAAAAAGGTATTAGTTTAGACATTGATAGGTTTTGGATCTAATTCAAGATTTCATTTTGGAATCAATCAAAGTGTAAGTTATTGATGAAGTCAGACTGAATGCTCCTGTAGCTGTCACCAGTCATTTATCTTGAAAGCTTAGAATTAGTGATTTGTTTTTATGCAGTTTCACTTTTTGCAGTTTCATGGCCGTTTTTTAAGTGAATATCAATCTGCATCTGTTGATATGCAATTGTATGTCGTGAAATATCTGTGTATTTAGATCACGTGACAGGTACTGATGATGTTCAAACCTCACCTGCTGCCCAGACTGAAGACCACAGATAGAACATACAGCAGCAGAGGAGCGGATCCCGGGTCGACGGAGACACCTGCCCCCTCTGGAGACCACAGCCGCACCCCCACCACACCCTACAGGAGGAGCGGGATGAGGAGACAGGAGTCAGGTTGTTCAGAAAGCTCGTCAATGTCTCGTCTTTCTGCGGAAACATAGAGAATTAACTACAAACTCTAAGATTCTGTTTATTTCAATGGTGGATAGTTTTCTTGTTGGTTCTGTGACTGTGTGGGTCAGCAAGAGACCAGTCAAGGAGACCACAGAGAGATAATATAGAGAGAGAGAGACCAGAGAGACCACAGAGAGGGACCAGAGAGAGACCAGAGAGCTATAGACCATGAGAGACCAGAGAGACCAGAGAGAAGGACCAGAGAGAGAGGATATAGAGAGAGGGACCAGATAGACCACAGACAACCGCTTTCAATCAAATACACCTCTCCTTCTCAGTAGCGTATACAATTTTCCAGATTTATCGACTTCGCCATCGTCCCTGGGGGATTGAGATTTCACCTCATGCCTGGCCTCACCAATCTCTCTGCGAGATCTTCAGCAAAGCAGACACTTACCCCAGCTTGGAGAACCACGAAGAAGAGGAAGCGAATCACCAGAGCCGCAGCCGCCAGCAGGGGGCACCACACCCTCACCGTGTGGTTGTGCATCTGGAACAGGCTGAGGGCGTAGTGTCTGCGGGACAGGCCCAGGCGGCGGTAACCGGACAGCACGGAGGCTTCTCGGTCCACGGGGGGCACGTCCACTTGCAGAACAGTAGGGGGCAGTGTGGGGAGCAGCTTGTGCAGGACAGTCAGCAGGGGGGCAGGTGCAGAGGGGAGGGACAAGGACACCAGAGACATGTCCACTTCTGCAGAGAGGTCTCCAAACGGGCTGGTTTTCTACCCCTTCTCACCGTTCATTCACTTCAGGCCAGGTGTTATTTTCTTCTTATGTTACGTCTGTGGAGAGGCACGTCAGAGTTATTAGTGCTTGTTTTTTTAAGGCAAGAGAAGTTTATTTTTATTGCACAGTAAACACAAAAGGCAAGTCAAAGTTCCAGGTTTTAATGCAGCCCCTGTCTCTCTCTCTCTCCCGGCTCTATCTGTCTGTCTCTCTTGCTCTCTCTCTCTCTGGCTCTCTCTGTCTCTCTTTCTCTCTCTCTCTCTCCCTCTCTGTCTCTCTGTCTCTCTCTATCTGTCTCTCTCTCTCTCTGGCTCTCTGTCTCTCTCTCTCTCTGGCTCTCTGTCTCTCTCTCTCTTTCTCTCTTGCTCTCTCTCTCTCTGGCTCTCTCTGCCTGTCTCTCTCGCTCTCTTTCTTGCTCTCGCTCTGTCTCTCTCTCTTTCTCTCTCTCTGTCTCTCTCTCTCTCGTCCTAGTTCATATCATCACTTGCATCACTTGTGACCAGTGTTTTTGTTTTTGACCTATTCTGTTTTTATTTTTGATAATAATGGACTTTAAAAAAAACATTGGTCAAGCCAGATACATAGATTTAAAAGCATCATAATATTTATCTGGCTTCAGAACTGTTGCTCCATAATCTTATCCTTTAAAAGTAGGACAAACCAAGAAGAAGCACACAGGGACTTACTGTTTCTCTCTGTGGCACCGCATGTAGTGGTTCTATGATTATAATTTACTTCTAATGAGAATAACTGAGAGAAAGAGAAGGATCTGATCACAGTGGAACTATTACACATCAAAGCAATCAGCAAAGACGTGAGATTTGGCATTTAAAGTTTGGTTTTGTTGAGATAATGTGCCCTTTGCCTAAAAACACAACATACGAGTAGAGCATTTCGTCCAAAGACATGACACAAAACACAGCATTCCAGCCAAATCAATGATGGAAACCAGCAAAAATGATAATAAATATTTGATTCACCTGCAGCAGCTTAGACTGTGAGTCCATTCATCTTTTATATTCCACCAGGACTGACTCGGGAGCGGACAGTGGAGAGAGGTGGACGTCCGAGTCATGGGACGACACACTGCTGACACTGGCTCTTCTACACAATGTCCACTCAGACAGATCTAAATCACATTATTCCCGTAATTTTAACCTCCTCTCCTCAAACTGCACCAGAGACATGTCCTGCTGTGTCTCCCCGACCACCGCCTGGAATCACTGACTTATCTGGCAGCTTTTAGTAATGAACTTAAGCCAAATAATACAGTGTGTTTCAGTGGTCTGTCTCTGTTTAGTCTGTAAGTCCTCTTTCTGTGAGTTCCTCTGTATGTCCAGCAGGCTATGGAACAGTCTTCCTGATGTTGTGAGACAGGCCTCTACCCGTCTGGAATGATCGGAACAATATCTGAACTCTGAACATTGTAAAGCGCTTTCGGTGACCTTGGTCTGTAAAATCTGCTATATAAATAAACATTACTTACTACTTCCTTACCCTGACCATGTTCGAAACTAGACTGAAAATGTATTCTATTTTGTACTGTTTACCGCTTTTATCTCCCTTTTTAATGAGAGTTTTAAAATGCCATTATTTTAGGCTGATCTGTTTTTATATGAAAGGATTGTATATTTCATTGACTTTTTTAATTTCACGCCTTTTTTATTTCACATATTTTTTTATTATGTATTTTGAAGTGTTTTGAAATTTCTCTTGGGAAGCACTTTGAATTGGCTTGTACACAAATTGAGCTACACATATAAATTATTAATTGATTGTGAACTGCCGTGGGACTTCTGCAAAAAAATATGTAGTTTTATGAATACCTCTTATGTGAATGACGGTTTTTCTTTGTGAAGTGTAATTACTCTGTGTATGTATAACTTTGTTGTCTTTATAAGTTATTGGGTTTTTCTAAATATATATGTAGTTTATTTCTGTCATTATTCAAATACAATGATTTTATTGTTACCATAGCAACATACTGTTTACTTGCAGCAGGTAGCATTTGTTAACCTGTAAACCAATATTGTCCTGTTTCAAGTTATATTCATCGGTTTTAGCACTTATTGAAGGTAAAATGAACCGTAACCTATTTTATGGAATTTCTCAGAATTCCACGGGTTTGAATTGGAGCAGTCAAAATGATGGCTCACAGAGTTCTGGTACATTCAGAATTCTGGGAGTCCTATAGTGTGCATTTATTCCAAACCATAAGGAGGCAGTGGGTGAGAATGGGTCTGAGCAATATTTGCTTTTGGGAAAAAAATCTCTCTCTTGAAAATGAACATCTCCTTTAATAATTGAAACATAATTGTATCATAAAGTTGTACAGCTCATATATATTTTTTATATATACACACTGCAAAAAGTGATTACAAAAATAATCTTAATTTTAGCACATTCTGTCTAGCTTGGAATGATAAAATAAAGCAGCAGCAACTAAATGGCTTTGTTCCACTGTTTTAACACAGTCATTCTGACAAGTAAAGCAATAAACCACTTGATTCCAGCAATTCATTTTTCTCAGTGTATCGGACAGTTCATGTGGAGCCCACAGCAGATCGGACACAGGTGCAGCCCACCGCCACACGCCGGAAGGAGGCGGTGAAGCAGTTCGAGCCCGAGTGCCTCTCCAACACAAGGAGCTCCTGGTGAATGGGTACCGCGCTGAGACCCAGGCCATGACCCGCCGTGGCCCCACCCCCCTGCGCTGTCCCGTCCTGGGGGAACAGACACACGCTGCTGCTGCACTCGGCCTCCCACAGAGTCGAGGGGATCTGTGTCTGCACCGTGGACATTCTGAAAAACACACAAGTTGACACACATCGTTTTTCCAAATCTCCAACAAGTGCAAGCTCTGAGTTTGTGAGAAGTCTATGAGAGCCTCACCTCCAGGTCCAGGGAGACAGAGAGCGAGTGTGGATGTCCCCCAGCCCGAGGGTCCGTCCCTCTGACAGAGACGAGGGGTTCGTGGACAGATCCAAACTGGACTCGCAGCTTCTGGGATCTGCTGCCCTCAAAACACTGACAAACACCTGGGGAAGTATTATCTGTTGTTCAAGCAGCTCTTACATACTTACAACGTTTATTTATCATTTTACTGAATATGATCAGGTTTCACTTTCAAGTACTATATTGAGCAGATACTGAAAGTTGAAGAGAAAGATCTGTCTGAATATTTGGACTCAAATACAGATAAAACATGAGCAGGGGTTCCCAACCTGTAGCTCGGAGGCTACCAGTAGCTCCCCAGCCCCTTTCAGGTAGCTCCCCAAACGATACAGAGTTTAACACATGATCCTGGAGATGATAGGGCTTCACCATTGGTCCTGAGTCATTTCACACCACATGAAAACTTTGACTGAAACTGGACTGTATTTGTAGGCTTTTGTCATTAGCTAACCTCCATATTCATTTAACATGAGTTGGCAGACATAAATAAACTTCATTACATTTGTGAAAATCATAGGTATACCTGAAAAAATGGTCTAATGTTACACCTTTAGACAAGACTAAGAGGATATTCAGACCAGAAAAGTCCTTTGCTCCGCTTGCCTGGTCTGAACCAAAAGCGGAGCAAACATTTTCATTTTGCTCCGGTTCGTATTCAGACTGTACTTTTGGCAAGTTAACTTTTTGTAACTTTTTTTTAAACATATTAACACGTGTGACGATCGGCGCTCTTATGGGACAGCGAGACCTCACGGAGAATAGATACGGAAATGGAGGAAAATATGGAGCTCGTACGTGCTGCATGTTTGCTCTGCCTATGTTTGCTCTTTTTAGAGCAAAAGCATCTTCAACATCAACAGCAGCTCATTAGACACAGGCGAAACGCGTTGTTTCACATTTTGGAACAGCGTCGGCGAATGCGTGCTGTTGAAAGCCAAAGGAGACTCTGTGCGCTCCGTGCCCTGTCGGTGGATCTATAATAATAACGGCCCTGTCCCACAGCATTAAGACAGCAGAATTGTGGATAAACAGACGACGGAGGATCAGGTAACTATGAACCAAAGAACACAATTCACTACATTAAACGGGAAATTGCTTTTTGAAACGTGAGTCAGACACGAGGCTTTTAATAATGCAAAGGATTTGAAGATGCTGCCATTAACATAACTGTATACTGTGAACAGTTTTAACTCCAAAAGCCTGTTGCACAGTGTCTCCTCGTTGCTCCAGGTCTGCCCCATGGCTAATTCCTCACAGTTCCTGTCTACAGTGGCTTGTTAAGTCCAAAAAAATGCGCACGAATCTTGGAGTTGTGTCAGATCGACACCGGATGTATTCAGACCTGAATCGACTTGGACCAGAGTTCGTTTGGAAGCGGACCAAGGCCACCTAAAAAAGTGGGTCTCGGTCCGGTTCTTTGGTCCGGACCAGAATTCGTTTGTGTGTAATCAGACCAGCATAAAAGGTCCAGAGTTCCAAACAAATCCTAGTTCGTTTAAAGTGGACCAAATGTGCAGGTCTGAATACACCCTATGATGGAATCATGGAGCAGAGCCAAATAAGTTAATATACAGCTATTAAAGGTTGATTAGACACCGTTTACTTTTGAATGTGCTGGAAACTGCAACAAGTCCTAAATCGCTGTGAAACAGTTTGATTTGTGCTACAATTGTTCCCTTTTTTTTTTTTTTACTTTCTTCTACCTGTAAATGTTACTACAGTGCAGTGTTTGTGGCTTTACACTGATCCAGACCAGAGTAGAGAGAATGCACGATCTGAAATAAGAAGATAAAGCCTAAATCCACTGGAGGAGTACTATTATTTATTATGAAAAATACTTGTAAAGCATTCAGAATTTCACTCTGAACCAGCGCAGAGAAAATAGCCCAAACCAAGCAGACGCTGCACACATTGACAAGAGGAAGAGGCTCATCACCATCGGCAACACCACCTCTGCTGCTGATGCTGCACTTTATTACTATTGTCAGTTACTTTTAAGAATTACATATTTATCTGTTTATTTGTCTATTTAAATTCAATTTTTTTTGTATAGCCCTAAATCACAAAAGTAGTTATCTCGGAGGACTTTACACAACAGTTGAATTCGCCAACACGGGTCAGAGAATCAAACAGACACAAAAGAAACATCAAACACAAGAAATAAAACAGAAAACACATTGGTATTGGTCCGTAAGGGGCAGATGACTAATGTCCATACGTTTTGATAAATGTCCATAAATGTCGAGTGTCGTCTATCGATCTACCATTCTGTATATACTCACCAAAAGTAGAAATATGATTCTCATCCTGAAGGAGTAAATCTTGACTCTGGCCAACAGCACTGTCCTGGAGTCAGAGTAGCGTGCCTTATGTAGCCTGGCGTTGGCCTTGAAAGCAGATTTGAGCGCTGATTTTTCTCCACGCACAGTTTATCTTTGAACTCCATCAACTCTTTCAAGTGTTTACAGCCAATCAAAACACACCTACCTATCAAAGACCTGCATTCACTTCTCAGATGACTAATTTTAGCATGTTTTATGTTAAATCAAGGTAATGCTGAATGTGCTAAAGCTTGTGAAATCTTTTGCACGTTATCAGGAAATTAGCAATACGTCATTCTCATCAACGTGTATCATATGGAAAGCAAAAAACAAGTGTTAAAAAGTCTTCCAAATCTTCTTACATTCTTTTCTTTTCTCATTATATTGACCTATTTGGGGATATTGGATCATTCCAAGGGCACACCAAATCACATCTTAAGGCACACTAATGTTCCACGGCACAATGGTTGAAAAACACTGGTCTACAGAGTGTCCTTATGAGACCTAAAGACCGGTGTCTACCAGACTCGGTGGGTCCGGGCGAGGTGGCCTTGCATCCGCCAGCCCATCATGGAAAATAATTGAGTGTATTTGACAGAATTATGTTCAATGGTACAGTTGACATTATGACATTCAGAATTCTGCTCAATGTATCATAAATTTGATCCTATTATTCATTTATTTTACTTGATAATGATGATGTCCCTCTATAGTTTCTATGCCACGGTTCTCCTACATCGACAGAAATTATTATTATCTGCACCGCACAGTCTCAGTCCTGGTTCCACAGCTTCAGTACAGGTTCTTCAGAAACAGTCTTGGATCTACAGTATAGCTTCAATCCTGGATCTACAGCCTCAGTCCTGCATCTACATCCTCAGTCCTGGATCCATGTCCAACAGGAGAGGGATTCCTCCTTCACTATGGGTCTCTCTGAGGTTTCTCATGTTATGTTAGTATCTCAGTATTACCGACATACTGTCAAAAACATGCTGACATTATCTCCTGAAATCACCTGAACATATTTTTACAAAAAAAGATTCTCTCAATTCTGCTCCATGCCACAGAATTTTATAGCACTGATGTCGTGGTTATGGTCATCGAAATGTATAGCTACAGGGCAGTCTCCGTCGTTCCTACGGATGGTGCCCTTATGCTCACTGATTCTCTGTTTTAATTTCCCAGTGGTTTTAACAATGTAAGCCAGACCACAGAGAGAGACTTACAGGATCCACACACTACAGACCCAGGGTTAGGGTTAGGGTCCCAGGTCTCTGTTAGAGGACCCGAGCTTAGAGAGGGGTAACTGCCCACAGAGGGCAAAAGATTTATTTATTGATTTATTCTCTATCTTTTTTACTGTAATTTTGAAACAAAAGTATTGGGCTTCTATATCAGACAATATTATTATCATTATCTTGTAATGGATTCACTTTGTGAATGTAATTCATTGTGAAATGCTCTGTGGGTGTGGTGACCCTACACCCTTGGGTTCCTGCTCCTTCCTATTTAAAGAGGACTTCCTGGTGCACTGCTAATTGAAAAGTATTTTGAAAGGAAGATTGTGCATGGGAAAAAATGTCTTTATTTGACATTAAACCACTAAAAGTTGAATGGATATTTCCCTAAACAGTTGCTTGGATCTGTGGGCCGTGCGGAATCTGGATCTTATTCCAGATGAGTTCTGAGTCTTTGTTTCTGCAGCAGTCGTGAAGATTTGACCCATGCGCACACTGGTACCACTGGTACCAAGGACCACACATGCAACTTACAGGAAATATTTGCAACAAATGTCTGTGGGAGTGTTGAGATTGAGTAGGCCAAGGGTCTCCAACCAACCATCTCAGAGATTCAAATTCAGATACATTTATTTACCATGTGCTGTAAGACTACATCGGAATATTTGTGCAAAAGTCACAAGTGTGCATCAGACAAAAATAGACCAAGCTAAAAAGTACAGGAAACAATTGTCACTATGAAATCGATCAACAAAAACACTGTCTCTGTTCTTTACCAATGGTGCAGCGATAAAATTTAAGCAGAATTTAAAAGTTTGCTGTAAATTTTCCATGTTTTTGTGAAAACTTGGAGGCACAGACAAGCTTTCTTAACCACCTGAATGTTTTTTTTCTTCCCCTTTCAGGTAATCAGAAATGCATTAAAAACGTGTGTGTGTGTGTGTGTGTGTGTCTGCTCCTTATGGATCATAGGCTTTATATGTTTTTATCGTTGCATTTTCTGCGTTTGAACGGTTTGATTCTCTGATCTGTGTTGGCAAATCAACAGCTTTGTGAAGTCCTCTGAGATAACTGTTGTGAATAAGGGCTATACAAGAATACATTGATTTGAATTGAATAAAAGATAGAAAAGATAGATTTTTGTAGCACTTTTCCCATACCAGGGTAACTCACAAAGTGCTTTAAGTGGAAGTAAATGCAGCAGTAAAAACAAAATAAATGACCTCTTTATTTTAACAGTTTATTACCTGGTTGATCTCAAGCAAAAGTCATAATAAACATGTTTGACCCCGACCACAGCTTACAAATCCGATGTGAAGGATAGAAATGTATACAGATATTGCATTTCATAACTTTGAACCCAGAATTATTTACATCACCACATAATTAATGATATAGTAATGTGTTGAGGTTCTTTCAAAATTACAACATTACGCCTCTCAGCTATTATTCCAGCCAAATAAGCACTTCCTGTTACCATATAAGGCAAGACAAGACAACGAGGCTGGCGTGTCTCTGATGTGGCGAGCTCGAGTTGTCAGCGCCTCTGCCTAACCACATTTACACTGAGAAGATGCCACACTTTCAGTCAGACTAGTCAGCTTTATTACTGAGCCGACATCACAGAAAGCTACAGAAGAGAGAAAATGAAATGAATAATCGATGGAGCCAGAGGAAAGTGCGGCTCAAACAGGTCTAATAAGTAGGTTAATGGGTTAAATGGAACTCATTATTGTTGAAAGAACATCTAATGCATGTGTCTATTTGATTAGAGGTGTCATTGTCATTGCGTCCATTGTAATAGTGTATTCAGGGTTCATGGCAAGGCAAGACAAGTTTGTTTGTATAGCACAGTTCACACAAGGCAACTCAAAGTGCTGAACAAAATAAGGTAGAGACAATCACAGAAAAAATCTCTCAGTTGAAGCAAAGCTAAACAGAGCTGTTTTTAACCTGGATTTACACATTGTCAGAGAAGAAGCCTGTCTCACATTTTCAGCAAGACTGAAAATGTGATATTAGATGCATGAATCTGATATTAGATGCATGAATCTGAAGTGCTGCCTCCCCGTGTTTAGTCCTGACTCTGGGCACTTGCAGGAGGCCAGTCCCTGTGCTCCTCAGAGTCCCAGCAGGAGGCCAGTCCCTATGCTCCTCAGAGTCCCAGCAGGATGGCAGTCCGAACGTCAGAATGTGCTCAAATTAAGATACATGTTGCCAGATTTGAGAAATGTTTGACTTTTTTTCATCACTTTGTGCAGTGTGGGATAGCGCAAGAAGTGAATTAGAAATATGACTATTGAGTTTGTATCATGACTGCAAGTTTTTGCTCTTGACGATATGTTCGATGACCCAGCGTGTGAGACATAAAGTATGAAGGAAGTCATTTATTGCTTGATTTTTTTTTATTATAATTGAATTATAATCACTTTCATCACTGCAAAAACTGATGAATCATAATTTTGCCAAAATTTGGTCAAATGTAGCATAGATTGAGCACATTCTGACTGTTTTAAAACAAGATTTGCCAAAGAAATTAAAAAAAAAAAAAAGATGCAAGAAAAGAAAGGTCTCCCTTGGAATGAGAAAACAAAGCAACAACAGTCAGAATGTTCTCAGATTAAGATACAAACAACTCGATTCAAGCAAGTATTAGATCATACTTTATCATCTTTTGCTCACATAAATAGGAAGTGGATTGATAACACTATCTGATCATGTATTGTGTCACTGTAGTGAATCAGAGTGGATGACATCAGCTCTCAGCCCAAACATCCAGAATTCTGAAAACTACCAGAACTCCCACAGCAGCCATCTAACCCCCAATCAACACCATCCATTCACTCATTTCATTCATACCTGTTGTACGTTATAGTGGTACCTGGAAGAAACCTACACCGACATAGGGAGAACATGCAAATTCAACACAGAAAGGCCTGGAGTTCAGATTCAGATTCAGATTCAGTTAATTTGCCATTTGCAGTAAAAACACCACATAGGAATACATTAGCAAAAGTCACCAGTGTGCACAGACAAATACAGACATAAAACAACATTAAAAGACAAAAATAAAACAAATAAAACAGTAAACAAATGTCACTGTGAAATCGATCGACTAAAACAGTTTCAAAACAAGTGCAAATCATTAAAGTGCTCTGTTCACACTGATAACAGCTTGTGGATAAAAACTGTTAGCGTAACGAGATGTCCTGCATCTCAGAGAGCGATATCTTCTGCCAGAGGGAAGAAGCTGGAACATGGCTTTTCCAGGGTGGCCAGAAGAGTCATTGACAATCCTAAGAGCTATGTTTAAAAGTCTGGATTTATAAAGAACCTCCATTACAGGAAGCTCACAGCCCACGGCCCCCTTTGCAGAGCGGAGCACCTTCAAACCCAGTTGGAATCAAACCCAGGACCTTCTTGCTCTCACCACTGTGCCACCATGAACAATTACATGAACAAATACATTCCCAAATCTGAAGTCTATTAGTCCATACCTCTCTCCTCCTCCATATCCCATGCCCTATCCAGCTCTCCCCTTCCCTCAGATCCATCTGTCTCCTCCTGCCTCAACCAAACAGCCTCCATGAAAACTGCCTCAGTCTCCATCTCTGCCCCTTGGTACACCCCAGATCTCCACAATCTCAAACAACAAACAAGACAACGTTTCCAACTCGAACAATTCCATAAAAAAATCTGCTCTCACTGTCCATGCCCAAGCTTACAAACACGCCCCAACCACATACAACTCTCAAAACTTCCCAGTCCTACTTCTATTCACAACTCATCCACTCAAATTCCCTCTACCTCCATACACTATTTTCCACATTTGCAAAACTGACCAAACCCAAGGACAATATAACCTCCACTTTCACTGCAGACAAATGCAATAACTTCCTCATTCTACCATACCTAAATCTATACTATACACTGTTCACTTGCATCCACTTCCTCCGCTTTTCCTTACTCATCAAGACTCCCCTAACCTCTGGATCTGTCTCTGGCCTCAACCCTAACAACCTGGACAACTTCCGACTCTTGGAACCTGCACCATCACCCAAATCCACCAAATCTCCACTCCTACCCTAGCCTGGTTGTACCACACCATAGTACAAATTACATTACGTACTAAGGTCTGGAGGCGCTCCATTGAGCTCTGTTTACAGATAGGAGGGGTTAACTCCTTTTGCAGATTGAAACGATTGGATCCGAGTTTACCGTGACGTATGTAGTGCACCCGAGTCTGTCGTTAGCATTTAGCATAGAGCCATCACCTTTGCCGCTAATGAAGCCCGTAAGGAATAGCGCCATAATTTTTCCAGCAAATTTATTTGCTAAACATTCTTCTTGCTCCAGCTTCAATTTCTTGATAGACCCAGACCGGATTACTTTATGATCACATGTTGCCAAAACTACAACCTTCCCGTTTGACGAAAACTCTTGACATCACCCACAACTAACTACAACACCCGCCTTCCGCGCTCGCTGATTTTGTCGGTTGAAATTCAAGCGATTGTATTCGCTAACACAGGGACCAGACCCAGACGTTACATGCAGTGAAATTATGATTGAGCGGTGTACGGATGGCTAAGGCCAGGCTACTCCTACCCATCTCTTTGAAACATTTCAATCCGGATTCCGTTCACACCACAGCACAGAAACAGCACTTCTAATAAGTTAGAAATGACCTCCTCACCGCGACTCTGGTTCCATATCCATCCTTCCTTAAGAAGACTGCTTGTCTTAAAAAAACATCATCATGTTTTATTTTTCAGTTGAGGAGTTCATTGAATGCTTATGTGAAACTGGTGGGGTTCAGTACCTCCAACAAGGTTAAGAATCCCTTCTATAGACCATTCTATCCTCAATCAATTGGCATTTCCGGCACAGCACTCCTCTGGTTCACCTCCAACCTCTCCAACCGTGACCACTTTGTCTCTGTCAACAACTGGAACTCCCACACTTCCCTCGTCACCCACGGTGTCCCCCAGGGTTCCGTGCTCGGTCCACTCCTCGTCACCATCTACATGCTTCCTCTCGGTCTGACCATCCGCCACCATGGACCCCACTTTCACTGGAGTCTGACGACACTCAACTCTACATCTCCACCAAATCCATCACCCCTGTCATCCTCTCCACCATCACTAATTGCATCTCCGACATTAAAACTTGGATGGACAATAACTTTCTTAAACTCAAGCAGCATTAAAACAGAACTTCTCATCATCGGCCCCCAATCTCCCTGCCCTTTGTCCAGAACTTTACCCTCCTTATTGACCATCACAATGTCACCCCCTCACCCTCTGTACACAACCACGGCATCACAATGGACTCCACCCTCTCACACCAAACACACATCACCAAAACAAACAAGCTTTAAATTAGTACTCAAAGCCAATCTATTCAAACAGATTTTCTGTAAACCCCCCCTCCCCTTTTCATTTTTATTCTATTTTATTTCATTCCCCATGTGAAGTCTTTGAGTGTCCAAAAAACCGCTATACAAGTTTAATGTATTTATTATTATTATTACTATTATAATAAAGCGGCAAGTAAAAAGTGTCTAACTTTAGCGTAAAAAATAAAGATGATCTCTGATATTTAGAATGAAGACGTTGAAGGCGTCATTTACTGCAGAATCATAGAGTTGTTACAGTTCCATGATGTGATTTGCCTCAGACCACAGAGAGTGGTCTGAGGCAAATCACATCAGACCACAGAGAGTGGGGTATTCCCTGGCCACACGCACAACAACAAGCATTCCTAGAAAAACTACAACGGTTTCAAACTATTACTCATTGTTCTTATCTCTTCTTTGTGGAGAACGCCGCAGTCTCGTTGTTTCCTATTGCACTTTTCATCACTTTAAAGAGCAGTAGGTCGAATGCTTTACTGCTTTAGATTGTTATCTTGGTTCACACCAGCACTTTCTGAGGTGTGTGTGTACGTGCGTCATATACACACAATAGTATTTTTTTAAGTTGCGTCCATTTTGAATGCCCCACTGTGGCACCTGGTGTTCCCATTGGTCTCCCATCACAGTACTAACCAGGCCCTGCACTGCACAGCTTCAGATGTCTGACAGGGTCTGGCTTTTGCATTCAGGTATCTTTATACTGTGTTGTATGAGCGGGAGCGACTTGTCCAACTGAATTGTGTGCACAACAAAAACATGAGAAAACTACATGTTGGATTGATACTAACTAACATTTAATAGCCACATCAAATCGGTAAAATCAGCAGCTTTTTACCACCTAAAAAACCTTGCCAGGATCAAAAACATAATGTCTAAAGCAGACTTGGGCATTCTTATCCATGCATTTGTTAGACTACTCCTGTTATGGCCTGCTCAGAGCTGCATTACATTCAAAATGCAGCAGCTCGAGTCCTGATTAGAACCAGGAAGTACCACATTAGTCCAGTTCTCAGGTCTCTGCACTGGCTTCCTGTAGCTCAGAGAACAGACTTTAAAACAGCTCTGCTTGTGTACAAGTCTCTCCTTGCCTAACGATTGTTCCTACACTCCCCCCTGGTTGGTTAGTTGGTTAGTGGGTTGCCGTGGCTCGGTCTCATAGTGGATCCTCTTTGCTGTGAGAAGATGCTGAGATTTTGATCAAAGCAGGTCACATGAGCTCTTTCTCACTACAGGCGGCGTAATGTCACAACGTTTATTCACAAGATGACTGCAATCTAGGTCACAGCATCAGAGACAGAGCACAGGGGCCTCTGCAGCTCAGGGACGGGTCTGCGTGGCGTATGGTGCCTGTTTAGATTGGGGGCCCCAGACACATGTGGACCAGATCATTTTCAATTAAATTAATTTTCTTAGAGACCTAAACGTGTGTGGTGTGGATTTTATTTTTGTACTTGGTTTTAGTTTGACTTGATTCTCTGTGGTTTTGTTTAATTTTTACTTGCTGTCCTGTTCCCGTGTTTATTGTCAGCTCTGTCACCTGTGTCTATATGTACCTGTGTCTCTCTGTGTCTATATGTACCTGTGTGTCTCTGTGTCTATATGTACCTGTGTCTCTGTGTCTATATGTACCTGTGTCTCTCTGTGTCTATATGTACCTGTGTCTCTCTGTGTCTATATGTACCTGTGTGTCTCTGTGTCTATATGTACCTGTGTCTCTCTGTGTCTATGTACCTGTGTGTCTCTGTGTCTATATGTACCTGTGTCTCTCTGGGTCTATATGTACCTGTGTATCTCTGTGTCTATATGTACCTGTGTCTCTCTGTGTCTATATGTACCTGTGTCTCTCTGTGTCTATATGTACCTTTGTCTCTCTGTGTCTATATGTACCTGTGTCTCTGTGTGTTTATATGTACCTGTGTCTCTCTGTGTCTATATGTACCTGTGTCTCTCTGTGTCTATATGTACCTTTGTCTCTCTGTGTCTATATGTACCTGTGTCTCTCTGTGTCTATATGTACCTTTGTCTCTCTGTGTCTATATGTACCTGTGTCTCTGTGTGTCTATATGTACCTGTGTCTCTCTGTGTCTATATGTACCTGTGTCTCTCTGTGTCTATATGTACCTGTGCTCCTTTCCCCTTGTTGCTGGTCTATTGTCAATATCTGTCCTGTTTCTTTTTAGATTTTCGAGTTTGTTTGTCCCTGGATGGATTTTGTAATCATTAAATCATAATTTTTCCTGTATTTTGGGTCCTCTTTCATTTCATTTCATGACAGAATCAAAACAGTTGTCAATTTGCCAACACAGATCAGAGAATCAAACAGGTCAAACATAGAAAATGCAATGATGAAAAACACATAGAGCCAAAGTTCATAAATGTGGTTGAATGTCGAGTGTCCTGGATCACCACCAATGTCCTTAGACCCTCCTGCATCCACGGGGAACTCCAACACCCAGTGAGAGAAAATGAAAGTTTATTTGGCTTATATATATATATATATATATATATATATATATATATATATATATATATATATATATATATATATATAATTAAAATGAGTAAGAAACTGCTTAAAATGAGAACAATTTGTGAGAAATAAGAATAAATACTTAAAACAAGCATTTCAGAAACTCACGATTATGAAGTATTATTATCTTAGAAAAATAATTTTACATATTCTGAATAAAATATTTATTTGTTTATAATCAAGCCGATATTGGACTGCTTCTACCAAACTTAAGAAAGGACATCTGTTTAGAGCAGAGAACACATTTAGAGAGTAATATTATTCTTTTGTTTAATTAATAACATTTGTTACTGAAGAAATCCAATACATAAAACATTCTTACCATTAATGCCAACTAAGATTTGCCTTGCTTTGCCTTACATGACAAACAACATTCAGGCATTCAAAAACTTACCATTAAAAAAATCAATTATGTTATGTTTAGTAAATAAATCTTACCAAGATTTTAATTTTTTTCAGAGTAATAATCAATGACTCTTCTGGCCTCATCATAAGCTGTTGTCAACTGTTTTTATTTGACTTTACTCAGACAGACTTTAATGATCCACAGGTGAAATTGCGTGATCACAGTAGCTTGCATAGTATTCCACAAAATATAACAATGAAAAAAATAACAATAAAGTAACATCCTGAAAGTAAGAATAATAATAAGATACTCACCCGTTGTCCCATTGTCTGTTTCATGGTACGATGACGGGATCTCTGAGCCTGGCCTCTTCCATCTACACCTGTGGACTGCCCCGCCCGACCCGCCTGGGAGTGCTTCGGTCCTGCACCGGACCTGTCCACGTTCAGCGTCCACTGGTCCACGTTCTGTAGCTAGCTTAGGTCCTAGATCATTAGCCTGTCCGTCCGGAGGAGCGGATCCCTTTCTCAAATGGGTCTCCCTCCCTGTGGGTTTCCCTAGTTCTCCCGAAGGTTTCTCACTTTTTCCCACTGGGTTTTTTAAGAGTTTTTCCTTGTCGATGCAGGAGGGTCTTGTTGGACAGTTAGTGTCCAACAGAAAGGATTGGTGATGATCAGGACACTTTAGCATTCTACAACATGTATGGACATTTTCTCCTGTGTGTGCTTTATATTCTTCATGTGTTTTAACTGTTGATTCTCTGACCTGTGTTGGTGATTTCAATGGTTTTGTTAAGTCCTCTGAGATGACCTCTGTTGTGACCTAGGGCTATACAAGAATAAATGGTATTGTATTGTATACTATTGTGAGAATAGAATAATCTGGTTATAGGTATAGGTGTGAGTTTGTTACACATTTACAGTACAAAATAGTGGATAACAGGATAATACACATCTGTAAATATACAACAGATACAAAGACAAAGTAGATAAAATTGACGTCTGTTTATTCACAGTTTCTTTACTATTATCAGTGAGAGGAATAGCTTCTTGAGGAAACCATACCGTTTTCGAGGGGGTCCTGTTTAGATGTGTATATTTAATATATATATAAATCAGATTAGACTATGATTTTATGAACATTTATAGAGAATACTTCATTATCTGAATAAGATAATTCTTCATTTATAATCAAGCCGATATTGGACTACTTCTATCAAACGTCAAAAAGGACATCTGTTTAGAGCAGAGAACACATTTAGAGAGAAATATTATTATTTTCTTTAATAACAAATTGTATACTGAAGAAATCCAATACATAAAACATTCTTACCGTTAATGCCAACCAAGATTTGTCTGAGAGCTGGACACAATCAAAAGAATTATTAGAACAATATTAGGTTAGTGATATTATTACTCTGCAAAACTGTCTTACCCAGAAGCCACTCAGATAAGGCACGTCATGTGTGATGTCATGAGACGATTCTGAGGAAGACGGAAGTATTCGTTGAAACATATCAAGGTAATAACATCGCTAACTTAATCTCAACTGTCTGGTACAGAACAACCAAAAACGTTTAGTTCTACCAAAAAGACAAGAAGAATGTTCCCAAACCCAATCATTAAAAGCCATGGGTTCCTGACCCCTGGTTTAGAGAAATGACCAGATACCAATAGTTAAAGGGACCATAACGTGCACAACTGACTTTCCAGCTTTTGACCACGTTATAGTTCTCATACACTTCACACACATCAGAAAGCAACATTTTCATCTTTACAATTCTGCATCATGAGGATATACATGTTTCATCTGATTCTTCTTTGAGGTTTGGGAAGTAGCAAAAACCCCTAAAATCCCTGAGAACGTGGACGTACTTCTGTGCATCAGCGTTACTGTATGCATTTGGTAAAAAAAATAGGTCAGATAGAGGTTCGTGTGGGTTAAAAGACGGTAAGACACAAGAAAGGATATTACATCATGAGGAGGAAACACCAACTTCTGGCACTGACAATAAAAGCCTGAGCTCTGGTATCACCACAATACTTCCACCTCAACCTCCAGCTGAACCTGCACACCCAAGACCAGTCCATGATGGCCTCTGTCTGCGTCAAGGTGAGCTCTCTAACAATTCAATTCAACCTAAGAATGCATTATCTACATGGACCCAAGTCATATCTGTGGAAATAATTTCCACAATAATAATTTCAATAATTATTATTGCAATAATTTCAGGTTTTTGAGTGGTTTTTGATCCGTAATTTAACAACATAAACTTAAATCACGCAAAACCAGGAAGCAGCCCAAAAAGTGCACATTTAACACAGCGGGAACACAAAAGAAACAAGTTGTATTTTGCCTGGATACGAGTAGATGAATTGGTAAAACTTTATGTCAGAAATTGCACTATTCCCTCAAGGCTATCACCGTTTAATGCAACATGTTTTACCGTTCACAATATCTCCCAAGATTTCATTGTCTGTATGTGGAGATTTGTTTTGTTTTGTGTGCATCTGTGTCTTTGTTTTGTACCAAAGCTGAAAAGCGGTTTGCTTCAGCCCACTCCTTTTGAGCAGAATTTATACAGTTTAGATAGATAGATAGATAGATGATACATAGATACTGTACATAGATAGATAGATAGATACATAGATTGATAAAAACATATGGCTTGTATAAAAAACATGAGGCTGAGTTATATATGAGGTAAAAGCAGTGCTACATTAATGGTAAATAAATAGATTTTGGATATTCTGTTAAATGTCTCCACTTGGCAAAATCTCATCTTGTCTCATGTGTCATTTCCTCATTTTCTTTGTGGGACAACCCTTAGCTTTTATCACAAAGACAGAATTTTAAAGATTCCTTAAATTCTTGCCTAAATTCAGATTGTAAAGTGTAGTTTGTAGATGAATGCGGGTGATGAGTCCTGGGAGCCAAGTCTGCAAAGCCTTGTCTGTCTGCTCTATTCTCAAACTTTCTCACTGGGAGTTTAAGATTGACACACACACACATGGGACAGGCTAATCCATGTGTGACAATACTGCTCCTGAAGCCAAAACAACAGCCCCTGAATTCAAAAGTCATTTAGAAATATGCCAATTGTGAAGAAAGAATCCATCCTAAGATTGTGTAGAGAGTTGTTGCATCTGGGCGCTTCCAAAATCCACTTTGGTGACCTTTTTTGGCACTGAGCTATTAAACATTATCACACACTAATACTATACATCAATGATAGAATACTCAGTCATATATTTTTAAGATTTATTAAGCACCCATTAGTCCCTATTCTACATGGCCTTGTTCATTATCTACTACTAACTGACACTTTTCTATTTCTGCTGTCCAAACAAGTAGAGGGCCATGAGAATCTGACATTAATAATATTCGTAGATTCTGAGCTACACTGCAAACAATGATCAAACAGGAGGTAATCATTGCTTGAATCAAATGGTTTTTATCTTACTCTGAGAAATGTTTGACTTATTTTGTGTCACTTTTTGCAGTGTATAGTTTGGGGAATCCTGATTGTTTTGCCCATTATTAAATATAGATTAAATGTTGTATATCATAGCTTAATGTATTACTATAGCTAGATAAATCATATTGCTACTAACTGACACTTTCCCATGTGGGGTAGGGTGAGGGACAGGGTTAGGGTTTGGGGGTCAAGTCTAGAATTAGGGTTAGTGCTCAGGCTACTCTGAAAAAAGTAAATCTTGGTAAGATGTATTTACTAAAAATAACATAAATTATGCTTATATGGTAAGTTTTTTGCTTGAATGTAGTTTATCAAGTTTGTCAAGATTATTTTACTGAGATAATAATACTTCATAATCTTATCAGAGGAAAAAGTCTGAGCAGTGAGTTTTTAATGCTTGTTTTAAGTAATTTTTTTTTTTTCCTGACAACTTTTCTTGTTAAAATAGAATAAGCATGTTATGTACAAACATTTTTCAAACATTTTAAATAGATAAATAACTAATACTTTAAATGTATATTTTTAGACTACAATCAAGTGATTTGGGGCCAGTATTATTTTCTTATTTTCATAAATATTGTCAAGTCATATTTTCTTGTTCTATTGGCAGATATGTTTGTATTTTACTTATTTTAATATATATATTCCTTCTTGATAAGGTTATGGTTAGGGTTGAGATTAGGATACACTAATTGACACTTTTTTTGCTGTTATTTAGTGAGGGCTAATCTAAAAAGCACTTCAGTCACTTTATATCATATGCCATAAGGTCATTTTGCTTGTTCTTTTACTTCCTAAACCCTCACCAACAGCACTGTGCTCCTCAGATTTCCTGTGCGTTCGTCCTGGTGCTGATGCTGCTGGCTGAGACGGACGGAGCCGGAATCCCGAGGCCCACGGTCCCAAGGCTCACGGTCCCGAGGAACGTTCACCTCCACAAGCACAACACGAGCAGCAGACATGAAGGCTTTGTCCCACTGCAGCTGAACACCGAGGTGTTGGCTCCGGCCGCTCCCCTCAGGTCCCTGCAAAACTCCTCCATCTCACCCTGGACCTACGAGTAAGTCACACCCCAGGGGGCTTCACATGGATACACTGCATTATGTTTTTAAAATAAGACAAAAGTGTAAAGAAGCTAGTACTGGTTAATGAAGCAGTACTATTTTTTTTACACTTTTGTGTTCCAAGTTCAGGAGTACTTTGTCCATGTGGTATGGTAATAATACTACAACAACTACTACTACTATTACTACTACTGATAATAATAATGATAATAATAATGATAATAATAATAATAATACATTGCTCTTTTCAAAGTTATTCAAGACTCATGAATGAAATGTTTAGAGGTTTCAACTAGTGTAGGCCTGGTGGAGGTATGTGCAGATAACTTAATACAAATAACAAAAAGGTTTAAAAAGCACACAGTTCAAAACAAGTTTATACAAATGTTAAGTTTATGTACTCACTCCTGTCTTTTTTCAAAACTCCATTTACTTCTTTCAACGAATCAAATGTATACTTTTCATTATGTGTTGTATGTTTAAGGCTTAGACGGTTTTTCAAATAAGACAACAGTGCTACTTAATTAGGTCTTTGAGCAGCACTAGCTTCTTTACACTTATTATAAGAACCTTCTAAGTCCTGGGGTACTTGGTCCATGTGAGTTGAGACTACTACTACTACAACTACTACTACTACAACAACTACTACTACTACTAGATAGAGATAGATACTTTACTGATCTCCATCGGAGAAATTCAGGTGTCCAGTAGCAGCAAAAATGAAAAATAAAATTGATCATTCTAAAAAGTTAAGAATAGTAATAATCAGCAACTTCAGGTCACAGCAGAAGAGGTAGAGTAGCCTCTGGGTGGAGCAGGACGGGTCACAAGGTGGAGTACCCGCTTGGTTCGGACCTTTTTCTCTGCTCTAGTCCAAAGTAAAATGCTAAATGTGTCATTTGCATTTTTCAAAAAGTTAGCATTCCTCCTGAGGATTTTCACCTGATCCGCTTGGTTCGGACCATGAATCCTCTCTGCTCTGGTCTGGACCAGTGTAAAACCATTAACACTGTACTGCACCAACATCTCAGGTAGAAAAAAGCAAATTTAAGTTCAAAAGCACAAAATAACAACTGTTTCAGAGCTACTGAGGACATGCCGCCGTTTCCCAGCGCATTCAAAAGTAAAAACTACTTCTACTACTACTAACTACTATTATTTCAAAGACGCAAACAGGAGTAAAGTAAAATGATCATAAAACGCTGCTGGAGCAGAATGCCAGAAAGCCTCTCATTCCTCTGATCACTGCAATATATGATAAAGGTGTTTTTTTTTTTTTTTTGTCTTAATTGAGTTCATTCTGATTGTGTTTTCCAATGGGACAAATCAATGTAGTATTATTTCAGCCATTTCTTGTATCTTTTTAAAACAAGATAACTTTGCCTTCTCCTTTTGGCAAATCTAGTTTGAAGGCAGTCAGAATGAGCTCAAATTAAGATATGTTATGCCAAATTTGCACTTATTTTTCATCATTTTTTGCAATGTGGAATGAGAAAATAAAGCAACAGTTCTGGAAATAAGACCAAACGGCTAACATTACTGTTTGCAGCGATCCGATCATAACGTCGTGCTTCTCTGTCTCCGCAGCTACAAGTACGACGAGTCCCTCTACCCGTCTCACAGTTTTGCCGAGGCTCGCTGTCTGCTGAGCGGCTGCCTGAACCTTAGAGGCACAGAGGACAGTAACCTATCCTCCAGACTCATCAAGCACCAGGTCCTGCAGCTGCGCCGGGTCAAGTCCTCCAACGGGACGTACTACTTCAGACTGGAGCAGCGGCTCAGGGCGGTGGGCTGCACCTGCGTCCGCAACACGTACATTCAGCAGGAGTGAGCCGCGAACACATAAACGGCAACCAATGATACAATATGAGGTGATTATTGCTTGAATCAAGTTTTTTTTTTTTTTTTTTATCTTAATCTGAGTTTATTCTGACTGTGTTAAAACAAGATTCTTCAATGGGACAAAGCCATTTAGTCTAATTTCAAGAACTGTTGCTTTATTATCTCATTCCAAGGGAGACATTTCTTGTATGTTTTTAAAACAAGATCATTGGTAAATCTTGTTTTAAGGCAGTCAGAATGTGCTCAAATTAAGATGCATTTTGCCAAATTTTAGCTTATTTTACATACATTTTTGCAGTGTGTACTACTGTATTTTCAGATGTATTTATTTATTTATATATTTTATAGAGACAGTGCACAATAATCAACTTCTAGTGAAGATGCCATATTATAGAGTTTACATCCCAACACCACCTCCAACAAATCACACACAGACTCATTCTAATGTGGGTGAAGTGTCTTGCCTAAGGACACAACGACCGTTTGGAACTTTACAACCGCCTCACCGTGGCACGTGGTGTTCCCAGAGGTCTCCCATCACAGTACTAACCAGGCCCTTCCATGCTTAGCCTCAGAGGTCTGACGGGATCTGGCTTTCACTGCAGGTATGGCCACTTAGAGTAGCCCTCACTAATTATCAGCTATTTAACTGCTATTAGTGTAGCTTAACCCTAATGTTGAATAAGGCCTTGTAGAAAAAGGACTAATTAATGCTTAATAAACACCATTAAATACCATAAATTATACAATATCTGATAATTAGTGAGGGTGAAACTAAAGTGTGACCAAACATGCTAGTTACTGATGCTGAAAAAGTGAATATAAGTTATGGTGCTGAGAAAAACAGAATGATTGCAACTTTTTATTTTTGGTCTTTGTTGGACACATCTGGTCTGTTGTTTAAAGTGAGGTTTGATGTGTGTTATTTTATCTCTTCAACCGTTCATTTCTGGATTTGAATATATTTTTGATACATATGGGAATCCTTTGGTTTCATTTCCACGATCGAACCCGTTTTTTTTATCCATACAACTTTGATCTACATTTAGTTTCCATATTTTGCGGCCTCTGCTCCGACTATCTCCAACGTGGCTGATTTAGTGTAACACAGACGGTCATTTTGTATCAATAACGAGATTTTCAATGTTAGTATAAATAATACACTGCAAAAACTGATCAAATATGAGGTAAAAATGTCTTGAATCAAGTGGTTTTTATCTTAATCTGAGCAGTTAGTCTAATCTCAAGAACTGTTGCTTTATTTTCTCATTCCAAGGGAGACGTTTCTTGTATAATTTAAAAACAAGATCTTTTTTTTAAGGCAGTCAGAATGTGCTCAAATTAAGATACATTTTGCCAAATTTTAGCTTATTTTTCATCAATTTTTGCAGTGTGTACTACTGTATTTAGCAGACGAAAGCATGATAATAATTGCGAAGTAAACCTGTACTGAAATGGCATTTAATTTGGATTTGAAAACACTGCAAAAATATGTCAAATGCTCCCTTTTTGGCATAAACGTTTGACCAGTTTATAATAATAATTTTCTTTGCTTCGGGACCTGCTGACCATGCACACTATTGCTGCATCCTCCTGTGAACTTTGCTCTGGCATTGTATTTAAGTTTTGTCATTTGAAATCCTATTTATCATTCTATTTAAACCTATTTATTCATATTTATTCTAAACTGATATGTATATTGACTGTGTGTGTTTCCTGCAATAAACAACATTCAAACTGTCTTCATTGCATTGTTTTATTATGAGAATTGAAAATATACCATGATCTCTGTACATATTGTTCATTTTTTCATCCGTTCAAACTCAGGTGACGACAAAAGCACACACACACATGAACAATTTATCATAATGGGCATTTGGCATTTCAAAACAAGGATCAAACCAACTATACTTGTGTTTTGATATCATAACAGCTATGCTCAATTCAAGATTTTGCAGGATTTTGTCACAATTTAAAAAAAAAAAGTTTCTCAAAAATGTTATTTGCAAAGAATAAAGGTATCGAGGTGAGCTAATTACGCAAAAATGTTGAGCCAAAGTATTGTCCTCATTCAAAACAACCTGTGTTTTGCTAGCCTAGCTCAAGCCAAACTGCAGCCCCGCCTACAATGTTATGTATGTTAAGCCCATGGATCTATTATAATATCTGGATAGGGTATCACTAGCATATAGCTGTCCCACCGACGGGCACCGGGGGCGCTCATGGTACTGCAGACTAAATTCACACGGGCTACCCAGAAAACTTTTAGTGTCCCTTTTCGTCCTGAACTATTTTTCTTCTTAAATTCTTCAGTTTTCTTTAAATCAACACTTTAATGCAACAAACTCGGCTCGTTTTCTTCCCGCTCTGGCTCAGCTCTGATCAGCAGCTCTGATTGGTCAAAGCGCGGTGAGCCCCTCTGTGCATGTGCATGAGAGCCACACACACATGTTTGGCGCAAAGCATCATGGGAGCTCGTCCACTGCACAGAACGGGGAGGACCGGTCCGGAGGATGCCCAAATATGGATATGGATATATGAATAAGGCGCCATCTTGAATCACCGGGGCTTGGTTTAGCCTCCTTCATGGATGTCTTTTAGGGGCTTGAAAGCTGAAGGAAAAGCTCAAGCCAAAGCTGGATCTAGTATATAAAGTTAGTAATGTTATGGAGTTATAGCAAAGCAGTTATACAGCGTGTTGGTAAAGATTAAGCTGTATACAACATGGTTCTTACTAAATGTGCATGCTAACCCCTCATCAACACCAGAACTCCCAGCGCATATAGTTTTAGAAGCGTGATTACTCATGTACATTAGTGGTTTTCCTAACTTTGTGACTTTTCCTGTTTCTTTATGTAGTTTATTTCAATGTCATTATTTTTGTTTATGAAATTATCTTTTAATTGTGAAAAGTAGTGAAGAAGTGCGAGCGGTAGAAACCATAGCAACTGGTACTGTTACAATCGTACTGCTAACTGGTAGCACGTTAACAGTACGTTAACGTGCTACCAGTTAGCATTAGCCTTTTGACAAACTGTTTTTTTTTGTATTTCACGTTACGCTTGCCAGTTTTAGCACTTATTAAAAGCGAGTAACGGAAAATTTGAATAAAACTGATTAACTTTTCAAAACTCCTTTAATATGAGCAGTCAAAATGGCGGCTCTGGTAGTTCTAGTAGTTTCAGAATTCTGAGAGTTAAGAACCAAATGTGCCAGACTGGGATAACTGGATTAAATTAAATGCTGTCGTCCTTACCATCAATGATGCAAGTTTATATTGAAATATAAAAATGATGTTAGGAGACAGTAAAAAGTGAGAAGAAAAAAATAATAATAAAGAGTTTGACATGCCTGGTCTGAACCAAACTGTCAAAGGAGACCGGAATACAGCTGTGAATATTTGTTATTTTCCTCAAACTTACAGACTTTCACTTTAAACAAACTCTTGAATCTTGCATAATATAGTCCCCTTGAGAATTCTGCAGTGTGGGCATCTCTCTCTCTCTCTCTCTCTCTTTCTCTCTCTCTCTCACTCTCTCAGGGCCATAAGTGATGATAGCAGCAGTCCATCCTCTCTGTTCTGTCTCAGTGCGAGAGTCCGCTGCAGCTGAGGGGATGGTGGGCCACAACATGAGGGCCGCACACACACACACACACACAAACGCACACACACACACACACACACACACAGAGCGTCCGTATGTACACACCACACACTACACTCCGGGCAGACGTGGCACTGGTGGCACAGCAAAGTCCTGCATGAGTCCTGGGGCAGTCCCGGCGGAGGGCACAGCGCTTGGCCCCCGCATGAGCAGCTGGTGCAACGACCTCCTCTTCAGAGCTCCACAAATGGCTTCCATGAATGTTCAGCTTGTGTTGTGATCAGGCCATCATGACACCTGAAGCAGAGGCAGAGGGGAATTTAAATAACATCCACAAAACAATCTGCCGTTTGTGCTAGAGCTATACTGAAAAAAGTAGATGAAGATGAATAAGTCAAAATGAGCTCAAATTTGGTTAAATGTGACTTAACTTGAGAATGTTCTGACTGTCTTCAAACTAGATTTGTCAATGGGACAAAGCAAAATTATCTTGTTTTAAAAAGATACAATAAATGTGTCCCTTGGAATGAGGAAATAATGCATTAGTTCTTGATGTGAGACTAAGTTGCTTTGTCCCATTGACAAAAATTTGGATAAAAAAAACTCTAGATTCAAGCAATTATCGCCCCATAATGGATCATTTTTTTAAATGTAATGACTTTACCTATTATATATATACTGTATTTAAGTGATATTTGATGCCAATGTAATAATACAAAATGAATAACTGTATAACATAGTGTAGCTGCTGCTGTTTGTTTTTTTTGCTTGTTAATTGTACAAGTTGTGATTTAAATAAACTTGATTGATTGATATCTGCCTTCATGATTACAGGGGACATTTAATTTAAAAAATCCTTTTAAAATATAAATAATTATGGTCTGAATAACTGACCTAAAAGAGGTGAACTTTTGTTTGGTAGACTTTCATAGTGATAAAAATGTAAATTGATACACACAGTTATTTTAGTTGATTATTTCACAGTGAAAATTGTTTCTTGTACTTTTATTTATTTATTTATTCGGCAGTATCGTTTGTTGTATGTAAGGGCAAATGCTTTGGTGCGTAAATTTGGTTGCTGCACTGTTGAAGTGAAGTTGACCTTATTTAAAGCTTACTGCTCTCCCTTATACTCTGCACATCTGTGGTTGAACTACAAAAAAACTACTCTTCAAAAGCTGCAGGTAGCTTTCAATGACGCTCTGAGGATGCTGTTAAAGAAGCCCAGATCGACTCATGCGAGTGAGTTGTTCGTGAGCAACAGAGTGAATACACTGAAGTCTGTCCTGAGAAATGCAATGTTTAGTTTTATTCGCCGATTGAACGAGTCTGTGAACCTGGTTGTTGTTGGTTTGGTGAATGTCAAGTTCAGTACAACACGCTATATTTCTCAGTTCTGGGAACACTGGTACAATTGTCTTTGTAAATGAGTCCTTAGACTTTGCTATTTTATTTTTTATGTTTCTGTGTCTTGTGGTGTCCTTGTGTTGTCTCTTGTATGGACCTTGAGTCCGGAATAAAGATTATATATAGCATTTAATTGTGTATGTTAATCAGGTGTAGTTTTGCATGTGTATTCTCTGACCTGAGGCTGCTCCTGTGCTGCGCTCAGATGTGTGTCTGTTTGCTGTTGCTCCTGACGTTCTTTGGTTAATGCTTTCTGGGCGACCTCTCGCTCGTGCTCGCGGCGCTCAGCCAAGTGCTTCAGAAGCTCCGCCTCCTGACACTGCGAACACACAACACCAGACCTTTAATAACCCCTCTCAAATATCATCAAAATAAAATAAGTCCAAAAAATAAGTCCCTAAACTCAATAAAACCAGAATAAAAACACTACCAATACATACTAGCCGCACTGCTATATAAGCCGCAGCACTGCAAAAAGTGATACAAAAGAAGTCAAATATTTCTCAAATTTGGCCAAATGTATCTTAATTTGAGCGCATTCTGATGGCTTTAAAAACAAGATTTGCCAATGGGACAATGCAAAAAGATCTTGTTTTAAAAAGTTACAAGAAATATCTCCCTTGGAATGAAAAATAAATCAACAGTTCTTGAAATTAAACTAAATGGCTTTATCCTATTGGCAAATGTTTAAAACAGTCAGAATGTGCTCAGATTAAGAGAAAAACCACTCGATTCAAGCAATTATTACCTCAGATTGTAGCATTTTTTGCAGTGAGGGACCAAAGAATTAGAAAAAGGTAGCAGCTTTATGAACTTATTGAAACTGCTTTTGTTGATCGACTTCACAGTGACAATTGTTTCCTGCACTTTTTTAGTTCGCTTTATATCTGTACTTTTAACCTTTTGTTTATTCATGTACTTGTCTGGTGCACTCTGGGGACGTTTGCACATGTATTCCAATGGGGTTTTACTGCAAATGGCAAGTTAAATGAATCAGAATCAGCTTACAGTCTGGAAATGACAGCTTATAAAGACATTGCTCCTGTAACATTGACGCGTATACAGTACCTTTCTCCTCTCGTGCGCCGCCTCCAGCTTCTTCTGGATCTCCTCCAGCGAGGGTTTGGGCCGCGGCGGAGTGGTCACCCGGAGCTCTGGGCTGCCGTCGAACGAGGGCGGCTTCAGAATGACCTCGAAGGCCTGGCCGCTGGAGCGTTTACTCAGCTCGATGACCTCCATGTCGCGGATGCTGCACAGGTTGAGGTCCACCACGCCTGCAGCACACGGGCACACAACATTTGGATTATTTAAAAGATGGAGATTCAATCATAATTTTTAAGCTTTTCTTGACAGTACTGGCTGGACTACAAATCCCTACTTTCTTCATGTTCTTTGGACCCTGCAGCCTGTATAGTAATTCATCAATCAAGTTTATTAAGTGTTTATTTGGGCATTTAGAAGACATGAAAATAATATATGACAGAAGGTTCATAATTTGTGACTTCTTTACAGCAAAAATAAGTAATTTGATTCTGAAGCGTCCAATGTCCATCCGTTTTCTTCCCCTTAATGCACACAATTCACAGAGCAGCGATCTCTCACTGATTCTCCTGCAGGTGATGAGGATGTCTGATGTGTCAGTGATACTTTAGTCTCCAGGCAATGTGGGGTTAAGTGTCTTGCCCAAGGACACAACGACAGCAGGCATCAGTGTGAGTCGGTGAAGAAGGTCTCGTGGTGGGACCGAACCCATGACCTTCAGGCTCAAAGGCCAATGCTTTACCAAATGAGCCACCTATGTAAGTATTTTCATTCTATTAGACTGCCCCCCGTTGGTAGCACACATTCCTGCTTTCCAGTGTGTTTATGTGAAAAGGAGAGAGCCAATAAGAGGAAGTTTAAGGCAAATACATAGGAATTGTTTAGAGATTATGCCTATTGTTTATTGATTTATAATCTTGACTCCATTAGGTTTTACAGACCAATCCATATATAGTGTCTCACATATATTTGTTATGATGCACAAAGATGAAAAGTCCCTCTCGAATTACATCTGCCCTTCACCGCGACATCAAACTTTTTAAACAATATGTTGTGGATCCTCACCATCGATCTTGTCTCTGGGAGCAGGTTTGTTCTGCGGCCGCATGCAGGAGCAGAACAGGGACAGCAGGGGGAGCTCTCGCATCTTCTGTAGGTACGCTGCAAAACACACAGGAGCCCAAAGGTTAATGAAGCAGCCACAACTCACATCATCAAAGTCTGATCATAAACAGAGAGTATGAGGACTACAACTGTGGGGAAGTCTACGGAGGAACATATAGACACGTTAAGGACTCAATAAGTCATGTTTCATTGAAGAGAAACTGGAAATCCCACTATCTTTAAAATCCAGTCCATGTATTGCCCAAGATGTATTTATTTGGTTCGAACAGACACAATATGTGCAGATGTAAACAAACAACTACGTATTTCTTGAACTAGAAGATACAGTTGTTTATACTTGCTTCTATTTAGGCTAAAGATAGAGATTTTATACTTGTTTATTTATTATGCTAAAGCCAGAAATGTTGTTCTATTTTTGAGCCACAGTGCATTACAAAAAGAAAAACAAATATTATAATATAGGTTGTAGTTTTTATTAATTTAATGATTCTAATTTGTTTTCAGGAACCCCGATTTTTACTATTGGCCTTTACCAAATGATTGAGATGCAGTTTTGTGGTAAAAGTCCCTAAAAACAAGTGAGCTGCCCCAAAGAGTAGATAGTGACTCAAATTGTGATCCATCAGATGTTTGAGGAAATCATTAAAGGTTAAAAGCAAATGAAACGATCAAAATGACAAATAATAGTATAACGTTTTGTACCTTTCAGAGTCATGGTGCTGCAGGCGGCTCCTGGAACAGACACAAACACACGCTCAGTCACAAAGTTCATTCAATTTAACTCTATAGCCCTAAATCACAGCAGCAGTCAGAAGACTTTACAAAGTTGGAATCTCATCAACAACAAATCAGATAATCAGAATCAATCAAACAAGAGGATCAAAAGACACTGCAAAAAGTGGTTAAAAAAAAGTCAAAAATTGCTTCATCGTCATAATTAGAGCACATTCTGACTGCCTTAAAACATGATTTGCCAATGGGACAAAGCAAAATGAACTTTAAGATACAAGAAATGTCTCTCTTGGAATGAGAAAATAAAGCAACAGTTTATGAAATAAGTCTAAATGGCTTTGTCCCATTGGAGAATCTTGTTTTAACACAGTCAGAATGACCTCAAATTAAGATTTTAAAACACTTGATTTTTTTATTAGAAAATTCATTTCCATGAATTCTCTAATAGAATATTTCCATAGAAAGCATTACCTTTATTTATGTATTTATTGTCATGCCTAAATGGTTATTAGTATATGGTATGGTATTCACTACTGTTTTAGTCCTCCTGTTTTTAATGTTTTTATTATGTCCTGTACAGTGTATTATTATTATCATCATTATTAGGTATTAGTATATATTAGTATATTCACTTTTATTGATTAAACATGTACTCTGACTAAGACTGCTCATTATGACCAACATTTTAGATAAAAGTGCTTGTTTTACCCTCCTATTGGTTATTGAATTATTATTATACATAGACAACTATAAACTGAAGCAATTTCATAAATTAAAGCCTTGCTACCTAATTTTCAAACACATCAAGAGTAATAACATAAATTATATACATCTTACTAGTTCTATGTTCCAGTTTGGTTTGCAAATATTCAAACACATACTTGGTCGGATTTGCTCTGATTTACTTTTAAAAGAGCCATTTTTTTCCAAGAGCTTTGGTGTGTGCTGTCTGACAGTTTTTCTAATGTGGTTTCACTGCAAATGGCAAATAAATTCTTGTATTTTGTACATACTGTTTGGATAAATGTAATAATTATCATGTAATAGAGTCAGGTACCCCAGCTTTAGATGAGCCATATTGATTTGCATTTGGCACCTTCCTAAACTAAACTTACATCTGATCTGGGGCAAAAATTATCCCAGCAATGGAATAAAAAGGAGAATATAAATTGCTCATGAAATTAATTTTAGATTCAGATTTGTAATCACTTGCCGATTCACCGATCTTAGAACAGAGACTCAAACAGTCCAACCACAGGAAATGGCCACTAACTGAAAAAGCACAAAATGTTGTCGTTTTAAATTGTTTTTAGTTCACAATTTTGTTCCATTCAGAATCATATCAAATCAGTGAAACAACTATAAAATAACTAAAAAAGCCTAATATACTACTAACTTGAAATGAGAAAAATCTATTTCACTTGAAGCAAAACTAAACCTGCATTTTTTTTTTCACTTATAATCACACATTTTTCTTTGTTAATTTTTGCAAGTGTCACATTTTGGAAACAGCCAATCACAGTGACGTCACCATCACCTCAGCTGAGATCTCTGACTGAACTGAAATCGATCTAACGTCCTCTATCTCTGCTCGCAAGGGAATAATAACATGATACATTTCTACAGCAGTGAATAAAACATAAAACGCTTCCATAACTTTACGGTGAGAGGGATCAGAGAATAATGCAGCGTTTCCTCCATCACTGAATCACATCAAAACCTGCCAAGTTTTCACTCTCCGAGCAAATTAAACAAATTCTAATGCATTTCTTCTTTCTCCTCAAACGCTCCTTTCTTCACATGAGCAAAACACATGATTTAGATTTAGCTTTAAGATATCTACCACGCAGCAGAGATGGGGGACTCTAAGCATGATGTCATTGATTAAGCAGCCTCGACCAAGCAAGCAAACCGCACTGTACGTATTTTGTAACTATTAAGAAATACCAAAACTATCAACAATACTTTCTTTCTTTTTTTCAATCTAGAAATGCATTTGTTTGTACTTTTTGCAATTTCACAAATAATGCATTTAATATTAGACTTAAATAAGCACCCGTATAGGTGACCCTTCAACATCCATGCCCTCAATGGAAAAAATTGTGCGTTTAATTGCTATTTATTTATGATTGTCCAGGCACAGAATTCAATAAAAAAAATCCAGCAAAAAATCAATAAAAAATCTAAAAAAATCTATAAATTATCTACATTTTTTGAGCACTTTTAATTCAACCATAAGCACAAATGCTAATTAAAAAAGTGTATGCATGTAACTCCATGTAACTCCATTGAAATGCATGTGTGTAGAATGATTGCAGATCGTAAGTTGAAATAGAAAAAGGAGAGAAAATGGGGGGAACTCACCCTGATGCTGCTTTCTCCAGAAGTGTTGGATCCTGCAGCAGCATCTCCAAGCTCCCCACAACATGACATCACCAGCAGGCGCTCCCATTGGCTGGCAGGCACGCCGACTTCTGATTGGTCAAGAGGGGCATGGGAGAGAGGAGAGAGGAGGAGGGGAGGATGGGAGTGGGGGCTGGAGTCGGGAAGAGGTGACATCATTGTGCTGTCAGAAGTGAGAAGAGATGAGAATGTTCAAAGAAATTTCATCAGAATTGCTGTTTGAATTTGAGAAAAAATAGTGTATAAGAAGACAAAGAATTTTTATTTGTCTCACAGAGAAAATAACAGTTTTCATTTTAACAAGATAAAAAAAAGACAAAAAAAAGCTATAATCTGTATGCTTTCAAAGTAAAAGATTCAGTTTGAACCTACAAAACACCAGACGGTTCCATTCTAATATTTATCAACAAGTGTTTATATAAAATTGTGTTCGCATTTGCGGATAACTGGAGGTGAGGAGGAGAACATGCAGGATAAGAAAAGTAAAAGATTCCCAGATCACAAGAGACTCCCTCCAGCTAAAGCTTATTGGAAACCATGATAGTAAAACAAAAGTACAGATAACCATACAAATATATAATTCTATATTTACAGCACTGTTTTTTATATGTTAACAGATGTTTACTCTGTGGCTTCTGTGGAGGTCAATGACGGAGGAAATTTACCAATTGTGTGTAATGAAAAACTATCAATCCCTGGACAAAGCGGGTCGTGGGGTTGTGTGTATGTGTGTGCGTGCGTGCGTGCGTGCGTGCGTGCGTGCGCGCGTGCGTGTGTGTGTGTGTGTGTGTGTGTGTGTGTGTGTGTGTGTGTGTGTGTGTGTGTGTGTGTGTGTGTGTGTATATGTGTGTCCTCTCCTTTTTGACTTTTCTGTCCAAAAAAGGTGATCCAAAGATGTGACAGAGGCCAAACACATGCAGGTGATTGAACCTGTTTTGAGGAACTAGTTACATGGATTTAATCAAAAAATTAATTGGTGTGGTTTGGAAATTAGGGCGACAGTGGCTCAGTTGGTAGAGCATTGGCCTGAAGGTTGTGGGTTCGAGCCCACCATAAGACCTACTTCACGACTCCCACTGATGACTGCTGTAGTTGTGTCCTTGGGCAAGACACTTAACCCCACTTTGCCTGAAGCCCCTGCTGAAAAATCAAGGCTCCTGTGGACTCACCACCTGCAGGAGGATCAGTGAGGGGCTGGTGCTCTGTGTACTGGGTGCAGCTCTGACTGACACCCCCCTGACCCAGAAATGGATTAAGGGGAAGAAAATGGATGGGTTTGGAAATTAGGGACCCCAGCTTTAACTTAGCTCTTACTGGCCATATTTTCAATTTGAATATAAAAGCATGTAACTTGCATTTCTGACATTACATTTTGCCAATTTTAAGTTGTGTGCTTTAAAAATAACGATACATAATAAGGTTATGGAAGTTGGGCGTCTCTGCTTAGACTGCTGCTCCCACTTTGTAACGGATAAAGCAGAAGGCTAGGCAAGTTTATTTGTGTTGCACTGTACAGCTCATAAACAAGGCAAAATGCTGCAAAGTGCTTACAGAACATTCAAAAGAATAAAGATGAAATCCCTCAGTTGTATGCACAGCTGAAAATAACTGTTATTAACTTGGATTTTAACATTGTCCGAGAAGAAGCTTGACGCACATTTTCAGGAAGACTGTTCCATATTTTAGCTGCATGAATCTGAAATGCTGCCTCCCGTTAGTCCTGACTCTGGGCACCAGCAGGAGGCCAGTCCCTGAAGAAAAAGGTTATAAGGTAAACTTTAGTAAAAACTCCCAGCTCTGTATAAAGTCGGTCTCTCGTCTCAGAGAAGAAACAGTCTCACACACTTCATCTGAGAATCTGAGATGAACCAAACTGCTAAATGCCAGCTCTATATTAAAGCAGCGTTAGTCATAGCAGCAGTCTCCTCTCCACCCTCCGGCTGCCAGTCTGTCAGCCCGAGGGTGGGAGGAAGCCGCCTGCACTGGGACCACTTCCAGTCTCTCTGTGTACTGTTCAAATGGAGCATCAAGCACAAGCACGACTGTGGTGTGGCACGATCAACTCCATTCAGTGTGTTTTTGTGGAGCGTTAATTCACAACAGAAGTCGTCTCCTGGACTTTACACACTGCAAAAAGTGAGGAAAAATAAGTACGAAATTGCTCAAATTTGGCAAATTGTCTTAATTTGAGCATGTATTCACTGCCTTAAAACAAGATTTGCCAATGGGACAAGCTAAATTATCTTGTTTTTAAAAAGTAAAACAAATCTCTCCCCTGGAATCAATAAAATTAAATGGCTTTGTCTGATTGTCCAATTGGCAAATATGGACAGAAAGAATGTACTTAAATTACAATAAACAAAAAAACCAATTGATTTAAGAAATGATTACCTTATATTTCCATGTTGTGTCTGCTTAGTTTCCTCCGGGTGCTCCGGTTTCCCCTACCACTATAAACATGCACAATAGGTAACTCCTCCAGCTTCGGTCCTGACCAAGCCGAGCACCAAACCCTCGAGATGGTTCCCAGGTGCTGCTCCTGACAGACATACAGTGGCATCATGAATCAGAGGATGAATTGCCCTACGGGGATGAGTAAAGTGCACTTTTACCTTTGTTTACTTGCAGCAGTTACAGTAGTCTAGCCTTTCAACAAACTGCTTTACTGTACTATGTCATGTATTTTGTCTCTTGTCATTAGGTGCAATTTTGCGGACCTCCTTGAAAACGAGATGCATCTCCAGAGGCTTCCTCCCAGTAAATAAACAGTACTTTTTTTTAAAGTACTGTTTTTGCCATATTTCAAGTTATATATTTTTTTGCTGATTATTAAAGGTGACTCTAGGTCAACCGTACATGGAATACAACTGGTAAAAAACTAATTTTTTTTTTTTTTTTTTCTTTCTCAGAATTTGATTGGTTTGAATGGCAACCAGAGGGGTTCTAGTAGTTTCATAATCCTGGGAGTCCTGCACTAAACAAGTCATTTTCTGAGTTCCACTCGCAAATAACAAGAGCTGGATGTCTTTATTGCACCTGTGTTTTGAAATCAGGTTCAATTTCACATTCAGGTCGTGCCTCCATCCCTCCTCTCTGCAGAACACTGTGTCCTCCTCTGCCTCACAGTGATGTAATGCTGCTGCAGTCACCAGCAGAGAGAGAGAGAGGCTCCAGATGCATCGCCAAGGAGAATCCACCCATGATGTCACCGTCAGCCAATCAGAAGCGAGAGAGAGGAGGGAGGGGCGCAGCAACTCCAGCTTCTGAAAAGCAACAAGAAATAATAAATATTGAACTAGGGCCATGTCGTAGTAGGTATATGACTGTTTTTCTGCGGGGCGGGGCCTGTGCTGATGTTACTGGAAGCAATGACATCATTTCAGCACATGCATGATGTCATGGTTGGAAAGACTTGGGAATGACTTCTTGCATCTCAAGCTGAAAAAACATTGTCAGGATAAAAAATATAGCGTCTAAAGCAGACTTGGAGATTCTTATCCATGCTTTTGTCTCCAGTGGTTTGACTACTGTACTCTCCAGCTCCAGTATATTCAAAACGCTAGAGCTCGAGTCCTAACTCCTGACTAGAACCAGGAAGTACCATCACATTAGTCCAGGGTCAGCACTAGATCATATACGGAATTGGGACGAAAGCGGAAGTAAATATAACCAACTACCTATTCATGCCTAAACTTAACCAGCCATTTCCATAGAATAACCCCAACCCACCTTTAACCCTCACCTTAACCATCTTACTCAGACGCCTAAAACTTAACCAGTCACCACTTAAGGGCTCATTAGTCTAAAACTAATTTGAAAGTAGGATTGTTACTTCCGCTTCCGTCCCAACTCCGTATATGATCTAGTGCCGACCATTAGTCCAGTTCTCAGGTCTCCTTCCTTCCTGTGGCTTCCTCTGAGCTTCCTGTGGCTCAGAGAATGCACTGTGATTATTTATGATTTTAATGCTTTGTGTGACTGTTTCTATCTTGTTTTGTTCAGCACTTTATGTTGCCAAATAAACCTGCCTTGCCTTAATCATCTAAAATCATTAGTATTGATTAGTATTTATTATGTTTTAGACAGATCTTATTTTGGTTCTTGTGTATTTATTTAATTTTACGTATTCTGTTTTGTCACTTACTATTGTTGATATTAGGTAGCTGTTTTACTCTTTATTGTATGGTTTTAGTATCCCCAGTGTTTCCTCTGGAGGGGCCCTCTGCACTGGGAGCGGCGGTCTGCGGCTGCGGGGGTCCGGCTTTTGGATCTAGTGGGGGCCTGGGGCCTCCTCTCTCCTCCGGGTCCTATGGGGGCCTGGCGGGGGGTCTGGGGCCTCCTCTCTCCTCTGGGTCCTGTGTTGTCCCCTGTGGTTGCAATCGGCTCTCTGCTCCTGGTGCAGATGGCTCCTTGGATGGCGCTTCTTCAGCTGGATACAGCCGCACCCAGCCCCATATCTTTTCATAGTTTTACCTATTTTACCTGTCTGATGTGATTTTATGTCTCTGTGAGTGTGTGTGTGTGTGTGTGTGTGTGTGTGTGTGTGTGTGTGTGTGTGTGTGTGTGTGTGTGTGTGTGTGTGTGTGTGTGTGTGTGTGTGTGTGTGTGTGTGTACGGGCATCTCGATGTACATCTAATAATTAGGGTGGTTTATGGTCTGTGGGGCGGTGGGGTTTATTGGGCATGTTCTATTGATTTTGACTAAGCTGTAAAGCACTTTGTGTTGCATTTTATTGTATGAAAAGCGCTTTATAAATAAAGTTTGATTAATAATAAAAATAATAATAATAATCTTTATTTGTATAGCACTTTTAGAAACAATGTTTACAAAGCGCTGAACAGTCAGCATGATAAACAATAATAATATAATGCAAAGTCAAATAATTAGATACAGACAGATACAAACACAAGAAGAAAGACATAACAAAGACAAAGCAGACATTAAAATACAGCATGAGAAGATTAAAAACTAGCAGTTAAAAGCTGTTTGATTTTAGAAGTGATTTAAAAGAGGATACTGATGGTGCTAGCCTTATCTCCTCGGGCAGGTCGTTCCAAAGTCGAGGAGCCCGGACAGAGAAGGCTCGGTCACCTTTCGTCCGGAGCCTCGACCTTGGAACAGTCAACAGGGACCTGCCCGAGGATCTAAGGCTGCGGGGGGGCTCGTAGGGGGTTAAAAGTATAAATATAGCTGGGTGCCAGACCTAAACGAGCTTTAAAAGTAATCAGTAAAATCTTACTGACTGATTGATTAAAATGCAAATAGTCCACGAGCTCCACCTTTAGTCAAGTCAACTGTGTGGCTTTTAAAAGACATTTGTGGACATTTATTGTGGACAACTGTAGTGCATGTAAGAAAACAAAAACATTTAGATTCTCAAGCATTATCATCAGTTTATGCTCTTTCTCAGTAAACTGCTAAACTGTCCTCTTATAGTATATGTTCCATTTGCAGCGCACTTTCTGCTTTAGAAAAGTCATTATGTAGTGTTGTTTAGTGATGTTTAAGAAAGGTGCAGGCAACATTAGATTATTTTCTTCTTTCTGCTTCTTTTCATTTGTGTGACAGGACTACAATTATTGGAAATACAATTGGGAAATGTGATGTATTGTCATGTCCACAAGTTAAATAGTAATAAAGAATACATAAATAAATAAATAGAGAGTGGAGTCGTGTCTGGTTTTTTTTAGACAGGCATTATCTTTATCTGCTGGAACAGTCCACAGAAGCTTCAGCTGGAGGAGGAGGAGGAGTGGGCAGGAGGAGATGAGGAGATGAGTCAGTCCTGCTGCCGCCTCCGCCGTGGATCTGCGGAGGCTCTCATTCAACATTTCAGAGCAGACCAGAGCAGCCCTCTCAGAATACAACAAAAGCATTCACAAAGAAACACAGTGAATTGATAAAAACACAAATGCACCGATAATAAGTTGTCATTATTGGGTAGAGACTGAGCAAAGGGTTGGATGAAGTGATCCACAAGAAAGGACTACGGGGCCACCTGGAGGGTTGGTTAGAAACTTTTGTATTTTAGGTAAAGTGTAAAATACTGGGCAAATAGGGTGTTTAGAATAAAGAAAATCAAAATCAGTGTCTGAGATCCATTTATTTATCTTGGCATCTTGGAGGTAAGCCAGGAGTTTTTGTTGAAAGCACACGGTGGGGTCCTGATTTAATTTTCTGTAAATAAGTGCATCTGACAACTGTGAGCAGATTTTGGCTTTATGTTTATTTAGATATGCATTTTAATGACCACAACCACGACATCAGATTAGATTAACGTGCACGTTTGCTGGTTTCCTTTTTGTAGAGTTGCAAAAGCTGATGATATTTTCTGTTGATATCTGCAAAATACTCTCGACTTTTTGCAAAAAAACATATATATTTTGAATTACAGAGAGATAGTGTCATAGTTGTATAGGAACTGCGAGGGACAGGGGAACGCACTTGAGCTGATTTTTTTTAAACCTTGCAAACTATCGTGGGAATTAGACAGCTATACAAGTTATCTGGCCGTGCGCAGGTCACAACGACCCGATTGTGTATCTGCTATAATTGTGTGTCCGTGATATGTTCTTTCAATGTCTTGTTATGTTCTGATTGTCTCTTGATGTGACATTTGTGCTTTTCCATGTATGACGTATGTGTGACGTAAACGTTGACTATATAAACCACATTCTGATTAGGTTCTGCTGAAAAGTAAGTAAGCTTTATTTATATACCGCCTTTCACAGACCAGAGTCACAAAGCAGTTTACAATTGTTATTTTTGTTATTTATAAAAAACCTGGAAGAAACCTGAGAGAGAGACTGAATAAACTGCCGAGCTCTGGTGCGCAAAGATCCCGTCTCTGTGTGGTTGATTTTCATAGAAAGAGTTTAATAAAGATTACCAACCACATCGTTCATTTTAATAAACTGATATTTTTATTTTTAGTCGTCACATCAACAAAGAACCAGTGCTTATTTGAACCTATCCTATTCTACGCCACTGGTTTAACCATTTTTTACATTTTATATGAATTCATACCATATTTTGTTCTAGATTGAACCCAGGACACATTTATGATAAATACTTGATCAAGGATTATGAACAAAGTGCAGTTTTAAAGCTGAGGTTCTGGACTTTTTTTGATTCAGTTTTGGTTCAATTCCAGCCTGTGTTCATTATGTTCAGGGACAAAACCTAAGTCAAAAGTTGAATCAACACAAAGTTTGATCAAAATTACATACGAACATAATCAAAAGTTAAAATTGTGCAAAATTTTAAATGAAAACAATGCTATTATTTGTCCGTCGTTCGATTTGTTCACATAAAACCTTCATTATAAAAGTTTCACAGGTACTGAGGAAACATGAGTTTTTAATCAAAGGGAGCATCATATTAGGTCTATAACAGTTTCATAAAAAAAGAGAATGTCAAAGTTTATAATATTTGAAAGCATCTTGTTCAAATCCTCCCAAAAGAACTGAAAGACTAAAACTGCCTGCAACAATCGTGCTGCAGCTGAACCCTCCCTATGACTAAAGATTAAAGCTTGACTCCATTGTCCCCAAGGGAAATGTTCGTCTTTGAAATTAATCGTTTGTCAATAAAGCTGAGACCATCTGTCAGAGGAGAGGGGGGTCTCTACATCCATATATCGACCCTGAGCTACAGGCTCAGGTCAGGACTAAAGTGAGGCTTTAGAAATGTGTGTGTGTGTGTGTCTGTAGGCTGATGAGGAAAACCTGGAGTAATAATATTAATGCACCAGTTTCATTCTAATGTGGGTGAAGTGTCTTGCCTAAGGACACAACCACAGTTTGGCACTTTACAGCCGCAGCTGCTACACTTCGGCACCTGGCGTTCCCAGAGGTCTCTCACCACAGGACTAACCAGGCCCTGCCATGCTTAGCTTCAGATGGGATCTGACTTTCACATGCAGGTCTGGTAACCAGAGGCCTGTAGGTAGATGCTTGTTTGGTTCCTGTCACTTTAATTCAGTTCGACTCAAAGTTCCTGCTCTGGACACGAGTTTAGACCAGTTTGGACCAATCAGCTGTGAGCTCTGGATTCATTTGGATCAATCCACCATCCTTACACTGATGACCTCATATTTTAAGTGAGTAATCCATGTAATCTAACACAAACACACACATACAAATACACAAACTAACATGCACGCATACTAACACAAACAAACACACTGACACCCAACATGGATTGTATATATCTCACTTTTTAAGCACTGGAGATTTATTGTTGTCCAGATCAAGAAGACACTTGCAGGAAGAAAATACATTTAGTTTAATATTTGAGCAGAAATATAACGTTCCATTCGATCTGGTTCAGAACTACTTTACTGAGGATAAAAAAGTAGATTCAAAGCGAGTTCTGAGTGAATGAAAGCGTGGTGTTATTAGAAGCACTGGTGTGATTAGAAGCACGGTGCACACTGCCCACTCTCCGCTCTCCTCCGGCGCGTGCAGCACTGAGGCTGAGTCACTGTCGAGCTCTGTTTACATGAACCTCCCACGGCCTCACAGCGGCGCCAGGATTCAGGAAGCAGCTCTGAGCCTCCAGAAGCAAAATGTCAACACTGTCACTCAGCGTTTACTGTCACGACTTCTCACTCTGAACATCCTCTGTTCCCTCTATAAGACAACACACTGCAAAAAGTCATGACAAATAAGTTAAAAATTGGTCTAATCTGGTAAAATGTATCCTCATTGCATGCAAAGCCAGATCTTGTCTGACCTCTGAAGCCAAGCAGGTCAGGATCTGGTTAGTAGTATGATGGAAGACCTCTTGGAACACCAGGTGCCACAGTGCGGCGCATGTGGCTGTAAAGTACCAAACTGTGTTTGTGTTCTTAGCAAGACAGCCTCCGTAAGCTTCCTAGAGTCTGGTGGGTATGTGTGTGTGAATGATTGATGGTGGAGGGCCAATGGCACTAACTAAACTCCTCAAATCTGTCAGTGTGCCTCAGGACAGCTGTGGCTACAGTAGTAATTTATCAAACGTCTTTGAGAGTCCAAAGTTCTAGATAAAAACAATGCACTATTATTATTTTCCTCTTCTGTTTCTGTTGATGCTGCTGTATTTGACCCGCGTGACCCTGACCTATGACCTATGGGACAACAGATGGAAATTAGCCTTTGGCTATAATCTGGCATGTTTACATTCATTGACATGCACTGTCCCATTCAATAAAATAAATAAATTATTCATTTTGACATATTGACTGTCCTTGTGCTACCCCCGGGTCAAAATGATCAGCCACAGGAACTAGGAGTAAATGAGCCAGGGATCACACCAGCAAAATTCAGCTCTTTAAAAACCAAAACATTTAGGCAATTTCTTTATGACTCTGGCGGGCTTGCCAAAGGGAAAAGCTAAATTATCACGTTTTAAGACGATCTATCATATATATATAATTATATCATATTTTCATTGTGAGCAGAATATAGTGCCAAATTGTTCCCAAAACATTGTCACAGTATTCTACACCAAAAAAATACCGCATGTAAAATACACACTGACCTTATTTATTTTTAAATAGAAAAGGTAGAAGAATGCAGACTTCTTCTAAAACACATCACCGCAGAAAAAAGCCAAAAACAGACACAGTTCCAACCAGTGCGACACTCGCTCTGTTCTGACGACTTTCCAAAGTGGATCAGCCCAATATTCACTCAACATCAGTGTCCAACACAAATAGACTTTAACAAATACAAAAATATAGTCTTTTGTAGCGAATGTAAAACCGGCCGAAGCTTGAGGGGTCATGATGAGGAGCAGACATGACAGATGGACAGAAGCTCGTCTCGCTAACCGTCTGGCGGCGCACTCTTCTTGTTCCGCACTTGCACCACTTCCATCCTGTTCTTTATGAAGTTTCCAAAGGATTCTGTCTCCTTGCTTTCCTCGGTGGCTACAAAACAAGGTGTAAATGTTATGATTCCATTGGCAAATCTTGTTTTAGCACAGTCAGAATGAGCTGAAATTAAGATAAAAAAACACTCAATTCAAGAGATTATTTTACCATGTTTTGCAGTGCACATTGTCTACAAATGTAATCTCTGTGCGTCTCTCTCTGTGCGTCTCTCTCTGTGCGTCTCTCTCTGTGCGTCTCTCTCTGTGCGTCTCTCTCTGTGCGCCTCTCTCTCTGTGCGCCTCTCTCTCTGTGCGCCTCTCTCTCTGTGCGCCTCTCTCTGTGCGTCTCTCTCTGTGCGTCTCTCTCTGTGCGTCTCTCTCTGTGCCTCTCTCTGTGCCTCTCTCTCTGTGCGTCTCTCTCTCTGTGCCTCTCTCTCTGTGCCTCTCTCTGTGCCTCTCTCTCTGTGCCTCTCTCTCTGTGCCTCTCTCTCTCTGTGCCTCTCTCTGTGCCTCTCTCTCTGTGCCTCTCTCTCTGTGCCTCTCTCTCTCTGTGCCTCTCTCTCTGTGCCTCTCTCTCTGTGCCTCTCTCTCTGTGTGCCTCTCTGTGCCCTCTCTCTCTGTGCCTCTCTCTCTCTGTGTCTCTCTCTCTGTGCCTCTCTCTCTGTGCCTCTCTCTCTGTGCCTCTCTCTCTGTGCCTCTCTCTCTCTGTGCCTCTCTCTCTCTGTGCCTCTCTCTCTCTGTGCCTCTCTCTCTGTGCCTCTCTCGCTGTGCCTCTCTCTGTGCGTCTCTCTCTGTGCCTCTCTCTCTGTGCGTCTCTCTCTGTGTCTCTCTCTCTGTGCCTCTCTCTCTGTGCCTCTCTCTCTGTGCCTCTCTCTCTGTGCCTCTCTCTCTGTGCCTCTCTCTCTGTGTCTCTCTCTCTGTGCCTCTCTCTCTGTGCGTCTCTCTCTGTGCCTCTCTCTCTGTGCGTCTCTCTCTGTGCGTCTCTCGCTGTGCCTCTCTCTGTGCGTCTCTCTCTGTGCCTCTCTCTCTGTGCCTCTCTCTCTGTGCCTCTCTCTCTGTGCCTCTCTCTCTGTGCCTCTCTCTCTGTGCCTCTCTCTCTGTGCCTCTCTCTGTGCCCCTCTCTCTGTGCCTCTCTCTCTGTGCCTCTCTCTCTGTGCCTCTCTCTCTGTGCCCCTCTCTCTGTGCCTCTCTCTCTGTGCCCCTCTCTCTGTGCCTCTCTCTCTGTGCGCCTCTCTCTCTGTGCCTCTCTCTCTGTGCCTCTCTCTCTGTGCCTCTCTCTCTGTGCCTCTCTCTCTCTGTGTCTCTCTCTCTGTGCCTCTCTCGCTGTGCCTCTCTCTGTGCGTCTCTCTCTGTGCCTCTCTCTCTGTGCGTCTCTCGCTGTGCCTCTCTCTGTGCGTCTCTCTCTGTGCCTCTCTCTGTGCCTCTCACCAGTGTGATCCAGGTCGTCCGTGTCACTGTCCAGCGGCTCCTCCTCGTCCTCGTCACATTGCCCTCGGGTCAGGATCAGGTCGCTGGGTCCAGCGTCCAGCTGCACCTCCTCTGCAGGGATGTGTGTATTAGTCTGAATGTTTGCATTTTCTCCTAATACAAGTGTGAGCTTTACCTGTGGAGGCTGCAGTGCTGACTTTGACCTCTCCCAGGTCCTTCCTCAGACGCTCCAGCTGCTCCTGCTGCTTCTGGCTCTGAGCCTGGGCCTGGAGAGACACAGGGCAGGAGGAGAGAACACAGGGCAGGAGGAGAGAGCACAGGGCAGGAGGAGAGAGCACAGGGTAGGAGGAGAGAGCACAGGGCAGGAGGAGAGAGCACAGGGCAGGAGGTGAGACCACAGGGCAGGAGGAGAGAGCACAGGGCAGGAGGAGAGAGCACAGGGCAGGAGGAGAGAGCACAGGGCAGGAGGAGAGAGCACAGGGCAGGAGGAGAGAGCACGGGGCAGGAGGAGAGAGCACGGGGCAGGAGGAGAGAGCACAGGGCAGGAGGAGAGAGCACAGGGCAGGAGGAGAGAGCACAGGGCAGGAGGAGAGAGCACGGGGCAGGGCAGGAGGAGAGGAGAGAGCACACTGATCACAGACGTCACACAGAACATTCAACATTATGGAGCGACAGTGGCTCAGTGGGTAGAGCATTGGCCTTTGAGCCTGAAGGTTGTGGGTTTGATCCCACCACAAGACCTCCACCTACTCCTACTGATGCCTGCTGTCATTGTGTCCTTGGGCAAGCCCCCGCTGAGAGATCAAGGCTGTGTCATCACAGACAGAGCAGCCAGCTGTGAATTGGGTGCAGCTCTGACCAGAAATGGACGGAGAACAGAACTACAATGGAGTTCTGTTTTAGAAAAAATCATCAAAATTCAGCCCAAAAAAATATTTAGGGTATTTTTTAATCACTGTGGCGGGTCAATTTTACCCCAAGGATAGCACAATGGTTAAATTGTGTTCGGCACTGGATGGAACCTCTGACAAACTCCAGACACTCACCAGCTCTGAGCGCAGCCGCTCGTACTCAGGACGGTATTCTCTGAGGAACACAACACAGAACACATGTCATCATTGGAGACAGAACAACAAACAAAGATCAACATCTTTGTCCAAATATTAATATGAAACAGTGGTGGGTTTTAAAATACTAATAAAACAAAAAAGACCTTTAAACTGGTCTACAATTCCATTCTGTGCGGTTGAGTAAGGGTTGGGACCCTCCATGTCTAATATTAAATTATAGTGAAAATATTCATATCATAGGTCTATTAAATATGTTAAATATCAAAAAGTCAGTCTGGTATCAGTGACTCAGCCTCAAAAATCCTGATCAGTGAAACTCTATCACCGCAGAAATAACACATATAAACCATACACCTGGATGTTCAAATGTACTTGTACAAAGTGATGCATTTGTCTTCTAAGGTGAGGTTTTCCCCAAAGACCTCAGTGTTAACTAAAACGGCTCATCCTCAGATAATGTTGCATTTCCTGTGTATGTACTGTTTGATTCTCTTATCTGTGTTGGCGACAACTTTTTAAATTCCACCGACATAACCACTGTTGTGATTTAGGGTGATACAAAAATACATTGAATTGAAGCACAAGCCATGGATCTGAAAGGGCAGACATCTTGGAGACCTGGGGTTTGGTCCTGAGTCAGTTCTGCTACTGTAACAATAATAATAATAATAATAATAATAATAATTATAGCATGAGTGTGTGAGCCTGATCTAACCTCTCATACTCCTTGGCAGCCTCCTCCACTTGGACAAAGAGCTGATCCAGACCACTCCCTGTGACCGCGGACACGCCCACCACCTGTGAGTGAGAGGGACCATGAGGGCAAAGCACGGCAGGTATCTACAACATCCTTTACCCTCAGGCTGGTGTAGAACTCATCCAGGACCAGACTCATGGAGCGGGTCAAGTTGCTCACATACGAAGTCTCTTGGTTCAGCGCGTCCTGGAAAACCTCAAAGTCCTGCATCCACTCCACGGCAAAGCTGTGGTCGATGATGTCGGTCTGCATAAAGAGGACCACAGGGCAGTTCTTAAATGGTTACCCTTTTTTTGGAGTTTCATAAATGCATGTGAAATCTAAGTGAGTGAGGCCTGTTTTCTCTTTTATCACAGTAAAAAAACAGAACTAGAGAAGTGGCCAGATTTAAATGAGTGCCCAAAATACACTGAATCAAATTGATTTTTTTTCCCTACCTCTAGGAAGGAAACAAAACTTTATACATAATTTAGGAAATCACCTTATTCAAAACCACGATGAAGGGGAGTCTGGTCTTGTAGAGGATGCTGGGTAAAAGAAAACAAATCCCCATTATAGTAATTTTACAAAACAACAAATCATCATCTAAAAAGAACCCAACAGAGCCCTCTGCTGGACGTGATGGCAAATAGGACTAATCCAGATTTTTACTCAAGACATTAACAAGGCTATAGGGCTGCAAAATAAGTCCCAATCAAATCAATGCACAAATATAGATAAGCTGCAAAACGTCTGGTCTACAGGGATGCACTGTGGCCATAATAAAAAAGAATAATAATATCAATCGTAACAGTTTCTGAAAGTCAAAGCAGAGTGACTGAGATGTTTGGCATTTTTAGTACATGTAGTAGTGTGTATGTGTGTCAGATGGATGCGTTTCTGATAAGACTCTGCAGCTCTCGTCAGTCCATAGGTTTTTTATGCACATATCTATTTTCCTTCTGCAAAAAATAGTACGTGTTGTAAGTGTTTTATCGATGACCGTCGATATTTTGTGTCCTATTTTGTAATAGTAGTAATCAGCTCACACAGTACCTGCAGGCATATAGCATGTTGGACATAAACGTGACGGGGCTGACACATCGAGACGTGTCCATGACGTAGACCACCACACAGGGAAACGATGAGGCCTACACACACACACACACGCACACACACATCAGAAACACACACACAACAGGAGGCATAATCATTTGGAAACATTACAGACAAGTGATGCAAACCAGGTAAGTTAGGTGTTGCTTCAGTCAAGTTTTAAAGCCAAGCAAATACAGGACCTAAACGCACCTGTAAATAGCCTAATTTTATACAAGTTTTAAGATAAATCCATTTTGTCCACATTGACCACACTAGAATACAAGCAGCCGGTAAGGGTTTAATGAGGTGTTTGACTTGTTTTAAACAAAGCTTTGGCAAACATGAACTGTTGGCTTCCATGACTCATTTATCATTTATTTTGACAACAAACGGGCGTCCTATATCTACTAAAACTTGATGGCGTCAAAATAGAAAGGCCATATTTGTAATCACTTTTTAGTTGTAGATAAGATGCCTTTATTGCACATGAAATCATCAATCATTTTCACTTTGTAACACACATGCACATTTCCTGTCTTTTTGCGCACCCTGAGTGATATCAATGAAGCCAGATGTAACATGTAATGGTATCGTGGGATAAATACATTTTTATCTTATCAACTCTAATCACATAAAAACATGTCCTGTGTATTTCCTGCATCTTACCAGAGCCTCCGTGATGATGGTGCCAGATGCTGACCATGTGAACACTTCAATCTGACCCGGTGTGTCGATCAGCACAAATCTACAGAAGGCAAAACACGTTTCTGTTCTGAGTTCACCCTAAAAATCGACTGGATGCTACAGCGGTACTCACCTGTGGTTGTTTTTTTTCTTCTCAATAAACTGCATGACCTGAGCAAGAAGACGACAACTCACACACAGAAAAGACCTCTCTCTTTTTTTATTAATTCCCAACTTGCACGAAACCTATTTTTTACATATATCAATATAACAGACACATACACTTGTACCTAGTAAACCAATGTACCAATATAAACATAAAACGTTATTAAAAAGTAACTGTAAAGGATAATATCTCACCTGATCAAACCTTGTAGCAAAGAGGTTAAGAGACGTGACAATGCCCCCGTTTGGTCCCAGTCCGTACTGCTTCATCACCTCCTTGTAGTTGACAGTGTCCCTGATGTCTGCACACAAACAAAGCAGTGGATTTGGAGAATAGCTATTATTTAACACATGATGACTTCACTTATCCCGTTTTTATCTTGTGCATGTTTGAAATAAATCAACAAATGAAAAATAGACTAAGTTTATTCTCACCGATGTTGGCCGGGAATGGTACTTCATGAACTGCAGGGTCTAGATTGATGACATACGGTGGAGCTTTTTGTGTGTGAAGATGAGCAGTCAGTCTCTGCAAAAGAACAAGCAAATATAACACAACAGACATATAAGGAAAGCCCACTCAACTCAGACTCAATGTAATTCTAAATAACGTTATTCAGAGAAGTAGTGCAAATAGGGACATGATACTAAACTGTTTTTTGCTTCTGCCCAATGACTTTGTAGAATTGCAGTGACTGTGTTTGAACCAAACCAGGCTGTAATAATGAATAGGATCATGTATTATATCAAGCATCTGCAAAAGAAACGGCAGGAAGGTTCTATGATGATGAAAGTTGTGGACAATGGATGAAAGAGTTGGAATAGAAGAATAGATTTCTTAAGTCTTGGGGAATCAGGGATCAAAAAAAGACACTAGCAATAGGCTTAATATGTATTTTGTAAAATAGGATGGCTAATAATAATAATCTGGAGAACTATAAAAGTAGCATGGCACAATCCGATTAAATTGTCAATGGCCATAAGATTAAAAAAAATAATGTCATAAATACGTATTATATAATTATTTATGTAATGATTGTATTGCATGATTTTTTGTTTAATTTTGAGGAGAGAATGCATATATCACTGATGCGTGTGCTCCTCTGTCAGCATCTTCCTTTACCTGAACAAAAGTGGTTTTCCCGGAGCCCGCCATGCCCAGGACAATGAGGCACACCGGGTTGCCTTGTCCTCCTGTCCCCGGTGTCTCACTGCCTCCCTCCGAAGACGATACTCCCGCATTTTCTCCAGTATCACTCCCTGAGATTGAAGAGTGCGCTGCCTGGGCCATGTTGTTGTCTGAACGTAACGCAGAGAGACTGTCGTGAAAAGCGGCCCGGCTGTCGTAAAATGTGAGTACCCGTGAATCTACCTCTGACCGACCCTTTTGACTCAGTAATGTGGCTTTCTATGTTCTTGTTCTGTTCTTTTGTTTTTTATATGTGCGTGAAATTATACTAAATATGCAAGCCTGTCTGATTTGTTCAATAAAAAAAAAATATAAAAAAAAAAAATAAAAAAAAAAAAATACAAAACACCTCCTTCCTGAATTTCCTGAACTGTTTGACTCTCTGATCTTTTTTCGCGAATTGACAACTTTATAATGTTCTCCAAGATAAAACTGTCGCGGTCACTGTTAGTCGCCAGAGATGAACACTAGGGGGCGACATTTCTGTTTGACACAGTAGTTCTACGGTGTTTTGAAGTCACGAAGAGTCAAAGCAACATGGCGCCACCCGTCACCAACACGGGTCTGTTTGAGTAATCAGAGCAACCCTGTTTACTTTGCACAGTTTCTGGAATTGTCTTTTCATTCTTCAGCAGCAGTAGAGACCAGATACTCAGAGGCCATGCGCTGAGATCGTTGGACCCATGATCGGACTCACGCAGCGGGAGATATGTGGATGACCTGGGGCAGAGCTGTCAGACTCCTCCGCGGCCAGCGTCAGCTCTGGCGGTCCCTGTGCCTGGACAGAGGGGACACATCTCCGGGTAAACCCCCCTGGAAAGTGCTGTTCTTTGGGTCGGACCAGTTTGCAGTAGAATCACTCAAAGTGCTGTCGACCAGTAGGTACTGTCCGGATTTCTCTTCTCTCACACTGGTGCACACATGAGATTCAGGTGTTCATCTAAACAGCACTAGCCTTATATTACATGTCATTGTGAATTATTACCTGAATATAGGATTGGCTTGGTTCAGTGCATTCTAGATACACACCTCACACAAGTATAGTTTACTGCTTAACATGTTTTAAAGTCATCAATAAGTGATCACTCTTAGGGCTGTAACAACTAATAATTGTTGAAATAGTTGTCATCTAATCTAGTGGATGCTGACTTACACAATTACTTAATCATGCTGAGAAGAGGTTTTATGACTAAAAAAGTTTCTATAATGACTGCAGGAGGAATTTAACTTACAACGCATTTGCGATCAAACAACATGAGTAAATAGTCATCTCTATGCATTTACAAATATGTAAGACTAAAACTTGTGTACATAATTTAACTGATGTATTATGTATCACTAAGTGAAAGTCTATGTGACCAGATGATGTGATATTTGTGTTTCAGAAAGTGTGACGACTCGGTGGTGCAGTGTCTGGAGGTGGTGACACTCCCGGGGGACGTCCCGGTGAAACGCTTCGCCCTGCAGGACTCTCTCCCGCTGCACCCCTGGCCACCGGACATCAGTCCAGGGCAGTTTGATGTGGGCGTGGTTGTGTCCTTTGGGTGTTTACTTCCACCAAAGATCATCAACAAGTTTCCATTGTGAGTAATTGGACATTTATTTTCTATATATTGTGTTCACATATCATTCCTCTCATTGGCACTCAGTCCAAGTTTAGTTATTCATCAGATTCATTAAAAGAAAGTAATTTATAATATTTTTTACCTTACATTTATATGATATGGATAGATTTGAGTCAACATTTTGCAGAGTGGAAGCTACTAGACTATTTGAAGTTTTGAAAGTTTGACAAAGTACACTATGTAATGCTTTGAAATGGACTGAGGCAGCTCCCAGGCGAGAAGGGGATTCTGCCCATTTTGAAAAAAACCAAATGAAACCAAACTAATCCAACAGTGCTTTTGTTTTTTTTCACAATGTTGTAACAAACATGTTATATCAATTATCACAAGTTGAAGTGGTCAATGTACCTCCAGCCTCTAGGTGTCACTAGCACTACATATTGTCACACACCTGTGCCTATTTAAAGCAGGAAACTAGTGCTGCAGGTAATGTATGTGTGACTTTTGACCGTATTATTGAGCACATGGAAATAAAGGGGAATCTTGTACATCTTTTTGAGTATCGGACTCATTTTTGGACCAGGAAACACGCGTCTGAAATCCCACTAATCTTGTGTTACCTATTGGTTCAGTGACATAGGGCCACTGGGCCTCTACACTAGTGTTTTCATCCCCCAAGCACAGTGGTCTCTTGTATAATGTATAACTCCTCATGCACTCAAACTGTCTTGATATTTGGCCTCGGCGGCTCATGCGACATCATTCTCTCAGTGGGATCCTGAACGTGCACCCCAGCCTGCTCCCCCGCTGGAGAGGCCCCGCCCCCATCTTCCACACCGTCCTGCAGGGGGACCAGCTCACAGGGGTCACAGTTATGCAGATCCGCCCACACAGGTCAGATACACACACAGAGATGACCAGTTAAAGATGTCTGTACTTCCAATGTATGTGGTTGTTTGTTGGTCTGTATTTTAATCTGTAGCACTTTGAGGTTTTCCAGAAATGTAAGGTGCAATAAAAATAATGCATTATTATTATAAGAATATAAAACAAGTCACAATGGGGATATATAAGTCAATCATCAAAACACAGAGTCGCTCAAAAGGTTTTGCAAATTGTTTATTATAAAAGCCAAACACAAAAGGAAGAACAAAGTGGTGGGAGGAGTGGCGTTGAACAGTTGTGCCAAAATAACAAACTCAAGATTACAAAATATGCTTTTATGGTGGAGGTGTGTGGTGCAGGATTGATGGAAAGGCAGCCAATTGGAACAAAGATGGATTTTTATTTTTTTTAAACAGGGAGGCCAATATAAGATAAGATGAGATAAATAATATTGATCTAACAATGGATAAATTACATATCACATTTGGCATGGATAGAATCACTCGGGGAATGCAAAAGAAAGTGTGCAAACAGGTTATAAAGGTTAAAATATATAGTCTATTCTGCAAGATGTATTATGTACCATCAAATTAAAAGTTATTATAGCAGTGAGAGTTTTTCCAGCCCTAGTGCAGGTCATGGGTTCATCTCTCTCTCTCTCTCTCTATCTCTCTGACTGGTGCCATGAGCTACTATTCCACCAATCATGCACCATCCTCCTCCAGGTCCTGCCACAGCACCTTCACACACAAGCAGAGGGGAGAGAGCAACAGCACAATAGGAGAAAAAAAACAATGCATGTATTGTGCTATGTATGTGTCGTGAAAAACGTATCTTACTGACCTAAAACGTATCTTACTGACCTAAAATGACTCTCCAGGTTTGACGTGGGCCCCATCCTCAGCCAGGAGTCGTATCAAATCCAAACACAGGTCACAGCGGACGAGCTCGGAGATATTCTTGCTGTGAAAGGAGCACAGATGGTGAGTTGCTGTTTTTTATGTTGTAGTTCACTGTATAATGAAACAGAACATATTTCTGGGTATATGTATGTATGTGTAAGCAAGAGTATATTTGTCAATTCCTGTTTTTTTATTTTTTATTTATTATTTATGTTATTACACTTTTTGGAAAACATGTACAAAACCTATGTCTAAGTGCAAAGATGTTTCAGGTGAAGCGAATGATGACAATGTATATCTTATTTGTCTTTTGAAGTGTAAAAAGTTTTTAAAAACGTTAAATAAAAGATAAATAAAAAACAATAATAAAAAAACATGTTTCATCTTTAAAATAATTGTTCAGTGGTTATTATATAATTGTATAATGTCCCGCCAGATTTATCAACAAAAAAGGAGTCTGGCTTAGCCTTTTGGACAAGAGCCCTGAATGGCTTGAAATATTGCAATTTAAAAACAAAAACATCTCATTGAGGCTGTAGACGACCAAAGAAACTCAACATATGCCTTGACGATAAATTGTCAAAAGAAATATTTCCCTTCCAAGCAAAACTATCTTCATAAACAATAAGAAAGAACACATCCATCCATACAGATAAATACATAATTCTAAAAGTTGCTAACAATAGTACAGAAGTATAAAACAATATGTATTAAACTGGTCATTTGAGAGTTTGTTCTGCACGCTACAAAAAGTGAGGAAAAATAAGTCAAAAATTGCTCAAATTTGGCTAAAAGTATCTTAATTTGAGCACATTTTGACTGCATTACAATGAGAAAAAAGCACTGCTTGAAAAAAGACCAAAAGTTTTGTCCCATTGGAAAATCTTGTTTTAAGGCAGTCAACATTAAGATAAAAAAACACTTATAATGTATCATTTTTTGCAGTGTGTCTTAAATATCAAAGCAAACAGACAAATTCAGCCTTATCTTTTCATTTTTGCCACAACAAATCCTGAAATATAAATTGTATATAATTCACTTTGTCACTCCTCTTGTTTCTTGTCTTGTTCTGTGTGTAGCTTTTAGACACTCTCAAGAACCTGTGTGAAAAACTCCGCAACAAGAAGGAGCAGAGTACGACGGGTGCCACATTTGGTAAATTTCTCTCATGACGCATCTACGCTCATCTGTCTCTGGTTTGGCTACGTTACAAGTCTTAACAGATCGATGTGTGTTCTGTGTCAGCTCCAAAGATCAGCACGTCCCTGAGCTGGCTGGTGTGGGAGGAGCAGACCACCCTCCAAATCGACTGCCTCTCCCGCGCCATCGGATCTCGAGTAAGAGTTTTGGTTTGAGGAACTTGTGTAAAGCAGTCTCCTCTTTGAATTGTAAGGGATGCAAAATAGGGGTGTGAATTGTGATGATGACATTGCAATATTTTGGCCACAATTCAATATTATTGCGATTTTTTTACATATACATATGCAGCAATAGCCTAGCCTTAGCCATCCGTAAACTGCGGTCAATTATCATGTCCCTGCACGTACAAAATGTAATTTGTACAATGGTGTGGTACGACCAGGTTAATAGTCAGCTTTAAGATGAGATAAACCTTTATTAGTCTCACAGTGGAGACATTTCAGTGTCATTTGTGATTAGATTTTGCGATATATTGTGATTATTTTCCCTCATATTATTCAGTCATGTTTAATATGGTCTGCGCATGAGCTCAAGCAAACACTTGAACTTTCACAACACAAGACCTTATTACAGACGAGGCATCCTAATATCTGAACTCTGAACATTTTAGAAAAATGCGCTACATAAACAAATTTCATACAGACATCATAGAGTCGCAACAAGCAGACGTCATAGAGCCACGACAAGCAGACATCATAGAGTCACGACATGCAGACGTCATAGAGTCACGACAAGCAGACATCATAGAGTCACGACAAGCAGACGTCATAGAGCCACGACAAGCAGACGTCATAGAGTCACGACAAGCAGACATCATAGAGTCACAACAAGCAGACATCATAGAGTCACGACAAGCAGACATCATAGAGTCACGACAAGCAGACGTCATAGAGCCACGACAAGCAGACGTCATAGAGTCACGACAAGCAGACGTCATAGAGCCACGACAAGCAGACGTCATAGAGTCACGACAAGCAGACATCATAGAGTCACAACAAGCAGACATCATAGAGTCACGACAAGCAGACATCATAGAGTCACGACAAGCGGACGTCATAGAGTCCCCACCAGTAATGCAAAATACTTCACGCTGCAAAATAAGTAGTATCAATCTTTATCCCTTTAGGCCACAAAGACACTTTCTATACAGTGACCTGGCTGTAAATCTTTCTCCCATCTTACCACAAAGACGGATATATTTATGGTTTGGATTTCAGCTCTCCTCTCTCTTTTATACTGTTTTATTTAGGCTCCAACTTTTGTCTCTTTCACGTCAATTTTCTTTAAAAAAAAAAAGACATAAAACATCTCAAATCAAACCAGTTCATGCCAAAAATTGCAACATCACTTGTGTGGAACGGCTTCAGAAATGTATGGATTTGCTGATAGCAGATTAGAAAACAATGAAAGCTGTCATTGATCTTAGGAGATAGGCATGCAGATTACACAATGTAACTGTGATACTAGAAATACACCATATTTAACCATGTAGCGCCTGTTAAATCATCAAATAGTTGGAATATATTACGATACATTTTTAAAATAATTGTAAAACTATACTGTCTTCCTCAGATCCCGCTGCGAACCCTGTGGATGGGGAGGACACTTAAACTCCTAGATTACGTGGGGAAATGTCACAGTGTGGTCCCAGGTAAATATCTATTTTATTTGTTGTATCATTGAATTACTGTGCTTTTCCCCCAGGTATTTACCGGTAAACAAAAGCTGATTATTATAACCAACTGTTTTTATTGTGACTCACTTTATTTATCTAAAACAGTGTGAGCAGAAATGTGGGGTGCTGTAAAAAAAAAAAAGTGTTTTATTGGTTAAGGCACAAGAGTGACCAGCTCAATCGGACAATATTTGTATTATGTTGCATTTTAGAGAAATCGCAGGTTAGACACTTTTAGTTTGGAATATCTCTGAAACAGAGGCAGGTAGAATCAAAATGTGAGAAAAGCTTCTTCTCTGAAAATGATCAAATCCAGGTTAAAAACAGTTCTGTTTAGCTGAGCATACAACTGACTGAGGGATTGTATTTTCACTCTATTTAAAAGATAATTTATTTGTCCCACAGCGCAGAAATGTCAGTGTTGCATCACCAGTTTCAGAACAGTAGGAATGAGTTGCACACAAGATAAATTAACAATAAATTGATGCTAAATAAAAAAAAACTACTAAATAACTCTAGCTTAAATAGAAGCAGTACAAAATCTGTATCTTTAGCATAATGAGTACAAAAACTGTGACTTTAGCGTTATAAAGAAGCATAAAATCTCTACCTTTGGCCTAATAAGGAGCAGGTATAAGCATGTACTGTGATTATTTATAATTGTAACCTTCTTTTGTTCTGCACTTTGAGTTGCCTTGTGTATGAATTGCACTATACAAATAATAAAGTTGCCTCAGCGATGCCTCATGTGTTGATTTTCAGATGGAAGTGCAACGTTAGTTCCTGGGTCTGTGTTTTATCTGAGAGAATCCAATATCCTCAGTGTTCGCTGTAAGGTCAGTGACACTCTACTCACCTTCACTTCACATTAGCTGTAGCAACATTCTTATCCATATTCTCAGATCTTTCATTACTCATTTTAATTTAAAAAGTAAAAGTCGATTTGTATTTTATATAACAAATGGTATGCATACATGTGTCCTCTTTGAGCCTTGAGAATAGTTTACTTTTTCAATTCAAGTTTCAGAATCTAATTGATAATGGAATATACTTGGATAAGCACGTGTAAGGGATAGCGCTTTAAGTAGTAAAACACCTCCTCCTAGTGGTGAAACAGGGAAGCACATTTAGTTAGCGTCTTAATTAGTTCATGGATGTCATTGATTGAACACACACTGTTGGAGTTCCCAAAACTAAATAGTTTTTCAGAACATTTCTCTGGCCATGATGTCATTGCTTTAAGGACTGTTTGAATTAGGAGGATATTGACAGAAGGGGTGGGGGCCACATGTTCTTGCTGAGTGTCAAAAATTGCGGACAAAGCAAATGTATCTTGTTTTAAAAAGATACAAGAAATATCCCCCTTGGAATGAAGAAATAAAGTCTTGGTTCTTGAAATAAGACTAAATGGCTTTGTCCCATCGGAAAATCTTTTCATTCAAGCTATTATTAGCTCTTTTTCTTTTTTTGCAGTGTTATTACAATAGTTTTTGCACTATTAGGCGCACCTCGGGGTCTTTCTGAGTGGAGTTTGCATGTTCTCCCCGTGCTTGCGCGTTGGCTTCCCCGACCACTAAAACCATGTACACTAGGTTAAATCCTCCAGCTCTGGTAGTCCTGACCAAGCTGAGCATTAACATCTGGAGATGGGTTCCTGGGCGCTGTTACTACGGCGACCACTGCTCCTGATGTAAGCCTTAGCAGCATCAGGATGGGTCAAATGCAGAGGATGAATTGCCCTACAGGGATTAATAAAGTGCACCTTTACCTTACTGATTATAAGTCGCATTTTAAAATGTTGTCTTGATTTTCTCATATAAGGTGCACCGGATTATAAGGCGCACTGTTGATATTAAAGGCTTTTATGTGCTCCTAATAGTGCAAAAAATGCGGTAGTTTAAACAAATCACTGATAGAAACCGTTTTTGCTGTATATTTTTACATTGACAATTGTTTATTGTACTTTTTTAGCTTGTTTTATTGATAAACTTGTCTGGTGCACACTGGGGACTTTTGCACATGTATTCCAATGTGGTTTTACTGCAAATAAACTGAATCAGAGTCTGATGTTACAGGACGGCTGGGTTGGATTCCGTTCGGTGCTGCTGAAGAAGCGTCTCACGGCTGCAGACTTTTATAACGGTTACCTGCACCAGAACCTCAAGTCCTGCTCTGGTCCATCTGCTCACGCTGTGTTCGTCAGTGGAAGAACTGGACAAGCAAACCACAACAATCATTTACACAAAGCAAATCTCCCAACCACGTAACCGCCCACGACCTCTGATGTTTTGGACGATGTGTTGGACCATTACGGACTGCTCTGCTTTATTAAAACTTTAGATTTCATTTCAACTCCACTGGAATCTTTGACAGGATCAGCCATCCTCCCAACATGCATTTGGATTTCTCTGAACGCATTAATCACTTGTACTCTCTCCATTTTGCATTTGTAAGGATTAGAAATAAGATTGTGTTGGATTTGTTTTGCTTTTAATAAACTGAGACTTTTGCAAGGAATCACACACATTTGATTAATATGTTTGTAGATTATGCCTTATCTAATCTTAATTTAATATCTTAAACAATGAGTAGATTAGCCTGGCTCTAGCCGAACTTTTGCCCCGCCTACATTAAGTCAGGCAGTGCGGTGGCGTAGTGGTTAGCGTTTGTGCCTCACAGCAAAATCCTGTGTTGAATTCCACCTAAATGTCTTAATAAAAGAACAGCCAAACAAGTCATTCGTCACACATTTGATGTCATTCCATTTACAAGGAGCGCAATGGGAGATAGCTGCTTCCATTTTGTGTTTGTACTGTATCATCACTACATCCAGTATATAGTGCATTTCATGAACTGTTTCCAAAGTGCTGCACAGAAAAATAAAAATACAAGTGATCAGGTCTATTTATTGATTTATTTCACATTTGATGAAATTGTATGTAAAAGTGTCAGTTTTAGCTACAACGCTAGTTTCCAGTTGTTGTTCCAGGCAACAGTGTAAAGGAGCCAGATATGATATCCAATGAAAAACAGGTATAGGATATGAAAAGAGATATACATGAATAAAACAAAACATTATATTGGAATGCACTCTGACAGAAGCGAATTAACCGTATGTGCCATCAGCCCATCAACCACCTTCTTTACAACAGGTTTGAATGTCTGCCTTTGTCCAGCTTAATTATTCCTGGCAGAGCTGTGAATTGCCCAGGCCTGGAGGTATTTTGCCATTTGCCTGTGGTGGTATTTCACACAACCGCTGTAACCCTTGCCATGATCTTAGCTTTCAGGTCAGTTGCTGCCTGTGTTCTCAGTTCCTGTACTCAATATCTGTGGTGGTGGCCACTGCCATTTGTGGATGGGTTAGGGTTAGGCAGACACTCAGAATCTGTTGATGGTCCCCCGTACTCGTTCCCAGCCTCTGCGTATGTCAGAGTCTGTTGATTTAAAGTCCCAACTTAAGACGTATTTGATTAGTCAGGCTTTCTCACCTCACTGTTCATAGGCCTCTGTGAACTGTGTCCATGTTGAGGACCGTCTTCTGTGTCTCTGTTTTAAATCTGATTTGTTTGTGTATTATTTTATCTGTATGTTTTAAATGTGAAGAACTTTGTGATCCTGGTCTGTGAAAGGCGGCGCTATACAAATAAACTTTCCTTACTTACTAAGACATTCAAACCTGCCATTTGTTACATTTTCTGCATTTAACTATTCTGGCCAGGGTTATTTGAGTAGTAGCACTCCATACCTTCATGGTTATGAGTTAGGAAGTTGGATTCGCCCTACCAACTGAGCCATCCAGTTGCTTACAGTAGCCTCTATAATATCACGTGGACGAAATCAGCAATCTCCAGAGAACAACAAATTTAATGTATTCTAAAATAAAATTTCAACCCAACATATCATTAGAATTTTAGCAATTAAATATATATAAAAACATATTTATTATATTCGTAAATTTGACAGGTACATTAATACATATTTCTGTAAATGCACCATAATAAGCTAAGTAGGCCATTTTTCATCTGCATCCCTAAAGACAACAACAGTAAAAGCCATGCAATAATAATTGTGTTTTTAACCTTTATAATTGTTTAAACGATTTTTTTACACATTTTGTTTCCAGAAAAATCAACCAGATAATAATTGTTAAACTAATGTCACACAACTGTAATGTTAAAATACCTTCGATTCTTTGGGCCCTGAACAAAATTGGTTTGACACATCAGTGCTCTAGGCAACAGTCTTGCCTGCGGACACAACGACATGAACTTGTTTTTTTTTTACATATCTATCCTTTCCTTTGAATAGCACTGAATCCCACAGCAAATTTCCTTTGGAGAGAATGAAGTGTATCTTATCTTACGTGCGCCTGTCATTCCACGCGTGGCCACTAGTTGGCAGTAGAAGCGCAGAGGAAAAGGAAGCCGCTGTTCCCCTGTGGTGCAGCTGTAGTTGTGCCAAACCAGGTCACATGACAGAACATTCTACTGCACTGCTGCTCCACCTCAGCTTGTGATCATGGTAAGAACATGCAATAACAACACCACTGCGACCATGTTCACACGTTTCCCTGCCTTTCTAACAGCCCTGCACGTCGCTTTTCCGTCTCACTTCCGCGTCCGCAGCATCTGTTCCCACTGCACTCCTGACAGCCGCTATGCTAATCACTGGCTACTTCCTTAAATCTACTAAATCCTCTGCTACTTGTCTTTATTTGACCGTTTCAGACGCAGAAACGTAACCAGTTGTATTTCAATGGCATGATGATTGAAAACGCAATACGCATCGCAAAGTGTTGTACAGAAATGTATACGCGGAATGTTGTTAGCTTGTGTGTTAGCATTAGCATTGGTATATGTTATCACAGGCAAACACACTAACAGCCTTAACTTGCATTGCATTTTGAGTGGACTCTGACCAGCCTTCAGTGGTGTTATAATGTTTTCTTTCTACACACATGCAAAAGGCTGCATAGGTATATAAATGATTGTTAAGATGCAAACTGGGCGAAGTCTGAAGCAGGTTGAGAAAATGTAGGTCTGTGACATATAAGCAGTCACGTGAAGAAAGCATATGTATTTTGGGTATTTTTTGGGTATTACCTGACACGCAACCTGTCTTAATTATTTTTATGTGTGAATGTTTTAATGGATGAATTTGATTAAAGATGAAGATATACTTTATTGATCTGAATTAGCTTGAGTTTTGTATACTGCTGTAAAGGGAAGATGTTCTAGTTTTACCAGTAAAACCACATGCTGGTAAATTTCTATTTATTTTTGTATAGCCTTAAATCACTGAAGTAGTTATCTCGAAGGACCTTACAAAGCAGTCGATTTGCCAACACAGATCCCAGATTAAAACTGTCCAAACACAGGAAATGCAATGATAAAAGACACTCATAAGAGCCATTGTTTCATAACAGGCAGATGACCAATGTCCATAAATGTTGAAAAAGTCGTTGGAGGTTGAATGTACTGGATCATCACCACTGTGTGCAGAAAACAAGCTTGTTTCATATTTGGAAAATATTTTGAAGATCTGAAAGCAAAGATTGACCATTAAATGTCTTGAATGCTTTGGAAGGTTTGTACTGACCGCTTGGATTCGGATCATCTTCTTCCATTCTTGTAAAAGGGTTATTACTAATGTTATAACGTTATCCACATTTCACTTGTAGTATCCTTCACTATACGTGTGTAGTGCAGTTAGAATCCATAAGACCAAAACCAAATAAAAGGATAGAGCTCCAAGGAAAATGTATACGCAAGGCTGTTAGTTTGTTACTTCTTTCGTCTCAAAAGGTCATTATGTTTTACGCCCCAGTGACACAGGAATTTTCAGTGGGACATTTGATTGTTCTCCCTGTGTTTATCTTAGTATGTTGCTCATTATATTAAAGGTACATGTCTGATCTCTGCTGGTGGTGACCCACTTTTTGCAATTGTATTGTTAGCTATTTTTAGAATGATCTATTCATTTCGTTTGTATGAATGCATGTGTTTCTGCGGCTACTGGACACCTGATTTTGTCCTACGGGGATCAATAAAGTATCTATCTTTTGATCTATCTATCTGCTTTTTTTTTGCTTTGCTTGAAACGTTGCTTGTACATCCCTCAGTAGCTTTTGTGCTTTAAAAGCCGTTTTTTAAAGGTGAATAGACTCGCCACTTCACATTTATGACTTGTAACTGAAGTCGCTTGTTTCCAATGTAACAGGTTTGATGACAACCTGTATAAATGTCTGCGCTAAATAATTTTTTATGAACCCACGCAAAAAGCGGGCCCTCCACCAGGAATGTTTTTAACCCTTGTGCTAGCCCCAGGTCAAAATGATTTGCCACAGATGAATAACAATTCAGCTTGAAAAAAAGCACAAGGGTTAAGAAGAATGTATAGAATAGAATGTACCCTTTGTTTATCTACGTGGGGAACTTTGTCCTCTGTATTTGACCCATCCTGATGCCATGATCTCCAAATGTTGATGCTCGGCTTGGTCAGATCCAGAACTGGAGGATTTTACTGATGATTTTTTTAGTGGTAAGGGGAACCTATGTAGACTCTGGGAGAATATGAAAAATCAGGAACGCCCTTTTCTGACTGGGATTTGAACCCAGGACCATCTTGCTGAGAAGCGGGAGTGCTAACCACTGTGTCCTGTTGCAGCCCACCACACAGTCTCCTCAGGACGAGCAGGAGAAGCTCCTGGATGAGGCTGTGCAAGCTGTGAAGGTCCAGTCCTTCCAGATGAAGCGATGCCTGGTAACTGAGAGTTTGTTAAAGCTACAGCTTTGTCTGTTGTAACTGGTGTAACATGTTTGACTGTTTCAGGACAAGAACAAACTGATGGATGCTCTGAAGCACGCCTCTAACATGCTGGGCGAGCTCAGGACGTCAATGCTTTCTCCAAAGAGCTACTATGAGCTCTGTATCCTTCTGCAGCTTCAGGACTGACAAACACACAGGCAGCAGTGTTTAATGATTTCTAATATAATAAAAAGTGTTTAAATTATATAAAGGAGAAAACTGAGGCACTCAGGGGGTAGAGAAAAAGTTGAACCTTTTTTTAATACGTGGCAAAAAAGTAAAAACTGCTTTAAATGATGAAGTGCTTTTCTTAACAGTGACATAGACATGGCCATCTCAGACGAGCTCCACTACCTGGAGGTGTATCTCACGGATGAGTTTGCCAAAGGCCGGAAGGTGGCGGATCTGTATGAGTTGGTGCAGTACGCTGGCAACATCATTCCCAGACTGTAAGTCAAACTCTTGCTTATTTATTATGCTACAGTGGTGCACTTTCAACGTTCATAAGAGATTACAAATCTAATCCAATCAAACTTGCAATGATCATCTGAAAAACCACATATTTATTCAAAGTCCTGCAGCTATTTCTATAACAACATCTAAATGTATTAAGTTACACATGTGTGTCTGATTCCTTTGCCCTCTCCTGCAGCTACCTCCTGATCACGGTCGGCGTGGTGTATGTGCGCTCCTTCCCTCAGTCTCGGAAAGACATCCTGAAGGACCTGGTGGAGATGTGTCGCGGGGTGCAGCACCCGCTGAGAGGCCTGTTCCTCAGGAACTATCTGCTGCAGTGCACTCGCAACATCCTGCCTGACGACGGGGAGCAGTTTGAGTGAGTGTCACACAAACACAAATGAAATACAGTATTTATCTATGAGCAAACATCATACATGATCCTGGTCAGTGATAGGGGGAAATCAATTATTTTCAGTATTGCAATATTTTACGCACGCAATTAAATTGATACAGTACAGAAAAGTATGATTAAATAATAAAGTATTATTAAATCATTATTATAATAATTATTATAATTTTGTGTTTTCTTGGAGTTTACATCTGAGGGTTTATGTTCCTCTATGATGTCTGATTGTTGTAATCATAGTCTGTAAATATTAACGGACATAGTCACGTTGAAACAAAAATGAAGCAAAATGTTAAGAATCATAATAATATTGAATTGTGGCCCAAATAATGCAGTTATTTAGACTTTAGACCCCACCACAGCACTGAGACTGCTCTTGTCAAGGTTACAAACGATATCCGGCTGAACACTGACGCAGGCAAAGTCTCAATCTTAATCTTGTTAGATCTCAGTGCTGCCTTTGACACCGTCGACCATGAGATCCTCTTACAGAGACTAGAGGACTGGGTTGGAGTCGCTGGCACCGCCCTAAGTTGGTTTAGGTCTTACCTTGAAGGAAGTACTTTGTGGAGATTGGAAACTGTGTCTCAGATCATATGGCCCTGGCCTGTGGAGTACCACAGGGGTCGATCCTGGGACCTCTTCTGTTCAATCTCTACATGCTGCCGTTAGGTCAGTTAATACGCAGAAACGAAGTGTCCTATCACAACTATGCAGACGACACTCAGATCTATGTCTCACTGACTGCAGGAGAACATTGACCAGTGGACTCACTCCTTCACTGTATCCAACAGATCAGTGAGTGGATGCAAAACAACTTCCTTCAGCTAAACGCAGACAAAACTGAAATGATTGTCTTTGGTCCCCAGAAACAAAGAGAGAGCGTCATCTGTCACCTACAGTCTCCCTCCCTAAATCTAGGGGTAATACTGGACTCAGACTTAAATTTTAATAGCCACATCAAATCAGTAACATCAGCAGCTTTTTACCATCTAAAAAACATTGCCAGGATCAAAAACATAGTGTCTAAAGCAGACTTGGAGATTCTTATCCATGCATTTGTCTCCAGTAGGTTAGACTACTGCAATGGCCTGCTCACAGGTCTGTCCAAACAGGCTGTAAAACAGCTGCAGTACATTCAAAACGCAGCAGCTCGAGTCCTGACTAGAACCAGGAAGTACGACCACATTAGTCCAGTTCTCAGGTCTCTGCACTGGCTTCCTGTGGCTCAGAGAATAGACTTTAAAACAGCTCTGCTTGTGTACAAGTCTCTCCATGGCCTCGCACCAAAATATATTAGTGACATGTTAGTCCCATATGAACCAGCCCGGACTCTGAGGAGCACAGGGACTGGACTCCTGTTAGTGCCCAGGGTCAGAACTAAACATGGGGAGGCTGCTTTTCAGATTCATGCTGCTAAAATCTGGAACAGTCTTCCTGAAGATGTGAGACAGGCCTCCTCTCTGACAATGTTTAAAACCAGGCTAAAGACGGTTCTGTTTAGCTGTGCATACAACTGAGGGATTTTATATTTTTATCTTTTTTTTTATGTACTGTGATTATTTATGATTTTAATGCTTTCTTGTTCTGTTCAGCACTTTGAATTGCCTTGTGTATGAATTGTGCTATACAAATAAACTTGCCTTGCCTTGCAGTTCTATCAAATCATAAAATTTTGCCACCTCTCCCCTAATCCTGATTTGCTTTATTTGCCAGGGGCTCAGAGGAGATGACCGGTGAAATTGCGGACTCTGTGGACTTTATCCTCCTGAACTTTGCAGAGATGAACAAACTCTGGGTCCGAATGCAGCATCAGGGCCACAGCCGAGACCGCGAGAAGAGGGAGAAGGAGCGACAAGAACTCAGGATTTTAGTGGGAACCAACCTGGTGCGACTGAGCCAACTGGAGGGGGTCAACGTGGAGAAGTACAAACAGGTCCAGTACAAACACTTCAAACTTCTGTGTGGGAGAGAACACACATGTACAGTTAACTCAATTCAATTATGGTTATTCTTGTATAGCCCTAAATCACAACAGTAGTTATCTCGGAGGACTTTACAAAACCGTCAAATTCACCAACACAGATCAGAGAATCAAATAGTATACTTGCATGTGAAAGCCAGATCCTGTCAGACCTCTGAAGCTGTGCAGGGCAGGGCCTGGTTAGTACTGTGATGGGAGACCCCTGGGAACACCCGGTGTGGCTGCCAAACTGCCTCGCATCTGTCAGTGTGCCCCAGCACGGCTGTGGCTACAGCAGTGGTTAATCACCACCCTGTATAGAGTGAAAGAAAAATGACACAATTGTGAAATTCTTTCGAGTGTCCTGAAAAGCGCTATATAAAACCGATGCATTATTATTAGTTCAGGCACAAGAAATGCAATGATAAAAAACACATAGCGCCATTGGTCCATAAGGGGCTGAGACCAATGTTCATAAATGTTGAATGTCGAGTGTCTGGATCATCGCCACTTTCCTTGGACCTTCCGGCATCAGCGAGAATAAACTCCTTCCGACTCTTGCATTCAGTGTTAACACAGTACTTTTGCCTATTCCTAAGATGTTGAAAAAATATAATTATTATGATCATTATTGCTTTGTTCCACAGATCGTTCTGTCCGGTGTGTTGGAGCAGGTGGTGAACTGCAGAGATTCCTTGGCTCAAGAGTATCTGATGGAGTGCATTATTCAGGTGAGACTGGTCCAGTCCAGTCCGGATTACTCCTTTTATTCTCCATTCTACAAAATCAATTCCATTCAAACTACTGACACTTTCCCATCTGGGTTAGGGTACACATAGTAGCACTTAATTAGCTGTTTATTAGTGAGGGCTGAAGTGTTACCTAAAATAAATGAAAAACTAAGATAATAAACTCAATAATTGCACTTGGGTCAAGTTGAAGTACATAATCCAGTATACAGAGTATATACTGGATTGTCCGTCTGTGTGCGTCTGTGTTACATCTTCCCCTGATTTATTCGTTGTTTTTTGTGTGATTTCTCAGGTCTTTCCGGACGAGTTCCACCTCCAGACCCTGAACCCTTTCCTGCGATCGTGCGCCGAGCTGCACCAACACGTCAACGTCAAGAATATCATCATCGCTCTCATCGACCGGTAAACGTCCGCTCTCTCCTCACATTATAGCAACTTTTTCAATCGCCTGAAACTCTTTGCTGCTTATTTCATTTTCTTTAGCCTCGCCCTGTTTGCTCATCGAGAAGACGGACCGGGGATTCCAGCAGAGATCAAACTGTTCGACATATTCTCTCAGCAGGTGGCCACGGTCATTCAGGTGATGAGACTGTTTATTTAGCCGTTTCACATTTTCAGTGTTGCTGCTAATTACTGTAATGGTTAGGCTGCCAGTAATGATTGTTTTCAGAATCAGAATCCTTTTATTGCCATGTGAGTAACAAGAAGACACAACTATGAAATTGCTTTGGCTCTCGGTGCAAACAAGTTAAATCAGAATAAAATCAAAAAGGCATGCATAAATTAAAATCTACACACATTTCTTCAGTTTTGTTAATAATTCATTTAGAAATTATTAAAATTCAATGTATTTTTCTATTGTCCTAGATCAGAACAGTAGTTATCTCAGAGGACATAACAAAGATTTTGATTCGCCAAGGCAGATTAGACTAGTGTTCCCCAACCTTTTTGAGCCACGGCACACCATTTCCAGTTGAAAAAAATCACATGGCGCACCACCAGCTGCAACTGATACCAACAATGGAACTCTGCAGTCTTTAGGAAAAAAGAAAAGTCATTCTCCTCAAAGTGCATTATTTTCTTAATAATAATAGACATATATCTTGACCAATTTGGTGGTAGTGGATAATTTCGAAAGACACACCAAAAAACATCTCAAAGGCCAACTGACATGTATCCGCACACTGGTTGTAAAACACTGGATAAGAGAATCAAACAGAGAAATCCCAGGAAATGCAACAATATCAAACACATAGAGCCATAAATGTCCTTGATCTTCACCACAGTCAAGGCAAGGAACTCAAAAAAAAAACCTGTGAGAAAAAAGTGAGAAACCTTGGGAGGGATCCACTCCTACGAATGGACGGGCTGCAGATCCAGGACTCGAGCTGAATTCTGGATATTCCATAGGTCGTTAAGAATAGGGACAATGTGATTTTCAAGATACACAATTTTAAATCTATTAGTTTATTATATTTATCCAGGAGCTAAACTACGTGTGAAAAGTGAAATGCCGTGTGCCGCTTTAGTGGTTTGATTCCATTTTTTTTAATGTCCAAATTGAATTATTTCAGCTTTGTCTGAGATACAATACCTCTTCTATACATAAACTAACCTGTGTTGTGTTCTCCGTGGGTCCAGTCTCGACAGGACATGCCCTCAGAGGATGTGGTGTCGCTCCAAGTGTCGCTCATCAACCTGGCCATGAAGTGCTATCCCGACCGCGTGGACTACGTGGACAAAGTGTTAGAGAGCACCGTGGAGATCTTCAACAAACTCAACCTGGAACAGTATGTGCACTTTCTATCCTTTATCTGTCTTTATCTTGTGTGTGGAGATCAGTGCTCTCAAACGTGCGGCTCTGGCCCCCTAGTGGAGGTATTGATAGGGCATGCTATAGTGTTTTTAAGGCTATTTTTTATCAAGAAAACAACTATGCTTTTTATAATAGCATAAACATGGAACCCTGAATGCAATAATCAATAATTCAAAGTAAACATTATTAAATCCAGTCTACAACACAGAGACTCATTGCTTTTTGTCCGGTTTTGTTTCAGTCAAGGCACCTGGACTCATTTTGTTCAGAGAAAATAATAATAATACATTTTATGTATAATGCACCTTTTTTTCCAAGAAACCTCAATGTGTTACAAACAAACAGTAAACAAAGCAAATGGCATTCAATAAAGTCATTATTGGATCTAAACACCTTCATCATAAGAAGTTTCAGAAACAAATGAGCTATAACACTTTCCACAGACGCTTGATTCTTGATTTTCCTGTTTTGTCTCTGTTTCCAAACATTTACTTTCTCTACTGTGAACATTAAAGGAATAGGCCACCGTTTTTACATACTGACATATGTTCTTACCTTACCTTAGACTAGTTGATATGTACCTGTCTGGTCTTTCTCCGTGCGCTCTGTCATGCAAACGGAGCACAAACGCAGCCTCTTCCACAGACTGTATAGTTCCAAATCAGCTCCCGTTAGAAGCTACCAAACATTCCACGTGTTCCCTATTTAAAGTGATAGTCTGTAACTCTAAATGAATTACAAATTTTAGGCAATGTGTTAAATTGACCTCCTGGCCTTAAATTTTGATATAAAATAAGTCATTTTATTAATTCTAATATTACGGGCAAGTCCCACCTTTCCTTCTCTTAGCTATAGCTCAGAATCCACACGGTGCTGTCGAGGTTAACCAATTGAGTCATGCCAAGGGCTGTCAATCATCGGCGCTGATGCTCGCAGCTGCGCGCATGCGCAGTTGTTTGTTTTCACGGAACCTACGAATCAAGCCTTTATAGGCTCTGGAACTTCATGAAAACTGAACAAAGAATTCTGAACATCTGCGCTGAGGTACTCATTTATATACTGAACCTATATTCATAATCAGATCCTCTGCAGATGTGTCCTATAATGTGCAATGTCGGGGGGGTGGCGAGAGGTGCCACCCAGTCCACAGAGCACCAGCCCCTCACTGATCCTCCTGCAGGTGGTGAGTCCACAGGAGCTGAGATCTTTCAGTGGGAGCTTCAGGCAAAGTGGGGTTGTCTTGCCTAAGGACACAACGACAGCAGTCATCAGTGGGAGTCGTGAAGTAGGTCTTACGGTGGGCTTGAACCCACAACCTTCAGGCTTAAAGGCCAATGCTCTACCAACTGAGCTACTGTCGCCCCCAGACAATCACTTTAAATATAGTTAAGTGACGTGTTACACTACAAAGTATAGTAACACAGAAATGTAACATGTCGATTTTCTCAGCGGATGAAAAAGGGTACTATATTGTGAGGCGTAATAATACGAGGAGCATTACGTCCGCGCACTAACTCCTAAAGACTTCTCTCAAGTCATGCTGCTAAAGAAGTCTTTAGGAGTTAGTGCGCGGACATAGTGCTAACTCCTAAAGACTTCTTTAGCAGCATGACTTGAGAGAAGTCTTTAGGAGTTAGTGCGCGGACGTAATGCTCCTCGTATTATTACGCCTCACAATATAGTACCCCTATACTTTGTAGAGTAACACGTCATGTAACTGTATTTAAATAGGGAACATCTGGAAGAGTTTGGTAGCTTCTAACGGGAGCTGATTTGGAACTATACACTCTGTGGAAGAAGCTGCGTTTGTGCTCCGTTTGCATGACAGAGCGCACGGACAAAGCCAGACAGGTACATATCAACTAGTCTAAAGTAAGGTAAGAACAAATGTCCTATTCCTTTAAAGAATAAGACGATGGACCAGTTCGAAATGTAGCTGTATATTATATTTATCCAGGAGCCAAACTGTGAGTGTAAAGTGATATAGTGTGAGCAGTTTTATCGGTTGGATTCTATCTCTGCGTGTGCATAGATCCATCTGCTCCAACGTTTTTAGTTTTCAATGTCCGAAGAATAAATATATACATTATCTGTCGCCTTCCAGCATCGCCACCAGCAGTGCCGTGTCCAAAGAGCTGATGCGGCTGCTGAAGATCCCGGTCGACTCCTACAACAACATCCTGACAGTGCTGCAGCTCAAACACTTCCCTCCGCTGTTCGAGTACTTTGACTACGAGTCGCGGAAGAACATGAGTTGCTACGTCCTCACCAACACACTGGACTACAGCACCACCATCGTGGGCCAGGAGCAGGTGGGCACAGGGGATATACCATGGATCTATAATGATATCTGGACTGGGTAGTACTAGCTTATTGCTGAATCATCCACGGGCTCGGAGGCTTCCCGCAGTACTGCAGACTAAAATCACGTTGGCTACCTAAAAAAAAAAAAAAACCCGCAGTACTCAAGGTAAACTAAAACAGCTCGATCTCAGCTGACAGAGAACCTACATCTTACATAAAGGTCGGATTTTGTGTGGATATCAGTGTAATTTGTCGTCCTGAACTTTTATTCTTGTTAAATTCAAGTTTTTTTCTCCCGTGCTAGCTCCACTCTGATCAGCAGCGCAGCCGTGCCCTTCTGCGCATGTGCATGAGAGCCCCAAAAGTGCCCTTGTTAGTATTTTGCGCAAAGCATGATGGGAGGTCGTCAACTGCGCAAAACCGTGAGGACCAGAGAAATATGGGGGAGTTCCGTTTATCTTCCGGGGCCATGGTCGCTTCATGCGCTACTGAGCACAAGTCATTGATTTGAATACGCCGCTATCTTTGAACTTGGGAGATACTGATCATTACAGCTGGATAATCACCAAATATTTGTATTTAATATGTATATTAATTATTCCTTATCCATATGAAGGCTCAGTCTATCGATGCTCTTGGTCAATTTAGGAAAAGTCATCAAAATTCATTAAAAAAAAAACTATTACTATTTTAAGATCTGGTGTTATTTTAGGATTAAGATGAAGATTAATTCGTCCCACAGTGGGGAAATGTCAGTGTTGCATCACCAGTTACAGCTCAGTAGGAATGAGGAGCACACAGCCCAAGATGGATGAAAAATAACTAAATGTTAAAATGAAATAAAATCTCTATCTAGCATAATAAGGAACGACTTCTAAATTCTCCAACTTTAGCATGATGAAGAAGCAAGACTTAAGTACAAAGCGCAAGCCTTTGAATATAGAATTTGAAAAACCAGGCGGACCTTGTGGTGTTATGAACGACGTGGCTTCCTTCCAGGTGGACTCCATATTAAATCTGGTGTCGACGCTGATCCAAGACCAGCCAGACCAGCCGTCAGACGAGCCGGACCCGGAAGACTTTGCTGAGGAGCAGAGCCTCGTAGGACGCTTCATCCACCTGCTGCACTCCGAGGACCCCGATCAGCAGTACCTCGTGAGTCCTCCAATATCACTCTTTCACTTCTCCACAGAGAGCATCATCGGCTCAGCAACAGGTGGAGAGATATTTTTAAGGCTAAGACTAGAGTTTTGCTCTACAACAACTTGTGCTAATTAACAAGATCCTAAAAACACCATTTCTCAACAAAGTTACTGTTTGATATTGACTGTCAATGGTACTTATCACATTACAAGGGGCTTTCGATTGTATACAATATTATTCTAAACAATTCATTACGGCTAAAGTTTAAAAAGTAAAACATTTGGCCCCTTAATGACTCTTTAGTGTGATTCACTAATGATTAATTTATTGAATAATAATCATTAATATTGTAGTAATACATTGATGAATATATTTATATGTATTATTAGTGCTGTCAAACAATTATAATTTTATCATGATTATTTGCATTAATGTCATAGTTAACTCATGGTTGATTGTAATTAATTGCACATTTTTTCTAAATGTCCGTGGATTTGAGATTGGATAAAACAAAAAATGTTTAGTTTTTCTAAAATTACGTTGATCCAACAGCATCGGAAAAAACTACAAAGTGTGGTCGGCCAAAAAGAACGTTAATCGCATGAGTCTTTTCAGATTCATGCTGCTAAAATCTGGAACAATCTTCCTGAAGATGTGAGACAGGCCTCCTCTCTGACAATGTTTAAAACCAAGTTAAAGACAGTTCTGTTTAGCTGTGCATACAACTGAGGGATTTTATATTTTTATCTTTCTTTTTAATGTACTGTGATTATTTATGATTTTAATGCTTTCTTGTTTTGTTCAGCACTTTGAGTTGCCTTGTGTATGAATTGTGCTATACAAATAAACTTGCTTAGCCTTGCCTTACAAAAATGTACGCTGGGAAAATGAGTTTGCGTTCACGCTGTTTATAACGCGTATAACTGAAAGCACTTTAGGTTATAGGTTATTTATTTTTTTGCACAAACCATGTTAACGGTAAAGAACAAAAATAATGTTCATAATGTGCCAATATTACATGTGTCATTTGTGTCTTGTGCTCAGATCCTAAACACGGCACGGAAACACTTTGGTGCAGGCGGAAACCAGAGAATCCGCTTCACTCTCCCTCCTCTGGTGTTTGCGGCGTACCAGCTGGCCTTCAGATACAAGGAGAACTCCTCAACGGTCAGTCCTGTCTCCTCTGTCTCCTCTATCTTCTCTCTTTCCCTTCTCTCCTCTGTCTCCTCTGACTCCTCTCTCTCCTCTCTGTCTGTGTTAGGACGACAAATGGCAGAAGAAATGCCAGAAGATATTCTCCTTCGCTCACCAGACCATCAGTGCACTCATCAAAGCAGAGTTTGCAGAGCTGCCTCTCCGACTCTTCCTCCAGGGGGCGCTTGCGGCCGGAGAGATCGGCTTCGAGAACCACGAGACTGTGGCCTACGAGTTCATGTCCCAGGTACACAACAAGTCTTTATGAATCGGAAAGCTTATTTCTCACAGATTTGATATTTTTTCTTGAATGTTTTGAAATCAGTTGTGCCTCTGCTCAGTTTTACTTCATTCCAGCTACAAGCCTTCTTTTCAAATGTGATGCCTAGTCCTCCCTAGTCCTTCCTAGTCCTTCCTAGTCCTTCCTAGTCCTTCCTAGTCCTTCCAAGTCCTCCCTAGTCCTTCCTAGTCCTCCCTAGTCCTTCCTAGTCCTTCCTAGTCCTCCCTAGTCCTTCCTAGTCCTCCCTAGTCCTCCCTAGTCCTTCCTAGTCCTCCCTACTCCTCCCTAGTCCTTCCTAGTCCTTAACGCTCCTTCTGTAGAGGTTAATGTTAAGGAGCTGGAAGGAGATGGGAGCAGTGAAAGTTCAAAAGGACTTCCCTGATTTGTTGTTTGCGAATCGAAAACTGAAAAGTCCTCCGAGGCGACTGCTCTTGTGATTTTGGACTATACACAAATAAACTCAATTTAATTCACTTTCCTACTTGAGCGAAACCAGTAGCAGTGATCACAAAACAATGAGCACTTTGGCAGAATTCTATCACTGCACTGAAGGACACATTCACATATTTACATTAATTCAAATTTTAGACATTTTAATTAAAAAAAACCTGCCACCACAGGAGAATAAGTGATCAGTCAATTCAACATCTGTTTTAGAAGCGGCAGCAGTCCGGCGCCTTCAGACCAAAATCTTGAGCACTTTTTTTTATGGGGAGAAAATTATATAGAATTTTGATTTGAAAGAATCTGGTTTGTGAGTCTGTCGAGGTGTGAACAATTTTTCAATTCAGTTCAATTTCTTCTTGTATAGCCTTAAATCACAACAGAAGTTATCTCGGAGGACTTGACAAAGCTGTGTTTCGCCAACAACAGATCAGAGAATCAAACAGTGGTCCATAAAAGCAGATGACCAATGTCCATAAAAGTTGATACATGTCCGTAAATGTTGTTGCATGTTGAGTTGTTCCTACATATTGTCTAAGGAAATTGGCCCTATACATATTTGGGGGCAGTGTGAATAAATATTTAAATCTTTCTAGACATTTGCATTCTTTCTTCTGCGATTCAGGCCCCTCCCTGCTGCACCACCTCACATACCATAGCATCGATTTGAAACGTTTGCATGTGCTTCCGTTGTAGGCCTTCTCTCTTTACGAAGACGAGATCAGCGACTCCAAAGCCCAGCTGGCGGCCATCACGCTGATCATCGGCACGTTCGAGCGGATGCGGTGTTTCAGCGAGGAGAACCACGAGCCGCTGAGGACCCAGTGTGCCCTCGCCGCCTCCAAGCTGCTGAAGAAGCCCGACCAGTGCAGGGCGGTTAGCATCTGCGCTCACCTCTTCTGGTCCGGACGCAGCACCGACAAGAACGGGGAGGAGGTAGGACTTCTTCACCCTGACCAAAATCACATTCAGACTGCTTTATTTATCCCACCAGGGGCAATCCTTTTCTCTCTCTCTCTCTCTCTGGTCTCTCTTTGGTCCCTCTCACTTGTCTCTCTCTCTGATCTCTCTCTGGTCCCTCTCACTTGTCTCTCTCTGGTCTCTTTCTGGTCTCTCTCGCTGGTCTCTCTGGTCTCTTTCTGGTCTCTCTCACTGGTCCCTGTCTGGTATCTCTCTCTCTGGTCGCTCTTTGGTCTCGCTGGTCTCTCTCACTGGTCCCTCTCACTTGGCTCCCTCGCTGGTCTCTGTCTGGTCTCTCTCTCTCTCTCTGGTCGCTCTTTGGTCTCGCTGATCCCTCTCGCTTGTCTCTCTCACTGGTCCCTGTCTGGTATCTCTCTCTCTGGTCGCTCTTTGGTCTCGCTAGTCTCTCTCGCTGGTCCCTCTCGCTTGTCTCCCTCACTGGTCTCTGTCTGGTCTCTCTCTCTCTCTGGTCGCTCTTTGGTCTCTCTCTCTGGTCTCTTTCAACATGGAGGCTGATTTTGAAGGTGTTTTTGTATCCCCCAGATCCGCGACGGCAAGAGAGTCATGGAATGTCTGAAAAAAGCGCTGAAAATCGCCAACCAATGCATGGACCAGTCTCTGCAGGTTCAACTGTTCATCGAGATCCTCAACAGATACGTCTGCTTCTACGAGCGGGAAAACGACGCGGTGAGTCATGTCCACGCTTTCCTCTGTGGTTGAACAGAAGGAGCTCGAGGGAGAAATATCTCATTGGACTAACGGCACACATGAGCCGCTGGAGGGTTTCGGCTGCGGTCGTGTGGGTTCAGAATAAGTGCTGCACTCCACCGGCCGCGTCTCCGTTAGCGTGTGTAGGCTGCTGCCCGTCAGATGTGCATAACACGGAATAGTGGCCAAACCGGCTTCAGCAGTGTGCAGCCCCCCCCCTGCCATATCCAGGCTTTTTTGAAAGCGAGAAAAAGAATCAGCAGATTTACGATCAGGAAACAATTATTTCAATTCAGTACATGAAAAATATTACACACATTTGTCAATAATCATTGTCATTAACAAACACTTATAACCAAGGACAGCATATCAATACATGTATTATAATGTAGTAAATATATTTTTCCATTGTATTTCCAACGGAAAACAATGCGGCGACGTACGTAAAATTAGGATTGTTTTTATTTTGTCCGTCCGCGTCCGTTGCACCTTGGGTGAACGCACTGCTTGATTTGTCGGCGTCTCGTTTCCGTCATCACTGTGTGAAGAGCATGGAATAAGAAATTAATTCATTAACAATTGTAAAGAGTTTTGGGTGACCTTGGATTGTAAAATGTCCTATATCAAAAAATATTACTTTGAGTGAGAGTCGTCAATTCAGAGAATGTCTGTAATAAGGGTCTGTGTCCTGAATGTTCAAGGATAACGTTTTTGCACTACCCTTCTAAGTGTTTGCTTCAGTTCATGTGCCAACAGCAGCAAAAGACAAGAGTATTATTTTTCTCAATTTTGGTAATGTCTTTGAATGATTTGAGGGACAGGAATTGCAACATATTGCAGAATCGAATTGCAATATTATGAATTGTGGCACAAATATCATCATATGTCGCATTTTCCAGGTCCCACCACTATTTAGGTCGATACAAAATGAACTCAATTCAATTTAAAGTGACCAAGATGTAATGAGAGAATTTAGTCCTTTGTCCAAATAAATGATTCAGACTCGGATAATAAAAAATCTGAAACAATTAAAGTCATTTTATTCTTTCCTTGCGGCTCGGTACCGATTGACCCACGCCGTCTAGAGATTGTGGCCTTTTTTCCCTCCTGTTGCTTCAAACATTTCTGTGTTTCTGTGTGGGCTGCTCCCTGGACTCTGGAGGAGGTGAGGGACAGGAGGGTGCGAGTCAAAGCCACCTCCATCATGAACAATACCTCCCACAGCACAGGACTGTAGAAGAGCTGAGGAGCTCCTTCAGTGGAAGACTGAGGCACCCTCAGTGTAGGAAGGAGCGCTACCGCAGGGCCTTTATCCCCACCGCTGTCAGACTGTACAATAAGTCACTTTAAATGCTCACTGTGTGAAAACCTGCACTACTACTGACACTGTTTCCAATTGACATTTGACACTTTTGTTGTACATAATTACAGTGCCTTGCGAAAGTATTCGGCCCCCTTGAACCTTTCAACATTTTGCCACATTTCAGTCTTCAAACATAAAGTTAGAATATTTTAATTTTTTCTCATGAATCAACAACAAGTGGGACACAACCGTGAAGTGGAACGAAATTTATTGGATAATTTAAACTTTTTAAAAATATAAAAAACTGAAAAGTGGGGCGTGCAATATTATACGGCCCCTTTACTTTCAGTGCAGCAAACTCACTCCAGAAGTTCAGTGAGGATCTTTGAATGATCCAATGTTGTCCTAAATGACTGATGATGATAAATAGAATGCACCTGTGTGTAATCAAGTCTCCGTATAAATGCACCTGCTCTTTGATAGTCTCAGGGTTCTGTTTAAAGCACAGAGAGAACCATGAAGACAAAGGAACACACCAGGCAGGTCCGAGATACTGTTGTGGAGAAGTTTAAAGCCGGATTTGGATACAAAAAGATTTCCCAAGCTTTAAACATCTCAAGGAGCACTGTGCAAGCAATTATATTGAAATGGAAGGAGTATCAGACCACTGCAAATCTACCAAGACCCGGCCGTCCCTCCAAACTTTCATCTCAAACAAGGAGAAGACTGATCAGGGATGCAGCCAAGAGGCCCATGATCACTCTGGATGAACTGCAGATAACTACAGCTGAGGTGGGAGAGTCTGTCCATAGGACAACAATCAGTCGTGCACTGCACAAATCTGGCCTTTATGGAAGAGTGGCAATTTCTCAAAGATATCCAATAAAAGTCTCTTAAAGTTTGCCACAAGCCACCTGGGAGACACACCAAACATGTGGAAGAAGGTGCTCTGGTCAGATGAAACCAAAATCGAACTTTTTGGCCACAATGCAAAACGATATGTTTGGCGTAAAAGCAACACAGCTCATCACCCTGAACACACCATCCCCACCTCAGCTGTAGTTATCTGCAGTTCATCCAGAGTGATCATGGGCCTCTTGGCTGCATCTCTGATCAGTCTTCTCCTTGTTTGAGATGAAAGTTTGGAGGGACGGCCGGGTCTTGGTAGATTTGCAGTGGTCTGATACTCCTTCCATTTCAATATAATTGCTTGCACAGTGCTCCTTGAGATGTTTAAAGCTTGGGAAATCTTTTTGTATCCAAATCCGGCTTTAAACTTCTCCACAACAGTATCTCGGACCTGCCTGGTGTGTTCCTTTGTCTTCATGGTTCTCTCTGTGCTTTAAACAGAACCCTGAGACTATCAAAGAGCAGGTGCATTTATACGGAGACTTGATTACACACAGGTGCATTCTATTTATCATCATCAGTCATTTAGGACAACATTGGATCATTCAAAGATCCTCACTGAACTTCTGGAGTGAGTTTGCTGCACTGAAAGTAAAGGGGCCGAATAATATTGCACGCCCCACTTTTCAGTTTATTTGTTAAAAAAGTTTAAATTATCCAACAAATTTCATTCCACTTCACGATTGTGTCCCACTTGTTGTTGATTCATGACAAAAAAATACAATTTTATATCTTTATGTTTGAAGACTGAAATTAGGCGAAATGTTGAAAGGTTCAAGGGGGCCGAATACTTTCGCAAGGCACTGTATCCTGAATGTAACATGTTTGCACATTTCTTTCTTTTGCACAATCTGAGTGTCTCTATCCATGCCAAAGTGACATGTAAATGTCTCTGTGAGATAAATAAAGCACATCTTATCTTATGTTATCTTATTTTTTTGGCGTTTGTCTTCTCTTTAGGTGACGGTCCAGGTCCTAAACCAACTGATCCAGAAGATTCGCGAGGACCTGCCCAACCTGGAGGCCAGCGAGGAGACGGAGCAGATCAACAAGCACTTCCAGAACACGCTGGAGCATCTGCGTCTGCAAAGGGAGTCCCCAGAGACGGAGGGCCCGGCGTACGAAGGCCTGCTGCTATAGGCCCCTACACCTCACCAAACACACCACACATGTAACCAGGGCTTGGCATTCACTGCAGCCAACACTGGGGCAGTATCGCACACCTTTCAGCTCGTCCTTTGAAGCGTAACCAGCTTTATACGGGGGGAAGGACAACAGTGAGACAGAAAGGATGCATCATTGTCCTAGTCCACTGCAAAAACAGAAAAACAAAAAATATGTATTAATGAGGCAATGAATGCTTGAATTGAGTGGTTTTTATCTTAATCTGAGCACATTCTGACCGTGTTAAAACAAGATTTGCCAATGGGACAAAGCCATTCAGTCTTATTTCATGACCTGTTGCTTTATTTTCTCATTCCAAGGGAGACATTTCTTGTATATTTTTAAAACAAGATACTTTTGCTTTGTCCCATTGGCAAATCTTGTTTTTGAGGCAGTCCAAATGTGCTCAAATTTAGATATATTTTGCCAGATTTGAGCCTTTTTAAAACTTATTTTTCATCACTTTTTGCAGTGTTCAGATTTACCGCTATCCAGATGTGAACTTGATTCTAAAGTGCTAAATTATGCAGTGCTCGACAGAAAACTAAACTGGTTTTGGTTGGCATTTATGATGTGTGTTTTTACCATGGAAGACCAGTACTTCTGTCTTCTTTGTTCCCAACTTCCCAGGGAGGAAGTTAAAAAGCTGAATTGGGGAACATATGACACGGTTTCTGGTGAATTGACTTACAACGTTTTGTAAAAATGAAAAGCTGAATGAAAATTTAGTTTGTCACTCGTAGGGCAACACATTATGTACACGAATAATACAAAACACTTTGAACTAATAGAACTAATTCATAACCATTGTGGCGACTGAGGATAATAAAGTTAGTGTTGGTTAGTGATTGATGATGACGATTTGGGCGGAATATCAGTTATTGCAACTTTTCAGACAAACTTTGAGATGCAATTATATTCTTAAAGAGTCCATATACACTGCAAACAACTTTGAGTTACTTTAGAAAAAAACATTGGAGTAATAGCCTTGAGACAACATTGCCACACAATTCAGAAATACAAAGAATCAAGTTCAAGAAGGTCGGTAAGAAGAGGGGATTAGCTGCATAAAGGGTCAAATATTGCTTAATAGAAACTTTAAGACGCTTGAGAAATGGAGCAACCACATGCCTTGTTTTGCAGTATTTGCTAAACTATAAAAATGTTTTGATTCGATTGCGGTTTGTCGAGTAGCTACGGTTCAAATGCCTCATATTTTAATATCAAATTACAAATGTGCTGATGACTTAAAGACACATTTCCAGCCCTCGGGATTCTCTGTAAGTACAAGTTTCAGTAAGTTTTGCAAAGTCTATCACTATCTAAGCATCACTATTGGCAGGAAAATTACAATTATTGTTCAAAAGTTCATTATTTCTTTATTTCAACTTAAAATGTGAAGCCAAAATACGATAAAGTCTCACATGCCAAGCCTTTGTTTCTTGTAATGTTGATGATTATGGCTTACTGTCCATTTTTTAAAATACTCTAATTTTCGGTTTTTACAAGTTGTGAGCCATAACTATCAACATTAAAACAAATAAAGAAGTAAATCTACTTATGAGCAATATTCTAACGCAAGTGATGACAAAAAGAGTCAAAAAAATGCTAAAATTTGGCTAAATGCGTCTTTATTTAAGCACATTCTGACTGCCCTAAACAACGAGTTTAAGCAAAATTATATTGTTTTAAAAAGATATAAGAAATGTTTCTAAATGAATGAGAAAGTAAAGCAACAGTTCTTGAAATGAGACTAAATGCCTTTGTCCCATTTGCAAATCTTGTTTTAAGACAGCACTTAAATTGATACAAAAACCTAGATCCATGCATTTATCACCTCCTAATTTCTCATTTTTTGCAGTGTGTTCAGTTTCCCCTGTATATTGCCCAAACTTTTAACCAGACATTCGTTCCAAATTTTGAGTATTTTGAGTCTGTGAGCCCCATTTTACGATAAAAAAAAAACATTAGATTGTGATCAAATTGAGCTGAAAGTGAATGTCAAGCCCCGTATGTAAGTCCCAACACTAGAACATGATTCCATCCTCCAAGACCACGGTAAACCTGGTCCTGTCCGGTCTCGTCACTGCCTCACACTCGTGTCCGGTCTTTGTCTTAACCTCCTCTCCTCTGTCTCCTTTCTGTCTTCTCTCTGCTCTCCTTTCTCCTCTCTCTCTCTTCTCTTCTAGCTTTCCTCTCTCTCTCTCATCTCTCCTCTCTCTCATCCCAGTGCTCCTCCCTCGTTCCTTTCTGTGTCCCGGACGTCAGCGGTTAGTTAGCGCAGCTTCTTTTTGTTTTGTTTTTGCTGGAGAATTATTTACTATTCATTTCTATGATAAATTGCCTAAAAGCTTGTAAAACAGATTAAAATAAATAGTGATTGAATAGTGAAATTATTGTCATGTAACTGAAATAAAATTATACAATAAATAAATGTGTGTGGGAGATAAATGCTTTGTCCACTCGATATATCTAAAGAATGTGGATTTCTCATAACTGTATCGACATACCACATGGCCCACAGACACAGCAGCGCAGCCGGTTTCTGCGCAAGTAGTACATGTGATAATTAATCTATATTCATATAAACTAGGTATGCACTGATTTAAAAAAAAAAAAAACTGATGTTTCCTTCTGTTTTGTCTATCAATATCGATCACAATCACACAAAACTAAGATCAGGGTACACACACATTTACAAAAGAACCACTAATCATATTAAAGGTGATTGAAAGACTAGATCAGGGACACACGTGGTTCCCCAGCAGAGTGGCAGGGCGCTCCCAGAGAGATGGTGTGAGGAGCTTTGTCACACGGGAGGAGCTCGGAGTAGAGCCGCTGCTTCTCCATGTCGAGAGGAGCCCATTGCGGATGCCTGTTCCAGATGCCTCTGCATGTCCCACTGGGAGGAGACAAGGGGAATAGATCTGGAGGTGTGTGTGAAGATGGAAGTCTGGGCATCTCTGATTAGTGACCACCGGGAACGGATAAAGCGGAAGAAAATGTAGAGATGGATTTGAAATCATTGTGTCGTCATCATATCCTTATTCAGACTCACTACACTGAAACAAGAAACATACAGATACCTACTGACAAGACTCACATAAAACCACCCTGAAAGCATCATCATAGTTATTATGATTATATATAATACTTATATAATTATTTGAACAGCTTTGTTTTATGCAGAATTGTGAGTTTTGCATTCTGCTTTCTGTAATCCACACTCCAGCTCAGTTGGTGGCGACAATACCCCAACACGCCTTTTTCCCCATCACATCTAAAGAAGCCACAGACGCAAACAGAAGCCGCAGTCCTCGATCTGGACAAAACCAAACAACATTAAAATAACATTAAACATGTGCACACGGGAGAGCTGATTCTTGGCACTGGGCTGCACTCGCTGACCAACCGGACTACCACGCCTTCTCCCGGGACACTCTCGTTATTGCCTGAAGACGCTGCTTTGTGGGGCCTGGTCCTGCTTCCACATCGCCGATATGTCTGCAAATAAAACAAAGAAAGTCAAAATGGCCACGAAGTCTTGTCCCGAGTGCGACCAACAAGTATGGAAACTAGTTTGTGTTGTGTAAAATGTGATGTTTATTTTTGGCAAGACAAGATCCGGGGAAAAAAAAATCAAGAGCGAGAGTGGAAAGTTGCTGAGCTATGGCCAAGAGTTACATATTAAGTTACTTAGTGTCCTAATTATCATATTTAAAATAGTACATTATGTTAACTTGTTTTTATTTTAGTCTGACACTTAAAAAAGGGAAAAAGTTGGTTGCCGTTTGATTTATAATATTATGTACTTATTGCTAAAACATAGTTCAGATGCATATATTTATATTGGACTTGAAATGCTTCCGAGTTTTTTACACTAGGGGTAAAGCTTATAACGTTGACTTGGTTGGACATGATGGAATTAGTTACCCTAGCAACCCCAAAGTATGATGTGTAATGTGTTTTTTTTTATATTTAAATTTAATTCAATCTTTAAACTGTCAGACAACCAGAAGTTATATTTGTGTTTGATGATCACAGGTGGAAGGTTCCATTTTAGATACAAACCTTTCATCTTTTTGTCATTTAACGGCAAAAGTTAAATGACAGAAAGATGGATAAGAATTGATTGAATGCTTATGTATAGTAAAGACTAGAGATTCACCAATGCAGCTATTTTGATACAGACACCGTTATCAACTGATAGAAATTCAATATTGAATTTACAACAACATGGATCCTATAGAAAAACTGTCTGAGTAAAAGTTATGGGTTTATTTTCTTTTACTGTGTATGTATGATAAAAATGCATCAAACTGATCCAACACCAACCATAATTTGACACCCCAGACTCATTGTAGATGGGTTCCTAAAGACGCAATCAGCTATTGTTACTGGATCTTGTCAGTGTGACAGATGGGGCAGATCCATCAGACTAGCCACGCCCCCCACTGCCTGCTTTGTGGTCTCTGGAGAAGTTAGTCTCAGCTGTGAGCCAAGGTATAGACCCCCTCGTCTCCGTTAGTGGTATGTGCGCCCCATTCAGGAAAACTTAAAATCAGCCATATCTAACCACTGTAAAAGAGAAAATCACATAATGGACTGGGAGAGAGCAAAAATATTAGGAACATATGCAAAATATGGATACGACAAGAGACAGAGACGATGGGCCTTCACCTTGGCTCATGCTTGGGACTCACTTCTCCAGCAACCACAGCGCAGCAGGGGCGTAGTCAGTCTGATGGACCTGTCACATAAGTAATACTGATCAGAGACACGTCATAGCATCACGTGCGTCTGATGAAGGAAAAGTCTACCGCCATCTGCTCATCATTCAGAACTTCCATCTTTACACTTTTATCTTATAATAATAATAATAATAATGCATTAGTTTCTATGTAGCGCTTATTTGGACACTGAAAGACACTTCACTCATGTCATTGTTCTTTAACTCCATACAAGGAGAACCTTCAGCGCCTAATAACCTGAGAATTACTGATGATATTTTACTATATTTACTCTGTCATCTGTTACTGCCTTATCATATGAAACGGCTCGGACCCTGAGGAGCACAGGGACTGGCCTCCTGCTGATGCAGAGAGTCAGGACTAGACATGGGGAGGCAGCGTTTCTGTAACAGGTTCCTGAAAGTGTGAGAGAGGCTTCTTCTCTGACAATGTTCAAGACTGTTCTGTTTGCCTGTGCATACAACTGAAGAATTTTTTTTTTAATGCATTGTTGTTATGTATTACCCTAATCTCTTGTGTGACTTTGGTGTTTTATGTGATGCTTTGTGGCTTGTGTTATGTGGACTGTGTTTCCCTGTGCAGGAAAGGCGCTCTACAAATAACGATTGATTGATAATTTTGCAGGCCTTCACATGTCTGCCTTGTTCTGTCTGCAGATCCCGGTGGCCTGCAAGTCGTGTCCTTGTGGTTTTGTGTTCATCAGCCGCAAACTGCTGACGGCCCGGTTAAACGAACGGCCCTCCTCCCCTGGACTCACAGGTTAGTGTGTTTTTAACCAAGACATCCAGACTGTGTGGAAGACTACAGCCAGTTCTAAAGGATCAAGTACAAGTCAGCTCTGTGGAGATGCCAGCCTGATTCTAAGAACACAAGACTAGAATATAAGATATAAAATAGAATACATCAGCCAAATTCAGGAAAAAATGTAAGCCTGGGACAAAGAAGCTGTTGGTTTGTATAGTACACTGCAAAAAGTGATAAAAGATAAGTCAAAAATTGCTAAAAAACTTAGCTAAATTTATCTTGAGCACATTTGACTGCCTTGATTTGCCACAGTGATTAAAAATTACCCTAAAAGCAAAAATGTTGGTATGAATTTTGATTCTAATTTGACCAACCTTGTGTTATTTATACCCTTTTAGACTATTATTTAGGACATCTTTCTTCTACTTTTAATCACTGCGGCGGGTAATTTTGACTGGAGGGTAGCACAAGATACAAGATCCCTTGGAATGAGAAAAAAAGTGCAACAATGCTTGATATCAGACATAATAGCTTTGCAGTGTAGCAGAGATGACTTAATGGAAATTTAGAACATACATTACTTTAATCCCATACATGGGTAAACACCGAGGTAAGGCTCCATGCGGCTAAGGGATGCATCAAACTTCCAGGCCTTCCAAGAAGAGAACACACTTTTTTCATAAGGATTTAAATAAGGATGTAGAAAATATAATAGATATGACGCTAATTTGGAAGAGAGATGAAGATGTGAAATGGTGTGTACCAGAATAGAAAGCATGTACTAATATATAACATGTTCTCGGTGTAGACCAGCTGGAGTCGAAGCGGCGGCGGACAGAGCGCATCCGTAAGGACCGCATCGAGTCCCTGCCCAGCGACATGGAGAACCGCAAGAAGGGACGACCCAGCTGCCAGGGGGACACCATCCGCCGAGGCCGAGGCAGACCCAAGACCGTGGGCCTCAAGAAGGTGGAGGAGGACAGAGGTAAAGGGGGACATGGCAAAACAAAATCAGCAAAAAGTATATGAGAGCTTTGGAGTTACGATGGAGAAAATTAAGACAAATAAACAATACAGAGTTAAAGAGGATAAACAAAGAGGAATTAGTGAGAGCAGCCTGTGTGTGTTTATGCTTGCGATTTGCACCGTTTTTTCCAATGTAGTTTTTCTGCAAATGGCAAATAAAATCATGAATCGTGATATATTGACCTCCTCCTTATACAGTAGGCTGCAGCTTATTAAGTGCTCTGTTCCTTCTAATCAAAGGTCCACAGAGTTTTTTCCTACAACTATATTTAATTTGTTAATACCTGTGTTTTTCTGCCGACAGAGAAACAAGAGAAGGAAGTGGACATGTACGCCAGTCTGTCAGACGAGAAAGCTTTCGTGTTTTCTGTGGCTTTAGCCGAAATTAACCGCAAGATCCTGGGACAGAGGCTCATCTTGTGAAATCTACAAAGAGAATATACCAAAAAAATGACTGGACCGAGTTGGAGTAATGTCCACCTGGATTATTTTAACTTTTAAGACTTTTGAAACTTTATTGTCGGAGATGGTGTTGTAATCTTAATAAAATATATTTTTGTCATAGCTATAAAAATTATGTCAAATATTTACCTTCATGTGATCATGGTTAATCTCTTGTCACAGTCCACGGTGCTAAAGTAATAAAGCCCAGAATCCATGCGTAAAAAACCAATGCGTAGTATTGTGTTTTCAATGTATGGTTTGGGTGGAGAGGTCCTTCTTCTTCAAGTGGAGGAGTTCAAGTATCTCGGGGTCTCGTTCATGAGTGAGGGAAGGATGGAGCGTGAGATTGACAGGCGCAGGTGCAGCGTGCGCAGTGATGCGGTTGCTGTATCAGACCGTTGTGGTAAAGAGGGAGCTGAGCCGAAAGGCAAAGCTCTCGATTTACCGGTCAATCTTCATTCCCTCCCTCACCTATGGTCATGAGTTTTGGATAATAAACTAAAAGACAAGATCGCGGATACAAGCGGTCGAAATGAGCTTCCTCCGCAGAGTGGCTGGGCGCTCCCTCAGAGATAGGGTGAGGGGCCCAGTCACACGAGAGGAGCTCGGAGTAAGTAAGTAAGTAATCTTTATTTATATACCGCCTTTTCACTGCAGATCTGAGTCTCAAAGCGGTTTACAATTGTTAATTTTTGGGCATTTTATCTCTCACTCCACACAGAGATGGGAGCGGGGTCGCCAGTACAGGAGGCGCATGCCAGAACTATTGGACATATTTTTAGTGGTAGGGGAAACCGGAGTACCCGGAGGAAACCTACGCAGACACGGGGAGAACATGCAAACTCCACTCAGAAAGGCCCTGGTCCGACCGGGATTCGAACCCAGGACCTTCTTGCTGAGAAGCGAGAGTGCTATCCACTCAGCGGAGTAGAGCCGCTGCTTCGCCACGTTGAGAGGAACCAGTTGAGGTGGCTCGAACATCTGTTCCGGATGCCTCCTGGACGGAGACCCAGGGAAGACCCAGGACACGCTGGAGGAACTGTCTCAGCTGGCCTGAGATTGCCTGGGTCTCACAGGAGGAGCTGGAGGAGGTGTGTGTGGATAGAGAAGTCTGGGCGTCTCTGCTTAGACTGCCCCCGCTGCTGCTCCTGGTATAAAATATCAAGACATGCCAACACATCAGTATGTCTTTTGCCCAATATCACCACAGGAGGGTGGCGTAGGTCCTGGATAAGCCCATTCTAATCAAAATATTTTGTTTGCACTCATCATTTTGAAAATGTTTGGCTTGTATAGAAAACACAATGACTTAACGTTTTGAATTGTTGATATGGCAAAAAGAGGACCACCCTCCTCCAATCAATTCTCAAAGTGTGTCAAGTGTCAAATAGTGACTCTTTATTTCAGCTAAAGACAGACTGAACCAGTGAGAGGAAGTTTTAATGTATGCAGTTTTGAACAGTTGATTCAAAGCACTATACAAGACACTAGACAATAGATACTGTTATTTATGAAATAAAAAAGTTAGGTGCCCCAGTCTAAAATACCCTAAAGGAAATGCAAGTAAAGGTGACACAGTGGCTTCTCAGCATGAAGGGGCTGGATTCTAATCCTGGTTGAAACAGGAGGAGCTTTCATCTCCCCATGTCTGCTCCGGTTTCCTCCAGGTGCTCCGGTTTCTTCAGGGTGCTTCGGTTTCCCTACCACTACAAACATGCTCAATTGGTCTGTATGTAGTGAGTGAAGGAATGGATGGTGATGGTTGGAGGCTTTGATGCACCAGTGTGTTCGGCATCTCGCTTCCGTCATCACCGTGTGGAGACAATGGAACAATATCTGATCGGAAATGTGCTATATAAATAAAGATTACTTACTTGCGTCACCTGAATGATTAGCGTGCAGAGTAATGTAAAGTTAAAAACCATGACAATTATCCCTGGGAAACAAACCTGTTTTATTTATGACTTCTCGTTATCATGATATTTTTGGTTTTAAGTGATAATGTTTGAAAAAGTCCTTAAATTCACATTAATATGAACTTTTAACACGTCCGTTCGCTCACATTTCCGTGTTGATTGATAGGCATTTTTTACTAATCCTCTGTTGTGTGGGAAGATTAGGGGCTTCCTGCTTGTTGCCAGTTCAGGTTACCCCTTACCTCCTCCCACATCCTCCACAAACAGCCTGCAACTAATGCATTTATGGTGATGCAATGCCAATGATACACTTTTTTGAAGACAGTACTTTTGTTTAAAAAATTGACCCCTGTGGAGTGCCACAGGGGTCAATCCTGGGACCTCTTCTTCTTTGCAATCTCTACATGCTGTAGTTAGGTCATCATTATCGGTCTTTCTCCTTGAAATCTTCAAATCAAGCCATGCATCTACGGGAAATAATGGACTCAGGCGCGTATTTTAATAGCCACATCAAAATCATCTGCCGCATTTATTACCAGAATCAAAAATATAGTGTCTAGCAGACTTGAAGATTCTTATACATTCATGTACCTCCAGCAGGTCAGACTACTGAAACGGCTGCTCTCTGGTCTCTCCAAACAAGCTGTAAAACAGCTGCAGTATATTCATTACACATCAGCTCGAGTCTTGACTAGAACCAGGAAGTATGCTCACATTAGTCCAGTTCTCAGGTCTCTGCACTGGCTCCAGACGCTCTGAGAATAATAATAATAATAATACATTTTATTTTAAAGCGCCTTTCTAAACACCCAAGGGCACTGTACAGGACATAATAAAAACATTAAAAACAGGATCAACAGAATAAAACAGTAGTCAAGTGCAATATGGAATGGTGGGTGCGTGTGTGTTAGGTGGGGTAGGACAGTTTGAACAGATGGGTTTTGAGTCTGCCTCCTGCTGGAACTATGAGGAGCACAGAGACTGTTCTTGTGCTGGTGCCCAGAGTCTGAAACAAATATAGCCAGGGTAACGGTCAGTGTCCCTCCTTCAGGTAGACTGTTTCAGATTTTGGGTGCATAGGTCAGAAATGCTGCATCCCCATGTTTAGTTTTGACCCTGGCAACCAGCAATAGGCCAGTCCCTGTGCTGCTCAGAGTCCCAGCAATAGGCCAGTCCCTGTGCTGCTCAGAGTCCCAGCAATAGGCCAGTCCCTGTGCTGCTCAGAGTCCCAGCAATAGGCCAGTCCCTGTGCTGCTCAGAGTCCCAGCAATAGGCCAGTCCCTGTGATGCTCAGAGTCCCAGCAATAGGCCAGTCCCTGTGCTGCTCAGAGTCCCAGCAATAGGCCAGTCCCTGTGCTGCTCAGAGTCCCAGCAATAGGCCAGTCCCTGTGCTGCTCAGAGTCCCAGCAGGAGGCCAGTTCCTGTGCTGCTCAGAGTCCCAGCAATAGGCCAGTCCCTGTGCTGCTCAGAGTCCCAGCAGGAGGCCAGTTCCTGTGCTGCTCAGAGTCCCAGCAATAGGCCAGTCCCTGTGCTGCTCAGAGTCCCAGCAGGAGGCCAGTTCCTGTGCTGCTCAGAGTCCGAGTTGTTTTATCCGGCACAAACATCTCAGATGTACTTTGGTGAGAGGCCATGGAGAGCTGCTTTAAATCCAAGAATCAAAATTAAACTTTTGTCAGAACAACATGCATTACTGCAAAACAACATTAAAGAATGTTCCAGATTTTGCTAAAATCTGGAACATTCTTCCTGAGGATGTGAGACAGGCCTCCTCTCTGACTATGTTTAAAACCAAGTTAAAAACTGTGCTGTTTAGCTGTGCATACAACTGAGGGATTTTATATTTTTATCTTTCTTTTTAATGTTCTGTGATTATTTATGATTTTAATGCATCTTGTTCAGCACTTTGAGTTGCCTTGTGTATGAATTGTGCTATACAAATAAACTTGCCTTGCCTTGCCTTGCCTAAAGGTCCACCATGACCTGTCCCTTTAACTGAGTAAGAACCACAGTATCTAGTCCAGCATTGTCCTTGTATCCATACCCCTGGTCGTACCGGGGGGTCATGGATTATCTGGCCGCTCCCCCGCTCGTGAGGGGACATACCCAGGGTTCAGCGGAGCCTCTCCTCATCGCTGTGACATGTAGTTGTTTGGAGATCTGCTGCTGTGACAGAAACCATTTAAAAGCAGCACGGGACATCAGCAGTTTGATTGTCCAGCTCTGTCCTCTGCCCCCTCTGTCCACCTCTGTCCACCGCTGTCCAGCCAGTCGTGTCGTGTCGTGTCCGGATACCCAGCAGCCCAGCGCTCGGACGCTTTGTGGAATGTGTTTTTGAAAGTTTTTTTTGTTTATTGTTTGTTTTTTGTGATAAGGAGACATTTATAGATATCATTTTTTACCTGTATCTTGAACGTGTGGGCGGCGAGCAGAGAAGCAGCCATGTCTTCTTTCAAGCTGGACTTTCTCCCAGAGATGATGGTGGACCACTGCTCCCTGTCCTCAAATCCTGTGTAAGTAGTACAAGTTTTTCAATGAATCTAAACTAATTTGATGATTTATATAATTGCCAACAAGTGTATTGATCGGTTTGTCCATTTTTAAACCTTACAAAGACTTTTAGGTTTTATGACTCAGTTAATTCTATAACGGCTGCAGAATGAATTGGAAATATAATAATAAAAATGCATTTGTTTTATGTCCAGCTCACAGACGCTTCACATTATTATTTCACTCCATACACAGCGGTGATAAACTACTATTATAGCCACAGCTGCCCTAGGGCACACTGACAAAAGCAAGGCAACCAGTATGTGACTTCGGCCCCTGCCACCCCCAACGGCCTTCTCACACACACCATACTCATTCTAATGTGGGTGCAGTGTCTTGGTGTTCCCAGAGTTCTCCCATCAAAAGTCCTGGATATGAAGAGTGCATTATTATTATTATAGGACCAATCAAACTTTGGCTCAAAATTCTGTTTTCAAAGTCCCAAGTTCAGTGTTTTTGCCATTTGCAGTAAAACCCCATTGGAATACATGTGCAAAAGTCCCCAGTGTACAAGTG